GGAAAGCCGGGACCGCCCTAACCCCGACCTCGACACCAGCCCAAGAGACCATGCTGACACCCCTCACCCAGAAGGGCCCCCTAACCCACGGGAGCCACCAACCCCCCCAGACAGATCTGTAACTAACAGACCCAAAGACACCACCCCCCACTCCCAACCCACGACTGCCCAGTGGAAATCCGCACACACCTGGACCGGGACGCACCTCAGGACTTACCCCCACCACGCCCCACGTTAACACCTGGGCACGGGAGTCCCACCTAAGGGACATTCCCAACACGCCACTAAACTTGAACCTGGCACAGACCATAAGTCCAGGAAGATGTATATATGTTCAGTTATTTTTCTTTGTACCCACAGTTTACCCCCGAAGAGTACCATGGCGGGACACGGGACCTTAGAACCACATCCAAAACGGGAAGAAACCCGACGCAACATCCCCAAACCTCCACCCACAACACAGGGAGCAGGACCAAGGCACGATCGACACCGCAGTACCCCTCACACCACAATGCTAGCTAAGGTAACATGCATATCCATTAACTGCAAGGGGCTCAACCACCCCTCGAAACGCCACCGGGTTATGCGCTGGGCCAACAGGTCGGGGGCAGACGTGGTCTTCCTCCAGGAGACACACTACGCTCATACACGCCCGTTCCCTCTCCTAAGCCGTCACTACCAAACCTGTCACCTCGCCAACTCACATACAGGCAAACATAATGGGGTGGCAATTTTACTGAAAAAAAATTGCCCTATACACCTTAAAGACGTCCAAAAAGACCCACAAGGACGATATATAACAGCACTTGGCACTATTGGACCCACAAAAATAGCTCTGACCTCCATATATGCACCGACGACTCCAGACCCACAATTTTGGCAGATAATACAAGCTCACCTTAGCCAACATCCTAACTACCAAAGAATAATAGGGGGGGACTTCAACGCTACAATCTCCCCATCTATAGACAGACAACGCTACTCCCCCCACACCCAGCAACCCACCCATCCCTCCAGAGCGGACAAAATGTTGGCCGACTTCATAACCCAAACGGGCCTCATAGACATATGGAGATCTCAACACCCAACAGACCGTGACTACACGTTCTACTCGCACCCCCATCACACCTACTCCCGCATTGACCTCTTTCTCATCTCACCATCCCTAATCCCCCACGTCACAAAGTCTGCAATAGGCAACATTACCTGGTCTGACCACGCAGACATCACACTACAACTCCAACCACCACAAATCTCACGACCCTGGACCTGGAGGCTCAACCCTATACTACTCCATGACCCCCACATAGTTTCCCAACTGAAGACAGAACTCACCCAATACTTCGACACCAATAAAGACTCGGTGCAATCACACGCGGTACTTTGGGCAGCACACAAAACAGTGCTCAGGGGATCCCTGATCAGCATAGCCACGGCGCAAAAAAAACAACACATAGCCCACATAACATCCCTACTGGACCAGATCAGACAACTCGAAGCACAACACAAACTAACCCCCACACAAGATCTCACAACACAACTGCACCACCAGCGCCAGGCCCTTAAACAGGCCATGGCGAAAGACGCAACTAAAGCTTTACAATGGACAAAACAAATGTTCTAAGAAAAATCAAACAAAGCAGACACACTACTGGCCCGAAGGCTACGCAAACGCCAGCAAGCCAAGCAAATCACCACCATCCATACCCCCACAGGCCAACCAACCGACATACCCAATAAAATAGCCGAGACCTTCCAGAAGTATTTCACTGACCTATACGACCACTCCCCTCAACACCGCCAAGATGACGGCCCCCTACACGATAACATACAAACCCTCCTAGCAAAGGCCCACATTCCGACACTCACGACGGAGGCTCAAGCACACCTCTCTACAGAAATTACAGAGGAGGAGGTGAGGAGAGTCATAGGCACCACGAAACCCAACAAAAGCCCAGGCCCGGACGGATACTCGGGCATCTACTACAAAACATTCACAGACAACCTGCTACCCTACATGACAAAGCTATATAACTCGCTCATGACTGGAGATCAGCTGCCCGAGGACATGCTGGAGGCAAACATTTGCCTACTACCCAAACCTGGCAAACCGCATACAGAACCAGGTCACTACAGACCCATTTCCCTATTAAACGTAGACATCAAAATCTTCACCAAAATCCTTGCCAACAGACTGCTCCCCTACATTCCATCGATAATCCACCCCGACCAGGTCGGATTTGTCCCCACAAGACAAGCGAGCGACAACACCAGACGGACTTTAGACCTCATATGGGTAGCCAATCACCGTCACATCCCCACCCTCCTACTATCCCTTGACGCCGAGAAGGCATTTGATAGACTACTATGGCCCTTCCTCTTCGCCACCTTAGAGAAACTCCAATCCCCAACACCATTCATGACAGCCCTCAAAACGATCTACTCAGTCCCAAAAGCAAAATTACTCATCCCAAATGCGCAACCCCCCCACTTCCCTATACATAACGGAACGAGGCAGGGCTGCCCACTGTCACCGATCCTTTTTGCCCTATCATTGGAACCACTTTTACACCTCATACGCACCACCGCTACCATCACGGGCATTACAGTACACTCCCAAGCTTACAAGGTGGCGGCGTACGCCGATGACCTGCTCCTAACGCTAACCCCTCACCGCCCTCCCACCACTCCTAAAACTGGTGAAAGAATACTCAGCAGCCTCAGGATATAAACTAAACCTGGACAAGACAGAGGCACTTAGCATAAATATCGACCAAGACACGATGGAGACACTACTGGAAACATACAGGTTTCGCTACAACACATCCCACACCTAGGTATACAGCTACCAGCAGCACTACACCGCACGTACGCCCTGAACTATACTCCAATGATACAGAAAGCAACGGACGATCTCAAAAGATGGCAAAACCTATCACTTTCATGGTTAGGCCGCATTGCATCAGTAAAGATGAACCTCCTACCCCGCTTCCTTTACCTATTCCAAACCCTCCCCATCCCACTCCCCACAGACGCAAAATATGTCCAAAAACTAATAGACAACTTTATCTGGGCAAATAAAAGACCCAGAATAAAAAGGAGCACCATGTACATCCCCAATAGGGCGGGAGGACTGGGACTACCCCATCTCCAAAACTACTATTACGCCGCACAACTCACACAGATCCAACACGGACCTGGAACACGACCTATTTGGACGCGACCACCCATCCCTCTACATATGGGTACCAAAGAAATAACGCCCCCTACCACCACCACTGCCCCCAGCAATCACGAACTCAATAGACTTGTGGGATAAAACGTCCCGGAAATTCCCCATCATAAACAACCCGACACCATTGACGCCAATACTACGCAATAGAGCATTCCCCCCAGGGTTAACACACAAAGACTTTACACACTACGAGCAAAACGACTTGTCTAGACTGCACCACTTCTACACGGGAACGCAAATTACCCCATACAACGACCTTCCCAACACGCAGGCAACATATACCACTCACGATTTCTTTCGCTACATACAACTACGAAGCTTCTTAGAGCAACCCGACAACGCCAAAGCAGCCACCACCACGCTCACACGGTTTGAGAGGTCATGCCTACATAACCCACTCCACAAAGGTCAAATCACGGAAAACTACACACTTATCACCAACCAACCCAAGGTGGCCTCGGCATATGTGGCGGCTTGGGAGAGGGACTTAGGGCCACCGGACGACCCCACGGACTGGCAAGATATCTGGGAGGCAACGGCCTCAATATCCATATGCGTTAACCATAAGGAGCAAGCGTATAAAACACTGCTCCGATGGTACCTAACCCCGGTACGTTTGTACCATATGGGCAAAGCAGACGCGGACCTATGCTGGAAAAACTGCAGGCAGAGAGGCACATACATACACACATGGTGGCATTGCCCTAAACTGGTCCCATTGTGGGCAGAAGTATCTACCCTAGTCTCAACACTCCTCCAGACCACCATATCATTAGACCCCTGGACCTGGCTCCTCTCCAGACCACGAGAGGACCTGACCAGAGCCCAAAACAAAATGACAAACCGGATAGCCTTAGCGACTAGACGGGCAATAGCCTGAAGTATGGGGATCGCCAAACACCCCCACACTGCAAACGATCATACGCAAAACCAAGGAAGCAATACACATGGATAGGCTATCAGCCATAATTCATGAGACCTCTAAACACTTCCACAGAATCTGGGACCCCTGGTTATCTGATCCCCACCTACAATAAGGGCACACGGACAGCCTCCACCTCACCCACCAGGCCCGCTACTCCAACATAGCGATCAAAATACCAACGCACGGAAACTCACAGTACAAATATTACCCCAACCCGAACCATTGGATGTCTACTGGGCTCCCGAAATAGTGTCCCACCATGGTACTCTCACCCTTGTACATAGGTTCTCCACCCCCCCCCAACTGACTACCCAGACGCAGGGGCGCCCATTAGTACGCAACGAGGACGATAAAAATAGTCAATAGGGGGCATCCCACCCTACCACAAATCTGTTAACGAGCCGAGCCGCAAATCTCATACGGCCACCAATACAGACTTGTCCAAACGAATCGGGCAAAGGGAATAAGTCCAAAACAGAAATCCCTGAACCCCGCACTATTGCACGATAAACGCCTAACCAACGGACCGCACCAAGACACAACTACTTGTTCGCAACACCCTAAGGCGCAAAGACAAGTAAAATATTGTGCTCCTGTATCATTGTGGCTGTATCACCCCCTCCCTCTTTCATTTCTGTACCCTAAATGTTTTCTTTTTCCACACTGGAAAACAATAAATAATGTTTAAAAAAAAAAAAAAAAATCCAATCTTTATTTGAAAAATTTCAAAAATAAAGTCAACCTTTCAGTCCAGCATCTAGGACTTTCATCAGGATAAAATTGCTTATTGCTACTAGACTTGGTACAAACTAGCAAAAAAAGTACACAAAGGCTCAAATTTGCCTTTTGAATTAGAAACCTAGAAAGTGATGGCCGATAAAAACCCCTTTGGCCCAATTTTCTATATACTCTTAGTCCCTGCCCTTATGTTATACCTAGGATGGGCTTATGCTGAAACTCCTTCACAGTGTTAACCTCTACCACTTCAGCTGGAAGGCTATTGCATGCATCCACTACCCGCGCAGTAAATTAATACGTCCTGTTATTTTTAAACCTTTCCCCCTCTACCTGAAGAAATGGTAGGCCTTTGTTGGGTAGTTTGAGTTAGCAATGTGCTAAGATACTCTAGAATTGGACATTGACCCAGCATCAAAATTCAACGTTTAAAAAAATAAAATAAAAAGAATTTAAACAATTATATGGCTTGGTCTCAAATGTGCCACTTAAACATCCACATATACCTGAGAAAGTTGCACATGGGGGTATTACTATACTAAAACAACATCGCTGATCAACATATTAAGCAATAACTTTCCTTAACTTGCACCAATAATGCACATTTTTTGCAAGAACTGTGAAAAGAAACCCATTTTATAATTTATACATCAAATTAAAGCCCTTTTTGAAGAAAAAAAACCCCAAAGCATGTGTTGGTGTAATAAGTTGGTAAAATGCAAATTGCAGTTTAACCCAAACCGCAAAAAAAAAAAAAAAAGCTTGTGTCCTTAAGGGGTTAACATGTGCTGCTGATCACAAGGGAATGACTATGTACCAACATAAAAATAAAAAAAAAATTCCACACCATTTAGTAATGAGGTTGGAAGACAGTGTGTAATGCAATGTTAAAGGATCACTATAGGGTCAGGAACACAAACATATTCCTGACCCTATAGTGTTAACACCACCATCTAGCCCCCGTCTTCATAAATATATGCCAAAATCTTACTATATTTAAGGCTGATGCTGTAACGCTGCATGCGGTTAGGCTCAGAAAAACAAGCAGTCTGCTGACACGTGGTAGCCTGATCCAATCACAGTGCTTCCCCATAGGATTGGCTGAGACTGAAAGGCAGAGCCAGCCCAATTCAAACACAGCTCTGGCCAATCAGCATCTCCTCAGAGATGGATTGAATCTCTAGGAGGAAAGTTCAGTGTCTGCATGCAGAGGGAGGAGATACTGAATCACAGTGCTCTGTTGACAGATCTGAGTGGATGGAAGCATATTATGCCTCCATCAACTCCGAAGTGCCTCTGGTTCACTCTGAGTGACTGCAACAGGAGGTGTTCATAGCTTTCAATGTAAACACTATTTTCTCAGAAAATACAGTTTTTACATGAGAAAGGCTGCAGGGAGCTATAGTTCTCACTCGAACAACCTCATTAAGCTGAAGTTGTTCAGGTGACTATAGTGTTCCTTTAAGACAGCAGCAGCACTGCCAATGTAATTAATCTGAAACAGAATACACGTGCATCACAGACAGTGGATAGGAAGAAATGCTAAAATTAGGAGTGTAACGCTCTGTTGTAGGAAGCAGTACTCCCAACATCATAGGAAAGGTGAAACTCCCTTGCAAGGACTCAAGTGAACCTTTGAGCCCTAAACTTGCGAATACCATTCTGAATTGATAAAAGTTTTCAATTACATGGCTTCAGATGCCCATCAGATTCTTTTAGACCCATAAACATGCAGATGACCAGAGATGCAATATAAGGTTTTAACTTTTCTTTTATTAAACACAAATAACAGCACCAGAGACCATGCATTTATTCGTTCTCTTCGCTGCGCAGTCTGGCGTTGGGGTTTGTAACTTTGATGGCAAGCTGTGCTGCTCTTTCCACAATGGTTTTTCTGTTCTTGGAGGAAACATTGTGAGCGATTTCTGCACAGAACGACCTAAAATAAAGACAGACAACAGTAAGCCATCACAAAACAGATATTACAATTTCTCAATGTTGAGAGACTTAAACGCAAGATAATTTGCAGAAATATGACTGTATGCAGCGACATAGGATTTAAAACAGTATGTTGCGGGCAGTAGTCAGACTAGATGTATATATTTTAATGAATTTTCAAAAAAATATTTAAACCAATTTGTTAGTCTCATACATCTTTAGCAATCACGTTATCCAGGGGTAAAAGGATTATGGTTACATCATCTATCACCTAAACCTTATTTTAAAACTAGAGAAAAGCCTTTGGCACATCTCGAACTGAACCCCGAGTAACTGGTAAAGTCACTTGCAAAAAGCTTACAGTCCCCGGCTTTCCAAGCAGTGATACTGGTGGAGAAGTCAAATAATTTTCGGCAAGTATCATTTGGGCTTAATATGACAAGTGGAAAACTAAGTCATACTTAATAAATCCTTATTTCATAATCTTTTAATCACATCAAGGAAACATGCCTACAAAGAATGAAGTTATTAGATTAAGAGTAATTTAGGTCAAAGACTCAAAACGTCAAAGTGCAGGGGACATAAGTCTCACTGCAAGCATTATAATCCCCAGTATTCTAGTCTATATGCCACCTAGAAATACTTCCCAGTACTCACTTATTGCTCATCATCAGAACCTCAAGCTCCTTGACATTGTGCACCAGGAATTTCCGGAATCCTGTGGGCAGCATGTGTTTGGTTTTTTTGTTGCTACCATAACCAATGTTGGGCATCAGGATCTGTCCCTTGAACCTCCTGCGGGCTCTGTTGTCAATACCTCTGGGCTTACGCCAGTTACGCTGCAAAGGAATTAATGAGAGTAAGCACAGTTGAGCTAACACATAACATGAAAGGTGAGACTTCAATCTAATTTATAGAACTACAAAATACAAAATATTTGTTATCATACAAACAGTGCATTGAGAAAGGAAAAGAAGAATAATGCAACTCAGGACATAGGAAGCCAAACAAACCTTAATCTTGACATATCGGTCTGATTGGTGACGAATGAATTTCTTCGTCCTTTTCTTGACGATCTTAGGTTTGATCAGAGGTCTTAGGGCAGGCATGATTCCTATAGATAGAGGGAATATTTATTTAATTTATGTATGCAGGCTTACACCAATAATTTAATTTAAAAAAAATAAAAACCACCAAGTATCTTCAACCCCCATTTATTGCTGAACTATTTACAAAAGATTTATGGTTGCATGTGATTTTGCAGACATTCAGAAAATGGAGCTCAACTATAGCTTGTCATATATAACCCTGCAATAAATTGTGTTTTACTTATTTAGTTCCAGTTTTACTTTGCAAAAAAGGGCTCTCGAAGCTATATAACAATCTGTAGTGGTTATGTTGCTTAGAGTACCATGGCACCATTCTCCCTGGCTATAGGGACAGTACAGCATGCTGAAAGGTTCATGGCCCAGAAATGACCTGCACCCCCATTCACTAAATGTAGTCAAACTGTTTTCCACAGATGTAATTTTTTTTTTTTTTTTTAAACACACACCTGGGGTCCACTGGACGCCAGAAGCAGTTTTCCTTTTAACCAGATTTACTGAAATAGCAGGGCTAGGCTCCGGTGCTCACAACTCAATACTGGTGGCAGAGATTAGCAAAACTTTTGACTACTTCCACTCTGGGCCCCAGAGCACCATAGTGGTTATAGTGCTAGTAGTGTTCCTTTAACTGCAGAAATTTACATAAACAGATTAATGCTCTGAAAGCTTAGCATTGATCATAAAGTTCCACACAGTTACTTTCTTTAATTCATAGGAGCTCTTTAACACCTTAAGGACACATGACGTGTGTGGCATGTCATGATTCCCTTTTATTCCAGAAGTTTGGTCCTTAAGGGGTTAAATATTGGTGTAGCAGAGTAACTTCCCTCAGCCAGAATAAGGTCTGGTGATGGAATGGGCAAACGCTCTGGTATCCTTTTCCTCTGTCAAAACAATCCGTAGGAGCACAGGATTCTCCCCAGACAGGGATCCAGAGGATTGGGATAAAACCAAAAACCTCCACAAAACTTGCTCTCCATAATCACGATGATATTTAAAATTAAAGGGTTACTCCCAACACCATACCCACTAAAGGGATTTGACGTGGTCACGGTGCCCGGAGTCTGTATGTGCCGCGTTTCTGTACGAAACACTGCACATACAGAGTTCAAACCTTCTGCTGCCAAAAGAGGCAACTCCATTGTAACAGGCTGGCCAATATAAATTCTATGCACATTTCCTTGCCATTCATTGGCAGAGAGTGGTCAGCTGACTCTCAGGCAACGAATAGCAACTGGTTCGGCTTTGGCAACTCTGCAGGAGCCATAGAGCCTGATTGGGACCAAAATAGAGAGCAAACTGTTACTAAACACCCTGGTCCAAGTATGAAAAGGTTTGGTGAAGGAATATTAATATTTTACATTATATGGATGATTAGTAATGCACAGATAAGGAAATACACTTAATGTACCTTTTATAAACAGTGAAAACCTGCAACAAACTAAATGGACTTTTTTGTTAATGCTCTTTGACAAATACATCGGGGTGTGTAGCAAACATTTGAGAGAAATATATATATATATATAAAAAAAAAAAGTGTCTAGAGAATGTGCCTTTAAAACAAATACTACTAGATTATATTACTGCTTACAGCCATACCTTTCTAACTTTAGAGACATCACATGCTAGTTTGGAAGTTTTGATAATAGTAAACACATGGCTAATGATCACCTCAAGGGATAAACCCACTAAATTTCAGAAATACCAAAAGTTGCATTTAACACTGCACAGTCATTTTCATGCAATACACTTGATCAAGCAAATCGAGACCCAACACTATTTCAGATTATAAACACAGTTTCATTCATTCAACATGATGAGTGTAACCTAAATGGAGATACTGGATAAAACAGGATTTCATAAAACAGAACGAGTTATTTGACTGATGGAGCTTGCTTGGTCCTAGTGTGAGGTATGTGTCAGCTGCAGCATCGTCCTATGCAAAGTGCAGCAGCAAGAGGATCTCTAAAGGCTATAAAGTATATTTTCCTTCCTATCAATGTAAGAATGTGGGTCAATTGTCTATTGCACCTCTTCACAGGAGCAAGACAGATTTGCATAAAATCATATGCAACTAAAGATACTTGTGCAAGTGAAGATAACATTTCTCATCAACCTACATACTTTACTACAGATGTCCAAAGTGTTATCTATGGTTAATACACAAAAGTGTTAACATTTCCAAATATGCCTCTGCTATACTGTACTATGATGTGTCCATGCAAGTTCAGATCACTTGTTAAATTAACCTGTGGTAGTACCCAGTGTGCTGTATATTTACAATACACAACACAGCTGGGCGCAGAGGAATGGAACCCCCAACTCTTTCAAGGAAAGTTCCCCTGTTATCCCTATATTATGCCATTTCCTATATACGAGATTAATGATATACGACAGTGCTTCTTTCAAACCAGTACAAGAGCAGCCAATAGTCCATTAAATAGGATAATACAGAACCCCTGGACTGCTGATGTTCCATGAGGACAGTTTGGGATCCACTGATGTATTTAGTATCCTGACACTAACCATTTAACTGTGGCAGAGTGACACGTGGAATTCCATGTATAGAATATAGAGAGGGGGTAACCATAGGGGCACTATAACAGATAATGCAGGGATTAGCTACAAATCACAGCAGCCCATTTCTGAGCACAGATAATAAATGGCCGTACTAACACTCTGCCCCTGTGTATAATGTATAAAGCACACGGTCTGTCCATGGCTGAGCCGGCATGTTAATAGGGAGTGCGGCCTAGCGCAGTGTGAGCCGCCATTTTGGGCAAGGAAATATCAGAAAAGGTACATGGCCCCATTAACAGCAAGCATCCCCTAAACTGGGAGAATCCCTGCAAAAATACCGGCACACACTCATAGATTAGAGGGTGAGCATTCATTCTAGGTGATTAGAAGGGCTGGGATACCGGGAATAATAGGCAGATGGAAACGGATTCACTCACCGGATCGACACGTCCGCCTCCTTCGCAGACGGCCTGAGGAAGAGAGAGAGTGAGAGGAGGTGGGCTGGATAAAGGGCAGCCTAGACCGCCCGGAAGTAACGTAGCGCCGAAAGCAGCAGCGGCGCCTGCTGGTATTGCAGCCTTCTGATGTTTCAGGTGTGACTAATGACTAAGGCTATTTTCACACCAGAACCAGATACATTTTAATAGTTTAACAACACTTCCCGTTTTTGCCATGTAACTTTCAAAGATTATATATTATTTATATTCTAGCATACGTCTAGGCAGTGGCGGCTATAGATTTTGTGATGCCTTAGGCAAAATTCAAACATGAGACCCTTACTAACACCCATAGTGGGGGGGAAAATAGGGGTTGCATTGTGTGTGTATAATGAGCTGTACTTATATTGAAGTTCTGGCCTGCAGCACTGGATACAGAGGGCTAGTCTCTGTATTTACCATTCAGAGGCTTGTCGTGTTGTGGCTCACTGTTGTGACCTCTCTGACTGTAGTTATGGCATAATTTGCAAACAAAATTAAATTGCAATTGGTTGAGCAAAAAAGGTTTAAACCCTCTCATTCCCCCTCCCCCCCACCCCAATTTACTTCATAATATCATTAGATATTAAAACATAGATATTTTCACCACATAATTTATAATCCTTTCACATATATGTATATTATCCTATATTATATGTCGGTGTTGCCCCATGTATTGAATATGTATGTATATTATATATGTTGTCACTTTACCTTTGCATTGCCGGAACCATCAGTGATGTATCTTGGATTTGTGCTGCCCTAGGCACGACTAAATTCAGGCACCCCCCCTAATCTAAATTTGCACCACCACTTTGTGTCAAGGCCACTTTTTTGACTGACAGACGCATGCCCTCATTGACACAGGCACTGACATACACTCACTGACAGATACACAGTCATTGGCACACACACTGTTCAAGCAACCCACACTTTCACTGACAGACACACACACACACACTGACACACCCACTCACTGACAGGCACACACTCTCAAAAACACATACTCTGACATACACTCACTGAAAGACACACACTGACAAACATCCTCACTGTTTTGACACACTCTGACAGACACAGACACACTGACAGAAACAGACACACACACACACACACACTTTCTCATACACTCACCCTTGCTGGGCTAGCTGGGTTCCTTGCTGGGGCTGCTGGCTAGACAGACAGACTCCTGGGGCTGCTGGCTTCTGCTGGCTTCTGCAGGCTGGGTGGGTGGGCTCGGCTGGGTGGGCGGGCGCTTAATGAAGGGGTGAGGGAACTGAGCTCTTCCTGCTCTGCTCCCTTGCGCACCGCCGGGGCCAGAGTCATATTCCGGCTTCCAGCATCATAAAAGGGTGCATGAGGGAGCAGGAAGAGCTCAGGGGACTGTCAGCTGGCCACCGTTCGCTCCCCCCCAGGACATGAGGCAAACAAAGCACTTGCCTGGACACATAGGGTGGCACCCTGAAAGTGCCGCCCTAGGCAAATGCCTTGTTTGCCTCGCTGCAAATACAGCCCTGTGTACAATACCACCCTCACATTGCAGCCATAGACACGAAAACACTAACACATACACACTAATACATACACACTCTGATACACGCACATGCATATACACCCACAAACAGTGCTGCATGGTTGTGGGGGTGAGTATCACAGGGTTGGTGTTGAATGTGGCATGGTTGGAGCAGGGAGTGTGACAGGATTGGAGGGGTTAAAGTAACAGGGTGAGTGTGGCATGGTTGGGAGGTTGAGTAACATTGGGTTGTGGTGAGTGTAACATTGTTGGAGGCGGGAGTGTGACAGAACTAGAGGAGGTGAGTGCGACAAGGTGAGTGTGTCAGTGTGACAGGATTAGAAGCTTTAATGTAACAGGGTGACTGTGGAAGGATTGGGGTGAGTATGACAGGGTTGGGGGGAGAGTGACGTTGAGAGTGAGTGTGGCACGGTTGGAGGACAGAACTGGAGGGATTAATGTGATAGGGTAAGTGCAGCAGGGTGAAGGGGGGTGAGTGTGTGACAGTGCGAGATAACATGAGTGTGACAGGATTAGGGGGTTAGTGTGGCTGGATGAAGGGGTGACAATGAGTGTACGGGGGGATAAAAGTTTGTGGGGAGCTGACAAGGAGTGTGTGAGGGGATGACAGTGTGTGTGGGGGGGGGGTGACAGTTTTGTTGTTTCAATGACCAGCCTCCCCACACCAAAATACCTTTTTTTAAAGTATCTAATTCCCTGGTGGTATAGTGGCCTTGGTATTCAGTCTGCAGTTTTGCCGGGTGCAGAGCTACAGACAAAGTGGCAAGTGTCTCGCAAGCTCGGAAAATCAGAGCGTTGTTGTGGTAACACACGTCAATGCTCTGTTTGGCCAGTGTTTGGCATGGTCTGCAGCTCTACACCCGGAAGAGCTGATGACTGGAGACTATGGGCTCTCTCCCCCAGGCAGACTGAATGGAGGGGCCTAGGACCTGGTGGCATACAGGTCAAGCTGCGGGGCCCCCTCCCTGTGTCGGGCCTTTGGTCAAGGACCGAGGATTCGACAGGTCAGTCAGCACTAAAGCAAGTTAGGCAGCTGCGAGGTCCCATTCAGCAGCCCTGGGAGCAACATTGTTCATAACAGCTAATGTGCCCTATGTAGTTTCGGCATTGCATATACTATCTGTATCCCACTGAGCCCTGATTAAAGACTGGGTGGGCCCAAATGTGCCTTAGGCTCTTTGTATAATAATTCGGACAGCAACCCCTTGCTCACCCATTGGAGTCCTTCTGCTCCATGCACAACAGTTGATGAAATTACCCTTTTCATTCAACTCAAGGTTTAGAGCAATTTATTTAAAACTACATTTGAGATGTCTCTCTGAAAGGAATACTCCAAGCACCAAAATCACTGCAGCTCACAGCCTGGCACCCCCGAATGCAGAATGGCTTGATTTCTTACATGAGATCTAATTGGCACCGGTGGTCAAAGAGCTAGCAATCTGCAGGGCTTAGCACAGGAGAGCTAATGAAAGCTCCTAGGCAAGAGTTTCCCAGTTCTCCTGTCTGCAAAGAGGGGGCATGGAGCAGTATCCAGAAGACTCCAGGTAAGAAGCAGTCTGTTCTAAAACAGTTTGACCAATTACAATAGGGGAAAGGGGTGGCAGTCCAATCCTAGGAGCACCGAGCAGCTTACTGTCAAAACGGTTATAGAATAAAGTAGATCCTCTACCGCTGTCTGCGATGCCACACTACAACAGGAGGTAAAAGCCACATGGGGAGGTAAATGGAAGGGGTGTGCTAGAGACACGTGATGCAACAGACACAAGGGGTGTGCAAGGGACACAAACACAATGGGGGGTGCAAGGCGGCCCCGGGCACCAGCCCGGGAGGCCGAGGGGCGGGGGGGGAGAGGCCGGGGAGCAGGAGTCCCGTTGTGCCGAAAAAAACTGCACCCACCCCACGTCCACCTCAGTCCATGTCCTAGGTCGCGCCCCTCCCCCAACCATCTCCCCACCGGGACCCATCCCACGGCTCCCACACCCGTTGAAAGGTCCTAGAGGTGCCCCTGACCCTAGCCGTAAGATCATCCATCACCCGCATGTCTTTAATCCTATCTATCACATTCATAATCTGCGGTAGCTCCTGCTGTAGCCACCTGAAGGCCACAGCCTGTCTCGCCGCTAGCGTGATCTTATGTAGCAGCTGTTGCTCCTTTCGCGTCCACCCCTTGACCGATCTGCTGAGGAGGTATACCCATGGATCCAACGTGGTTGTCCTGGAGAACACTTGTCGCACCAGGTTATATGCACTTCCGCCCAAAACTGCCCTACTCTGGGGCATTCCCACCACATGTGGTAATACGTTCCCCTAGCCCCGCTAACACAAATCCGACGTAGTTTTATGCATTTTGTACAGGGTTACAGGGGTGGAGTACCAGCGAAACATTGTTTTAAATGCCTGCTCCTGGTGCCACACGCAAATGGAGGAGGTGTTGTTCGCCTCCCATATCTCCTGCCATTCTACCCCCTCTAGCTCTTCTCCCAAGTCCTTCTCCCATCTCTCGGTATATGCTAAGCCCCCCATTTCCCCGGACTCCGTGCAGAAGTGCATATACAGTGCTGAGATCAGTCGCCTGGGTATGTTTTCGGAGGTGCACATACGCTCAAAAAAGGTCAGGGGTTTTATCGCTGCGTCCTTTATGTGTGGTTGGGCTGCAAAGTCTCTAATCTGTATATAGCGGAAAAAATCTGTTGGTGTCAGATGTCTACCCTGTCTAAGCTCATCAGATGGAACCATTTCGGTGCCTCAATATAAATGGTGGAGCCTCTGTAGGCCCGCTCTTTCTAAATTTCGAAAATTTCGTGCTTCTATGCCCGGATAAAAAGCTTTGTTACGTAAGATGGGCGCCAGGGGAGACGGGGAGGATGCCAACCCATATTTCTTCCCGTAATTGTCCCACAGCCTGAGGGAATTCGCCACTGCAGGGCATGCTGCCCTGGTCAGGAGTCTATTCTCCTTTGGAGTCCACATGACAAATTGGGGTAGGTCTATCCCCGACATGAGCGTCTCGATTTCCACCCATTTCCGCTCGTCGAGTGGTGAATGCCAGAGCGCCACCTGCGACATTTGGGCCGCCAGGTAGTAGAAAAATAAGTTTGGGAGACCTAGGCCCCCTCTCCGTTTAGAGCGATACAGGACGTATCTCGAGACCCGTGGCCTTTTGTTTTGCCAAATAAAGCAACCTATAGCCGAAATGTAAAATTTAAAACATAGTAGCTGAAATGTAAAAATTTTCTCAGTCAGATATGTTTACAGTTTGCAATTTTTTTCGTAACGTTTTAAGTTTAATGCACGTCAAACACTTTAGTGAATAAACTGGACAATGTCACATAATTTTAATATGACTATCAGAATTAGTTCATAAACTGCATGAAACAAGTAGAAAAAATAAATAATTTATTTTTAATAGTACAAAATAGAAATGTGAAAATGAGGGGGGTGGGGCAAAGAGCTATGAATTCAGACACTTTACATTATTCAAGCTATATAGTGTTGGAGTAACAGCTCTGTCTGAGCGTAAAGCACACAATTTCTGTTGTTCCTTACCATATGTGAAATCTGTAAGCAACTTGGTATAATATGTCTTCACTTAGATACATGCAAAACAGAGATACATCCGTAAAACATTTTGGAAATGTTACTTCTCACTTTATAATACTGATTGTATCTCAGCACCACCCTATCACACCATACTAGCTACAAGTATGAATATACGAATGACAAATCAAATCAAATAGGTTTAATAAGAATGTAGAATTTGCTACTAAGAATGGCAACTTGTCTGCTCGTGATAACTAAAGTAGCCAATAGTCCCTTACTATTCTATTTGTTATGTCTTTTCTCATGATGAGATTGTGGAATGTACTGTTCTTCTGATATGGATGTCTGGGTTAGCTTGGCTCAGCTTGGGGAAGGTAGATACGAAGTTTGTCTAGAAGTTGGCCTGGCCAAAAGGCATTATCTTCAGAGGTCAAGAAGCAGTGAGGGTACCTCCTTCGCAAGTTACTGAGGAAACAAAAACATAACGTTATTGGTAATGGAAATATTTATAGAAAATTCTTTGATTGATGTCCACCAGTGATTCAGGACCAGATTGTGAGGGAAATGTGTGGAAAATATGAGACAAGCAATGAGAGCATTCTATGTATGACAGTACACACACACACACACACACTATATATATATATATATATATATATATATATATATATATACACACACACAAGATCCAGCGCACTCACTTGTGTATTGTATTATTTGGCCCTCAGCAGCACCTCCATTTATGCATGTTCAGGTGAGTGCAGCCAACCCCCTCGTTTCATATTATATATATATATATATATATATATATATATATATATACACACACACACACACACACATACATATATATTTATATACATACATATTGAAAACGTTAGTGTGTCTGTCAATGGAACTAAAATATTCTTTATATAATCACTGAACTAGGAAGGATATTGTCCTTTGCAGTGGCTCATTCCAGGTTCAATACTCCAGAGTTCACCTTCAGATCCTTTGAGCTAAATGTTGAATAACTTACAATTACAGAATCTGGTGAGTTTAGAAGATAGCTCTTATATTTGGGTGTCCAATCAAACTGCTTTAAATTAAATCAGCAATACACTGCTGGACTGACCAGGTCATCTGCTGGAACTTCTCAAACGTGATCCAGCAGTTCAATGTGTCAGTCTTGTTCTTCAAGTTACTCCTCACTTTGGTTTTCACCTTCCTTACATAAGATTTCGGGGGGTACGGTGTCCGGCTGGGAATGCTGAAGTTGGTAGCAAAAAACAAACGGAGAAAGGTTTATATAAAAGATGTTTCAGACAAAATGACAGAGATTGTGAGAGCACTGTGAAAATGAGAAGAATGCATTTTATTAAATTCACAGTTTTGTTTTTGACTTTGAACTGTTTAAAGTATAATTATCTGTTATCTGCTGCTAAAGTGATGGAACTGTAAAGCTTTGGCTTAAATTAAAGAACCCATTTAGAAACATGCAAATATGTAGGCACACGTAACATGCCTTTTTTTTTTCTTTTATTGATTTATAAAGTCTGTACATTTTTTTTAGACTGGCAGAGAGCATTAGAGACATTTATTTTTTGTTCATCAAATTGTTGTCTATGCAATGCGGGTGAAAGACAGAATTTGGTTCTAATGAATCACCTGCGCAGTCAGTGTTTATGTGTTTAAAACAGCATCCATTGCTAAAGGTATCTTAGATACAATAAAAGTATGAAGTACGTTCCCTGCCTGTGCTCATTTGCATGTCAAGCTGGGAACTGTGGGATAATTATAAAAACACAACTTCTTGAGTTTCTGTCCACAAGGATGACTTGTCAAAGTCTAACTTGAGATATGATGGTAATGCATAACAGTATTTTTTCTATTTGCACTGGGGTGGGGAAGGGTTGTGTTTGGTCTCAACACAATATTTTTGGTACCTAGCTATATGCTCTCAGAGATATTTTAACTTCCAGACCAAAACCACAGCCATGTCATGAGACTATAAGATCAAAACTGCAGTCCATGGCTGGTTTCTGGTTACGGGTCCTGTGGGACCATAGACCACACTTTGGTTTAAAAGAAGCTGTGTTTTAAAACAGTGTCCATTGCTAAGGGTATCTGCAGATATGCAGTATGAAGTCTTAAGCATGATGCATTTATGTGCTTATTTACATGTCAAGCTGGGAACTCTGGGATAGTTAGGCAAACATGATCTCAAAGTCCAACTTGAGATATGCAGGTGATGCATAATATAGTGAGTGTGTGAGCTCACCTCTTCTGAAGCTTAGTGTCAATTTCAAGGCTACACTGAGAGTCCTCCTTTCCTGTACTCTTAGGTTTTGTGAGATCCTTCAGGCTGAAAGTAGCTGTTCCGGGTTGTCGCAATGGCAAATGCTGTCCTGAGGCAGAAATCAGTTTGTCTCCAGGGAACAACAAGGCTGTTCAGTAAGAAACGTGATAAAGGGAATTCATAAAACAAATTCTATCAACGGGGGTTGGAGGTGGCATTATATTACACATACAGTAACAAAAAAAACACATAGCTACATAGCTGAAAAGAGACTTGCGTCCATCAAGTTCAGCCTTCCTCACATATGTTTTTGCTGTTGAACAAACTAGGAAAAAATTCCTTCTTGACCCCAAAATAGCAGTCAGATCTCTCCTAGGATCAAGCAGGTATTAACCCTCTAATTAGAAATTATATCCCCCTATGTTATGTTTTTGCAAGTATTTATCCAATTGCAGTTTAAACATCTGTATGGACTCTGATAAAACCACCTTTTCAGGCAGGGAATTCCATGTCCTTATTGCTCTTACTGTAAAAAAACCCTTTTCTTTGCCTTAGATGAAATCTCCTTTCTTCCAGCCTGAATGCGTGACCTCGTGTCCTATGTATAGCCCTGTTTATGAATAGATTTCCAGATAATGGTTTGTACTGGCCCCGAATTTATTTGTATAATCTACCTGTCCTCTCCTGATCTCTCCCCGTCCCTCTTGACTAGTGTCTCTGACTGCCTCTCTGCTGTTTCTAACTGGATGGCTGCCCACTTCCTTAAACTAAACTTTACCAAAACTGAAATTCTGGTCTTTCCTCCCTCAAGTGTTGTTACTCCTGTGTCTGTCTCCCTCCAAGTCAATGGTGCTACCATCAGCTCCACCACGCAGGCTCGCTGCGTAGGTGTTCTCTTTGACTCCGACCTCTCCTTCAAGCCTCATGTTCAATCTATCGCCAAATCCTGTCATTTCCATCTCAAAAACATTGCGCGCATCTGCCCCTACTTAACGCCAGATGCGACTAAGGTGTTGGTCCATTCCACTGTCCTTTCTTGCCTTGACTACTGTAATCCGCTTCTAAGTGGTCTCACGTGCTCCCAACCTGCGCCGTTACAGTCCATAATGAATGCGGCGGCGAGGCTCATCTTCCTGTCCGCCCGCACCTCCCATGCCTCATCCTTCTGTCAGTCCCTACATTGGCTTCCTATAAAATATAGAGCTCAATTTAAAATTCTGGTTCTTGCTTTCAAATCTCTACATAATGCTGCTCCCACCTATCTATCCTCCCTTATACACAAGTATGTCCCGTCTAGGCCCTTACAACTGTTGAAGACTTACGTCTATCTTCTGTCCGTACTCCCACCTCTGATGCTTGCCTTCAAGATTTCTCGAGGGCTTCACCGTTCCTGTGGAACTCGCTTCCCTCATCCGTTAGATGCTCACCCAGTCTCCACTCCTTCAAAAAATCGTTAAAAACCCACTTCTTCATAAAAGCGTATCAATTAAACTGTTAATAGCTCCTGACTGATTCCTCTTCTGCAACTGTCACTAGTCTAATACTATCCTTACCTTTTTGTGTCATTTTAACCCACTCCCTCTAGCATGTAAGCTCATTGAGCAGGGCCCTCAACACCTCTGTTCCTGTGTGTCCAACTTGTCTGGTTACAACTACATGTCTGTTCGACCACCCATTGTAAAGCGCTGCGGAATTTGATGGCGCTCTATAAATATAATAATAATAATCATCATCATGATATCCCCTCTGAGGTGCCGTTTTCCAAACTAAAGAGATTTACATTTTGTAACTTTTCTTTGTAACTAAAATGCTCCATTCCTTTTATCAATTTTGTAGCTTGTCTCTGCACTTTTTCTAGTGTCATGATATCCTTTATCTTTAGAACAGGTGCCCAAAATTGCACAGCATATTCAAGGTGTGGTCTTACCAGCGATTTATAAAGAGGCAAAATTATTTTTTCATCCTGAGAATTTAGGCCCCTATTTATACATAAAAAAAAAACACCTTTCTGGCCTTAGCAACTGCAGATTGAAATTGCATATTGCTGCCCAATTTGTTGTCTACAACAATTCCCAAATCCTTCTCGTGTGTGGTTATCCCTAATTCACTACCATTTAGTGTGTAAGTTGCTTATGCATTCTTGACCCTGAAGTGCATAGCTTTGCATTTCTCTACATTAAATTTCATCTGCCATTTTAATGCCCTGTCCCCCAATCTATCCAAATCCTGCTGCAGCAAAGCAATATCCTGCTCACATTTTATTACTTTACAAAGTTTTGTGTCATCTGCCAACACTGAAACATGGCTTTCAATGCCTATTTCAAGTTCATTTATAAATATGGTAAATAAAAGTGGTCCCAGAACAGAACTCTGAGGGACACCACTTACCACTTTTGTCCAGCCTGAATATGTACCATTAATGACAACTCGATGTACTCTATCCTTAAGCCAATGTTCTACCCAAGAACAAGAATATTGACCTAGACCAATTTCTTTTAGTTTGAAGACTAACCTATTGTGAGGTTAGTCTTCAAACACACACACACACATATATATATATATATATATATCTATATATATATATAAATAAACACCTATACTGACACATATAGGAAACACTTGAATAAGTGGCTAAGGATGTTGGCTCTTACAGTCCACAACATGACATGTTGTGTAATGACAAAGTGTTGTAATGATACTGTGCAAACTGTTTGGGATTAAGCATTTCCCTATTTTGTTCCATTGGATATACTAACAAAAACTAAACTACATTTGTGCTGGAAGTTGAGTTGGAAGCTGCTGATCTTAAATGGATACTACAAGCATCAAAACAACGTTAGCTTATTGAAGCAGTTTTGGTGTATAGATCATTCCCCTGCAGTTTTTTTTTTTTGGTGTATAGATCATTCCACTGCTCAATTCTCTCCCATTATAAGTTAAATCACAGTTGTTTCTGCCCATGCAGCCCTAACCACACCTCCCCTTGGTATGACTCACACAGCAAAAATGTATTCACTTTAAATGATAAAGTAACTTACTTTAAAATGTTTATCTCCTGCTCTGTAAAATTAACTTTAATCACAACCAGGAGGCTCCTGCTGGGTCTAGGAGGCTATTAACAGGGCAGGAGATAAATTCTAAATTAAACAGACTGTGCAATAAAGGAACCTAGAATATCTAGGTTTTGTTTTTTCAGGAAGTGTCTAGGAAGGCTGTGTAAGACACATGCAGGGAGGTGTGACTAGGGGTGTATAAACAAAGTGATTTAACTCCTAAATGGCAGAGAATTCAGCAATGAACCATTGAGAATTGTTTGGTGCCTATAGTGCCCCTTTAAGAATGTAACGTGTGGCAAACCTAGCCACTTTAAGGCTTACTGTATAACATCAGAAGGTTGTCTGCTTTTATTGTGTGTACGAATGTAGTCGTGTATTTGCAAAAAAAGAGTATTCCAATGCTAACGTCCGAAAGCCGCTAGCATTCATATGGTAGTTTCACGAACAGTGACTTTAGCAATCGGTAGTTAAGTGCTTTCCTGGGTGGCCGTCGTTCGGCTACCGACTAGGCGGCGGTCAGCCATCTTGGATCCTTTGTAAGCCCAGTGGTGTTTGATCGTTGAGCGCCTGGAACTAAAAATGGCTACTCAACGGCGCAAACACTGCTGGACTTCCAGGCTGTTCGGGAGCACCGGTCCTTCGGTATTTTGTTCCCTAATATGTATTTGGTACTTTTAATGAGAATGTAAAATAAAGTGTGTTTCGTGCGGTGTTCGGTTATATATGTATGTATGTATGTATGTATGTATGTGTATATATATATATATATATAATTATAAAAAATAAATAGGTAAATAAATAAAAATAAATGAAAAGATACAAACATTTTAAAAAATATACATATATGTAATTTCATTCTAAGTGTATTTTGCTATGAATATATATTCATATATATATATATTCATAGCAAAATACACTTAGAATAAATTATATATATCTCTATGTATATATAAAAATAATACACAATGTAAATATATCCATACACATAATTACATAAATAACTTTATAAATATACACGTAGACTTCAAATATATAAATATGTTTATAGATTTCAATTATATGTGTATATTTATGTAATATTTCAACATAAGAGAATTTTGAATGCCAAAGTAGACAAAGTAGGCAAATGGGGTATGTTCAGTCTTTAGTAGCCACTTAGTCACAAAAACTGGCCAAAGTTAGCGTTCATAATAGTTTTTTGCATTTTTAGCACACAAACAAATATAAATGCTAAATTTGGCCAGTGTTCACAGTTAAAATGCCACGCAGAACTAAAACATTTAAAAAAAAAAATCTTAATTTCTCACACTTTCTTTTAGACTTTTTCATAATGAATTAGGTTTCATATACGAATAGTTCATGTGAAATGAAAGCCCTGTTTCTCCGGAATAAAATGATACATAATAAGTGTGGGTGCACTTAATATGAAAAAGGTGAATTACAGTTGAACAGACATATAGCGCAAATTCCAGTTTTTGTTAACGTTTTGTTTTGATCACAACGTGTACAACTGGTTCAGTCCTTAAGGGGTTAAACTCTCAATTTTGTTTGTTTTGACAGCAATGTTTTAGCAGTAAATCATGAGATAAATGAAAGCAAAAGAAAAAACAATAGGTCTTTGTGACAGAATATCAATAACCAAGCATGAAGCATCACTGTTCTCACCTCTCTCCAGGATTCTCTCAGAGAGGGGAATTCTGTATTCCTGGCACAGCTTCAGGATCTTGTGGTAGTTCTGCAAACACTGCCTTCGGTGTTGCTCCACTAAATCTCCCATCTCCTCCCCCACTGTAGATGGCAGAGAGTGAGAGTCAACTGCAGCGTTCCCACTGCGCACTAAGCGGCATTGTTCCAACCAGTCCAGGAGCCGAGTATTACTCTGGTGAAAAGAAACACACAAACAGCTCATTTGCCTTCTTCCTTGTGTTTTTTTTCTTAACCAATATGAAAACTGTGTATTTTTCCAGTTTGGCCACTTTAGCCTAAGTTTTGCAGCTCCCATGTCAGGTGTCTTCTGGTCCCAGTATAGTATATAAACCCTGTGTCCAAACTACAGATTATCCAAATGCTTGACAAACTTTTACTCTTTTAACATCCTTCTTCACTCTCTGAAAATTTATTGGAGACCACTGCATTCTTTCACAACTAAATAATGTCTACCTCCATGCACAGCCAACATTCATGGTTATTGGTTAGTGACCCACACCATTCCACCTGTTGTGGCATACAGGGAATCCTTTGTTTGAACTGTTTCCATGCTGGATTGCTTACCTTAGAATGTGTGCAGCATGACAAAATGTGCAGCATTACTTACTTTTGCCCTGCGTTTTCTCTCTTTGTACATCTTTCCGATTTCTTCCATGTCCTCATAACTGAGCGGTCTCATCTCTCCCAGGTTAATTGGTGGAACTTCCAGAAACTGGGATTTGCTGCAGACAGTTTGATCACTGTGGTCCAGTGGAGCTTCTGTACTTGTACTTTCAGGAATAGCCTGTGAGCCACTTAATGCTGATGTGGTTTTTTTTTTCCTGTCCAAGTGTCTCCGGCCTTCTTGAGACTTAATGTAACCCACTGCATATACAGGAACAGAAAAAAACGTACCAGTCAGTATACCAGTATCGGTTATCTTGAAATCAATGTTAACCACAAACAGCACTAAAATCTGTTCTAGTATATAGCAGAACCTCTCACTGTGTTCACCAATGTGCAGCCAGTCAGTAAAACCACCCTTATTATTGGTCAATGCACTGTACAGAGATGTAAAATCTCATAATTTGGTTTTGGCTCAGGGGTTGATTGCTACTGGTTTGGGTATTTAATTAGTTGCACTACTAAGCAATTGTTCATAGTATAACTATTATAGCCCAGAGGAGCATTAGAAAGTCCATAAGCACATTGCTTCACTACATGGCTATCCTACATCCATTCAGCACACCACTCCAATATTTGAGATCTACTTCACAGAGAAGACTGCTACAATCCGACAAGAGATCTCAACACCCCCCACCTCACTCACACTCATCATCCCCATCACCTCCTCTATTTTACGCTTTCTCATACTCACTACAGAAGAAGATTTCTACTCTCTTAATTTTTCCTCCCACCCCACTATTGTTCTCTCAACCATACGTCCTCACATCAATTGTTCTAGGATGTCCTTTCTTACTTTGCCATTTACCAAATTTTTAAATCTCCACCCATCCTGTGTCTTTCATGTTACCTTGCAACACAAAACCAAAATGCCAATCCTCAAAAAGACCCACTTTAACCCAAATTTACCATCCAACTATCACCCTATTTCCACACACCTTTCTCTTACAGGTTTCTTGAGAAAGTTATTTATACCAGACTTATTAACTTCTTTGAATCATTTGAATTGTTTTTCAATATCACTTTTATGCTGATGACACTCACATCTGTCTTCCCTGATCTCTTACCTCCTCACTAAATCATGTCATCATAAACCAAATCTCTCCAAACAGAGCTTCTCATCTTTCCTCCTTCACATACTACTACCCCCATGACAGTCTCCCTCCAGGTAAATGGTGCTACTATCCACAGGCTCGCTGTCTTGGCTTAGTATTCCCCGAAGGACTTTAAACACAGAGGTCCAGTAAGTGTATAACTTGGAGGACTAAGGTTCTTTGCAAGTGTTAAAATTTAGTGGCTCAATCCCATAATAGCAAATACTAGACTATCACCTGCTAGAATTTGGGTACACGGATAGAGATTGTATATTAAGTGTACAATAGCCAATTTCAGCTTGCTTACCTGACTTGGAAGAAATGTTTCGATTATGTTCTTCAGCATTCTCCTTCCTCCACAAGTTTCGCCCTCTTGACAACTCTTTGTAGTTGATACTGTTTGGCATTTTACTGCTCAGTGAAATAACTAGATTTTCAGCCTCCAAATCACTGATGGGTAACTTGGCCTAGAAATATTGGTGTACAAAAGGGAAGTTTGTTGGGAAACATGAAACACAGGGATCTTCTTATAATGAATAAGCTTTTGGCACCCAACTACTTCCATCCAGCTGTGGATTTGCTACAGCTCTAACTAATATGTGCCAGCAATTTGGTGTGGAGGATTATGGATTTTATAGATCAACCACAGCTGGAGAGCAGCAGTTTGATTCCCAGCAAACAGTATTTTGACATGGTTATTCACAAAAGTCCGAAGGGCCACGTACTGAATGGGGCAAAACCATTTGGTGCTGTACAGGGCCTATTTTGAATGCAAAATCCGGACATTGTTCACACTATTTAAAAATGTCTAGGGTCTGCAGAGCAGGCGGCCAATAAGCCTGAATTTGGTCTGGATTTCAGCCAGACTGAATACTTGAACACTGCCAGACAAGAGGAGTCTTAAATTAGAGGGGCAAAGGTTTAAAAATAATATCAGGAAGTATTACTTTACTGAGAGGGTAGTGGATGCATGGAATAGGCTTCCAGCTAAAGTGGTAGAGGTTAACACAGTAAGGGAGTTTAAGCATGCGTGGGATAGGCATAAGGCTATCCTAGACTTAAGATAAGGCCAGGGACTAATTAAAAGTGTTTTGAAATATTGGGCAGACTAGGTGGGCTGAATGGTTCTTATCTGCCTTCACATTCTATGTTTCTATTTGCAGATCCATGCAAGCGGACTTTGTATTTCTGCACCTCATCACTTCCAGTTCTCACTTCTAGCTATTTAGCCAGAGTCACAATCACATATAGCACTGGTAAAAAAACAAAACCTGGTATTGATGGGGGAAGTTACACAGACTATAACCTGATATGTAGTGGCCAGCAAAGAGAAGTTATGTATATCGGGAAGTTACAAAAAACTCCTGGTGCTCAGCCTCTATCCCCATAGACACAGCACTGATCTAGGAGTACAGGAATATCCAATGTAAGAATAGCATTTAATATCAGATATATTTATAGTACGTCACCTCTTTCCTGACAGCTTTAAGGTCCTTGCTGGAGATTTTCTTTCTCTTGTTCTTGTCTGTCTGATTGTACAGATCCACAAGACGCAGCCGGCGCTGATGTAAATAGGAATCTAGCATCCCCAGGGCCTCAGGGCTGGGCTGATGGATGGTGGGTTTGGTAAATTGGATCTGCGGACTTCTCACAACATACTGCTCGGAATCCTGTGATGCCAAACATTCCGTGCAGAAACAATAAAAACGATTGTCTCATCAAATTAAATTTTTTTTGTAGAATAATAGTTATAGCTGCATTCTGCTACTTAACTTTCAGTTTTTAAAAGGGAGTTTAAACTGTCACGAGACACAGGGCTATGTGGGACATAAGGAAAATCAAGCACCAAATATAAGCCCTGATATAATATTTTTGAATAAGCTTTTAAAATGATTTAATATTTTGGAAATATTTTGATATTTTTTATATCAAATATCAGTATGTTTTTTTCACAATATATTTTTTATATTTTAATACGTTGAAAAATGATTTAAAAAGGTTATCCAAAAATACCAAATCAAGGCCAAAAAAAATGGCATTGTCTGTGCGGGAGCCTCCATAGACAAAAGTGTACAAGAATACAAGAAAATGTACAAGAATACAGCACTGAAATCAGCTGCTGGTAGAGCCAGAGATTAAGAGAGTCCCACAGATGGAGATGGCAGTGGCCGGGAGGGTCAGCTTCAGATAAGTAAAACCTACCTTCCCCTGCATCCCAAGGCCACCGCACTCCAAGCGGAGCGGTCACCAACTGGGATCTTAGCTAAATATGCAAAGACTGCAGATGGTGCAGTGCAGCTTTAAATACAACTTTCACTGGGCTCTAAAGAGAATTGTTGGGAATTTAAAATGCATTACAAGAGAATTTCCAATTTTTGAGCAAAACAGCTCAAATGGAAGCATAATAGACTTTTAGAATGTTAAAATTAAAATGTTTCTATTTTGGCAATGTTGGCCTTAAATTTGAAATTTATTTTGAATTGTCAGGTTTAATTCCAGACAATTCCCAATTTAATAAATAACCCTGTCAGTTTAAATGGTGTAAGATTATGAACATGACTCACCCCATTCTGAATTGTCGTCTGGGATTTTTGGCTTTTTGACCTTTCCTCTGACATTGTCTCCTGCATTCTGACCTCTAGCTCAGTGAGGAGGGATTTTCCTTGTAGCCACTTAGCAACATCCCCCATATTATCCAACTGAGTCCGAAATTTCTTCCGTTCTGATATCCAATCAGCACAGTTCACACTGGATTCTCTACCATGGATCGGTGTCCTCTTATCAGTGTCTGGTTTGACACTGCTCTCAGGGGATTCTAGAACCATCTCTTCAGGTTTTGGTTTCCTAGACTCAAATTTGTCCATTGGAGGAGCAATGATTCGTCGCGTTCTTGATTTTGGAGGACCAAATGTCCTGCAGGCCACCCTGAAGAACAGGGTCTGGGATAGATCTCGCTGGCGGTATTGGTTTGGATCATTCTCCACTGGCATCAAGGGGTCTTTAAATAAAACTTCTTTGGCCATTGTCTAATTCAGCATCTACTTAAAAAAAACAATAGAACGAGCTATAGATGACGCTAAATAAATAAATTTTTCACTTTATTAAAAAAGCTTTTTGTTTTAGCAACACCTTATTAGTGTATTCGCTCTCCAACACTCAATTCCAAAAAAGCAAATATAAATTGTGCTGTGCCTTTAAGATTGTGCTCACAAAAATTATTGTGTATTGCAATCAACCCCAGGAAGTAAAATAAATCAATGCAGCAAAGTGCTTGTGCTCAGAATAAAACTGTTCCTCATGCAGGAAACCAGTATTTTGTGCAATATTTTTGTGCAAACACACTGCAAGATATATGTGTAAATATTATTGCACCATTCCACATTAAAGTGCATGAATATTAAAAGTGCATTATAAACTCTGTGTAAGTCAAAGTTTAAAACCAATATGCAAGATAAATTTACCATTTCACTCACAAATTTGGTTCATAGAGAGTTGATTTTTCACATGAAAAAAACAAAACATAAAAGCAAAATAGTATAATATTGCAAACACAATTATATCGTTAAAAAGAGGTAGATTGTCACACTCACAAATAGAGAGCAGGTAAAGAGACTGTTCAGGCTGCTTGCGCTTTTTCACTGTATGTCAGCATCTACATAAGAGCACACAAGGGGTAAAAGTTTAAATGGGGGTCAAACTATGCTTATAGACAACATTTGTATTGACACTAGCCTCACATTTCTTCCTCTTATATATGAAGTACCACATGTAAACAAGCAGCACAGCTATGGCAATAGCATGGTCTCCACACAAGTAAAGGGACACTATAGTCACCCAGACCACTTCAGCTCAATGAAGTGGTCTGGGAGCCAGGTCCCCCAGGTTTTAACCCTTCAGATGTAAACATAGCAGTTTCAGAGAAATAGCTATGTTTACATAGCAGGGTTAATCCAATCGCTAGTGGCTGTCTTCCTGACAGACGCTAGAGGCGCTTCTGCGACGCTGGATGCGACAACCGCATCCAGCGTGCAGAACGTCCATAGGAAAGCATTGAGAAAGGCTTTTCTATGGACTGTTTGAATGCGCGGGCGGCTCTTGCTGCGCATGCGACTCCACTCGGGAGCTGACGTCGGCAGGGGAGGAGAGGTAACCAGCGCCGAGGGAGCCCGGTGCTGGATTAAGGTAAGTGGCTGAAGGAGTTTTAACCCCTTCAGCCCAGCGGGAGGGAGACCCTGAGGGTGGGGGAACCTTTAAGATTGTATAGGGTCAGGAACCCGGCTTTGTTTTCCTGACACTATAGTGATGCTTTAACCCCTTAAGGACACGACATGTGTGACATGTCATGATTCCCTTTTATTCCAGAAGTTTGGTCCTTAAGGGGTTAAACATCATGTTCTAAACATCTCCTTTTATTACTCTCTGCTGCAGCCAGATCAAATGTAGTTCAAAGATAAAGAGGTTACTACAAAGGCTTAGCAGAAGAAGAAAATGTAACAATGTAACATCAATCCATCTTAAGCTTCAGAGTGAATCGTTGACTTCTCAGAAGATAATGCTAGGGAAGGGGTAGGCAACCTATGGCACGAGTTCCAATGCACGGCACTCAAGGTGTCTTTGCACGGCACTCAAGGCTGCTAGAGCCAAACAGGCTCAGACCTATCAGGAGTCCCAGTGAAACTTCAGATATCTGTTCGTACGAAAAGGTGGTGAAGGACAATCCTCAATTTATGCATTGCAGCACGTAAAGGAAGTTATCTCAGATCACGTCATCCCAGCACTTGTGAATGGGAATCCACACTGCAGTAGAGCAGCCCGCAGGTGCTATCACAGCTCCTGCCCTTGACCTGTACCTGGCCAGCCTGGTCCCCACCGGAACTCAGAGATGCCACCCACACTACTAGATATACACAGATCTGCAGAATAACCCTCCCCTCATACAAATAATATGAACAGCCCACACACAAACATACACACAATGCGAACAAACGTAACACCACTAACAATCCACACACGTGCAGCCTCTCATATGCAATAACCTAAACAGCCCCCACACATTACCAAACACACAATGTGACATTTCCATCCACACACAATTCCACAAGCAGCCCTCATACACAGCCCACACTCATAGGTATCATACACGATACCATAAACTACTAATGAACATATACAATAGAATAGCTCATATACGCACAAATACAACGATAGAAAGCAATTACAGTAAAAATACCACAAGCAGAAGACGGCAACATACACACTGCAATTTTAAAAAAATAGGACCAACACGCTACGGGACATCACAATCCTATATCGGCACAGTGCTGCTAAAAGGTTGCCAACCCCTGTGCTAGGGCATCTTCTCCAAAGCAACAATGAAAAATGCATCCTATATGTTTTGGCAATCCTGTATACACCTTTTTATTACAGGTTTTAAGAGAGGACTAATAATATCAAACTAGAGAGTATTCCTTCTATTGATGTTTTAAGCATAAAATCAATCAACCCCAGTGATAAAGGAATTTGTGATCCAGATGTTGGAACAGAAATAGAAATATTGTAGCTGATCCACTAACCAGAGGTGCCATCTCCTCACTATTGATGGATGCATATAGAGGTAAATTGTATTTACAGTAACTTGTCATTATGAGCAATAAATCTTAAGAACTCCAAGGGTTTATTCACTAAACACTGAGTAAAATTAATTCAAAATTGAATGGCAAAATTTAGGCCAAAACAGCTGAATTGGGAGCATTCTCCAAGTCATCCGTAGTCATAGTTTGCTACTCTAGCCTAAACTTACAATTCTGTTTTCAATCAACTAGAATTCTCGGTTTACTAAATAAACACCATGTAGTCCATAGGAGAGAAGAGTGAGCCTAAATTACTTTAGGAAGAGTCCACACTCACTGAAACTGCCAGAGATGCGACAGAAACTAAACAATTTCACATTTCCCAGAAATATTTGTTTTGAATTGGTGTGATCATAGTTCCTTGTCTGACCATTTTTGTTCATCACACAAACTCAAACGTATCTTAAATTGAATGTAATTAAACATTTACATTTAGAATAGCTACAGGTTTAACCAGATCAATGGGAGCCTCATGGATCAGCAATTAGAGAGAATTTTAAACAGTGCTTTCAGGAAGAAACAGGATTATAATAAACCCCCAAAACGGTGACAACATAAATAACAGAAAAGTAAAATACAAAATGAATTTGTAACAATAGTACAATGTGATAAATAAAGGGTTAATATTAGGTAAAGAACATATTGAGACTATTACCTGGACCTATAGGCACAGAGCAGGGTGAAAGGCCTGCAGGGTCTGTTGATTTGGATACCATAGTTACTGCCCCACCCTTCTGTACTGTGATTGGCTTTTCAACTCCATAGTTGGGTCATATGTTCATTGTTTACACACAGCTCATTCAGGACAGTCAGAGTCACAGCATTACATATTAGGGAGCCTACATGAATAGTGTCTCCTAATGAATCTGTTTGATCTTATTCACAGATTCACTAAATTGTGTAAACCCCATTCCCCCAAAAAATAAATAAAATAATAAAAAAAAATTATATATATATATATATATATATATATATATACACACACACAAACATACATAAAATATATGTAAAGTAGGTAACTAATAAAGATATCTTTGAGATGGAGTGGAAGAATTGCTGTGAAAACACTTTTAAATTCAAATTTGTAGCTAATTAAAATTGCATTTGAAGCACCGATGAGAAAACAGTCAAGCTGTGAATACAGATGAGTTGGAAAATGATTACAAACCAGTTATTTTAGCCGATGTTTTGGCTTTTGGATGTTAGTTCGTTACAATTTGGAGTTTTGTGAATAAATGTTTTGGCACAGTAAAGAAAATCTGGGCTCGACTGCAAAGCTACAATTATGACATAAGCCACAAACGTATTGTGTAGACTGTACTCCACAAAAAAATAATAATAATTAAAAAAAAATATGTTCACAGAGGAAATGGATGCACCTTTGAAACATTTGATGCTCACATATGCTCTGCAAATAAACAGATTCTTACAAATGAACATTTGTGAGGTCCTTCACCTTGTTTAATTGGCCTGTCTCCTTTGAAATCTCACTAAGCAATGTAAAAGCACTAGTGTTAAAGGAACACTATAGTCACCTAAATTACTTTAGCTAAATAAAGCAGTTTTAGTGTATAGATCATTCCCCTGCAATTTCACTGCTCAATTCACTGTCATTTAGGAGTTAAATCACTTTGTTTTCTGTTTAAGAAAATCTTAAACAGAACTTGCAAAAAAGAAAGCCTAAATAGGGCTCTCTTTACAGGAAGTGTTTATGGAAGGCTGTGCAAGTCACATGCAGGGAAGGTGTGACTAGGGTTCATAAACAAAGGGATTTAACTCCTAAATGGCAGAGGATTGAGCAGTGAGGCTGCAGGGGCATGTTCTATACACCAAAACTGCTTCATTAAGCTAAAGTTGTTCAGGTGACTATACTGTCCCTTTAATATATTGGTCTGTCCACATAAAGGAATGTGACTAAATATGTAGATCATAGGCAAAGAAATCTCTGCACTCCATCTGTTCTGAAAAATAGCATTAGCTTTATTATTTTGGGCTTGTTGATTTTAAGTGCAGTGATAATATAAAATGAAATATTTAAAAGCAGCCACACTAGAAGAGTTAATACAATGTAAACAAAACATGAAGATAGATACAAAGATCGGTATAAAAATGGTCACAAGGAAAATACAGAAAACACATTCTTTATTTCAGGCCAAGTTGTTCATGATTCTCCCACAGCCAGGCATGGTATTTATTCAGCTTGTGATCTTCTGGATGCACCTAAAATAAAACATGCATTTAATCTGAGAGGTAGGTTTTTACATTGTAAATATGACATTTTTAATCATGTTTTTAACCACAAATTTCACGATTTTATTTATTTATTTTTAAATTCTTTATTTTTGTTGTACATAGAATTGCATACAAGCCTGTATGGCCACAAGAGTGGTAACAAGCATTACAGCTACCGACTTTGTCATGGCATTTGAGTTGTTCACTGCACATTTTATATATGAAAAAAAACAAGAGTCAATAAAAAAACCAAGATAATGTGGAATTAGCTCTATGAAGAGATCAATTAAACTGCAGGGTATGCATGACAGAAAAGCAGAATTAAGATTGATTATCTAAATCTGCAGTGATGGAGCAGATCTAAGGCTGATATTAGGATACCAGTAGATTCAATTTTGCATGTTTATCACTCTACAGCTCTAGAATCAGGTTGGAGACATCAGATCTGGCACCTGTAAGTGCTTTCCTCTCTTCTCCTCATCTTTCCGCTTGATACCCATACAGAGGACGCACAGGAGCTGTATAGCTCTGTACCTTGCTGGCTCACCGCTTGCCTGCTTGCTGCCTGTCAGCTCACTGCTTATCTCCTCAGCCATCTCGGTCGTAGCGGGCCTCTGTTGAACGCTGCTTGTCGGCTTATTGTGTGACAGAATGACTGTGGGGGAGCCGCTACAATCTTGGGTATTGACTGCTTGGCCCTTAGCTTCTTCCAAAAAGCATTGAAGAGGGCATCAAGGCGCTGGAGAGTAGTGGTTATCATTCCTCCTTGGGTGAGGATATCCACAGCGTCCGCCATCTTAGGGATACCTTTGACGGGAATGTCGGCTTCTGCGGTACTGCCATGGCTCCGTGGTGGGTCATGAAAGCCTTTTGGGCGGGGACCGGGATCACCCCCTACGGTCCAAAGGGGCGGGCAGTGGGGCATCAATAACATGCTTGGGGCTCTGCTTGCTCTTGTGTGCGAGAGCGGTCGCCTCTCCGCTCTGCAGCACCTGTTAGGCCTCATTATATTTTGACTACTAGAGTGATAGAGAGGACTGCAGGGTATGCTCCCCATTTGCTCTGTCAGGTAGTAAAACTCATAGTAAGTAGTAGACTTAGAAATAATTGCTAATTAAGCCCAGAAATTCAAATTGTACAATGTGTCTCAGGGAGCTCCCCAGAGACACGTCTAGTTGCCATGATGGGCAGGCCCTGCTTCCCTCAATTTGATGTTGTAAATATCAGAAAGAAATCAATATAAACCTTTACATGTAAAAATAGTTTAGAGTGTAATTTATTCCTCCACTTTTTTTTTTTTTAACACTTCTCTTACACAGATCTCAACTTTAAGGACATACACATGTGCTACTTGACACTGCTTGAGTTTCAAGGAGGTGCGCTATATGTTGAGAGTGACATGCCAATGTGCAATGGTATAGGATTATATAGCGATGCATCACACAATATATTGATTAAATGTACAAGCTATAGCTTTCTACACATATGAAGTCTATTGCTAAAACAGTAAGACTGTAGGTGCATTATCTATACACCAAAACTGCTTCATTAAGCTTACATTGATTTGATGTCTACAGCATACCTTTAAAGGACCACTATAGGCACCCAGACCACTTCAGCTTAATGAAGTGGTCTGGGTGCCAGGTCCATCTAGGATTAACCCTTTCTGCCGTAAACATAGCAGTTTTAGAGAAACTGCTATGTATACTTTAGGGTTGATCCAGCCTCTAGTAGCTGTCTCATTGACAGCCGCTAGAGGCGCTTCCGCACTTCCGCACTTCTCACTGTGATTTTCCTATGGACTGGCTGAATGTGCGTGTGGCTTGTGCCACGCATGTGCATTCAGCCTATGACAGGGAAAGGAGGAGGAGAGTCCCCAGTGCCGAGGGAGCCCGGCGCTGGAAAAAAGGTAAGAGATTAACCCCTTCCTCACCCTAGAGCCCGGCGGGAGGGGAGCCCAAGGACCCTATAGATCCAGGAAAACGAGTATGTCCTCTAAGTCCAGCAAGTGGATAAAATATGATATATATAAGACATCTGTGATAGGCATTCTGTATTTCTATTTTACTTGAAATAAAGCACTTTTTTTTCCCTGACGAATTAACTTGTGACTGACTTCTGTGAGTAACCAGAATCTTTTTTATTTTTTATTTTTTTTTAAGTATGCATAAGAAGCAACATGAGAAAAGTCTATTGTCAGCATCCCTTATTACAAAATTCTCCCTCGTAATAAGCTTATGATTCATTCTGTCTAAGATAGCTTTCTGCATCCTTTTAATCTTCCCAGACCTCCCAACATCTTTCTCTATACTTTTTTATTTTACTTCTCACTTTTGTCTCTAGATAAGCCTGTGGGCAGAGCCCCATAACCCGTTGAATTGGTTTGCTGCTGGGTTATGTTTTATAAACCATTTACAAGCTTAAAAATCAATAATAAACCATATTACCTCTTTCCATTCATTTACACAGAAGATCCGATAAGAATCATTGCCATATTTTCCAATTCCATGGAGTTCAATGGGATAACGCCACTTCTTAGTGAGATACTCACCTAAAGAGCAAAAAAATCAATCATTACTAAACTTCACCAGTTACAAAAAAAAATAAATAACATGTGAACCAATTATGGAATGAAGTTCCTTCCTCTCCTTAAGGAAATGTTATTATATAAACTTCTACCTATAGATTTACCTAGCATATAAACTCAGCAAGCAAATCGTAAAGAGAAACTGCAATCGAGATGAAGACAGTTTCAAGGAACACTCCAAGCACCACAACCACTACAGAGTGCCATAATGGTTATGGTGCCAGGAGTGTCCTTGTGCTCATGCCTACCTCTACTATTTTCTATCTGAGCTAAGGAACATTTGATATATGCAATAACTGGCAATTCACCCTGCTTTGCTTTATAACACGTTTCCTGTGGCAGAACCACAGCATTAGCTTAAAAAGTACCTAAGTAATAGACATGTTGAATACATGAGAGAGATGAAACCAACATAGACCTATGAAAATGCTGGGAAGCCCATGTCTTAGTCTGGTTTGTCAGTGGAAGACGTGCCTGAAAATCTGACAATGGCCTTTGCTCGCAGTTCATGGAGTCCAAGAGGCTGGAGAAATTCTGACATTGGCTTCCAGTCCGCTATTCTGGCTGCTTGGGGTGTGGGGTATTTTTCTAGGAAGTTCCACAAAGCTGGAATTGCCATTTTTCCTGTAACAAGAGACAATTTTAAATGTTGTAAAAAAAAAAATAAAATAAAAAAAAAAAAGACTTTCTATGGAAAAAGCATATGTGCCCGTCCCTCCAGCAGCTAAAGAATAAAGTACACATTTTTTATGTGTATGAGAGGATGTCCACAGACACTGTACATGCAACCATAAAATTTAGGGAGACGTGGAGGGTGTGGGAGAACTGATATAACGAGGGGAACATAGTGCAGAGTAGGGGAGGGCGGAGAAGAGAGGAGGGAGACATGAGGGGAACGCAACCACACATAGGGTGCTACTCCAGACCGACGTAAAACAGAGTAAATGGTAGATGCCTAGTACTATTCTAACTAGTTCATGCCTTTATGTATGGTTTTGTAAATACCTTTGTTACGTATGATTTGTTTTTCTTCACAGTTCTCATGCATATCATCTTATGGTTAGCTGAAGGTCCCAGATTGGATTTAACTAATCTCCAACTTGAGTCCTCAGTTGCTCCTACTATACTATATCATCATACGGTGTCGATGACTGTATACATGTCCTTATTCACTGTGTTGTAACTATGTACTGGATATATAGCTATGAAATCCTTCATTAAAATACAATTGATTAAAAAAAAGAAAAAAAGAAAAGAAAAAGTACTGTCTAGGCATATAAAGACTTACTGCATGTAATAAATAAATGCAAGACCATCTTTATATTCCGGTTAGAATGATGGTGCTTGCCCTTTCAGCTATGGGGAAGGATACAAGCCTGGAAATTTAAAATAAACTTTAACTTCTAGAATTGTCATGTGGGGCTGATCTCTATACACTATTCAAGACTAACTTGGTGACATGGAAGGTGAATTTTGCTTGTGTCAATGAAAGCTTTATATCTGGGTATGTTTCAAGGCAAAATTGGTAACTTCTCCAACTTACTAAAGTCTAATAAATTCAAAATGTCGACTCCACTAAGACAAACAGATATATCTTTAAGTTGTAAAATATTGTTCTTATTATTTATTTATAAAATATTTTACCAGGAAAGATACATTGAGATTTCAAGTATGTCCTGGGTGAATTAAGATAATATTAATCTGTTGAGAAATATCCAGTTTTCAACTATCCAAAACATTCTGTCTTATGTCCTCAAACAGGCATGCACGGGTGCTACTTGGGTCGATTACACGTTAACACATGAAGATTCACAGAATATGACTTTAATGACTTTACTAGTCATTGCACTACACACTGCTCCTATCACAAAACTCTCACCAGATGTCTTGTTTAAAAATATGGTGGCGAGTAAAAGCTTCCATGGGTCATGAAACAGTGTTTCTTGAACTAAATTAAAAGGAGATCGTGGAGGGGTCCACTTAGAAAATGCTTTTCGTCTAGGTGGTTCCGGAGCTGTAAGGAAAGAAGCAGAGTTTAGTGCATTTATATTTAAACACAAGAATGCTGCAAGAATTAACATTGCCACCTTATGACTAGGTACTGAAATTTAAAAGTGATTCCTTGTGGTTATAGGCAGGATGAAATAGCAGTAGATGAATTCCCTGCACCAAGTAAAACTTATGGACCAAACAATTATTACTTTCAAGGTTGGACAGAACCACAAATATGGAGACAGCCCCGTTTATATTCTCAAAAGTAAATTGCCCCTTTACATACAACTTGATATTTGTGTTTGATGAAGGATATTCTTACAACAAATGGTATTGATGACCACAAGTGCTAATCAAAGTATTGAATAAGGATATTAACCTTCCTTCAGGATTTTACTGGAAAAATAAGGGCTTGTTTTACGCTTCTCAACCTGTGACCTTGGAACAGTGTCTAGAGAGAAAAAAAAAAATATATATATATAATTTTTTTTTATACTTTTAAACAGAGAACAAAACACCAAAAATAAAGATTTATACATGGACTTACTTTGAGTCAAAGTGATATGGTCATCATGATTGGAGTCATTCGTTTCTTCGTCTATCTTGGGGTCGCTGAGAGATTCTAAATGACACAGGACAGTCAGATGTTCAGCTTTTACCATGGAAGTGTTGATGCTTTCAGACTGGTCAACAGCGTCCGTGCTCTTATTTTTACAGCGTTGCCTTGTTACTATTGCAGGTCCTAAGAGTGAATCATTGGTAGTTTTTACTTTGCATCTTTTTCCTGTCCTATTCTTTTTAATAACCCTCTCCTGGACACTTGGTTTCAGCTTGGTTAGTGCTTCTCGTTTAAAAGAACTACTTTTCCGACGCAGATTGATTTTCCCATCTTCTTTACATTTTTCTGCCCTTGTCCTCTGACTTGTCAGCCTTCTTCTCTGAAGAACTTTTATTTCCATTTGGTTTTCCTCTCTACAAGCCAACAGATCTTCTGTCATATTATTTATTTCATTGCTGACATTAATAGATTCAACAGAATGATGGCTACCCAGGCGTTGTCTTCTAAATGATGTACTTAGCGCCTTATGCCTTTTACATGACATTTTGATCTCTTTTATTGTCCCTGTGTCCCTTTCACATGGTCGCAACTGTTCATGGCATGAAAAATCAAAATGTTCCACTTTAGGGTCAATTTCATTGTTTTTAGAAAGATATTTTATAAGAGAACATTTGGATCTAAATTTTGTTCCTTGAGGGCTATGAACAAAAAAAGAAAAAAAAATATGAAGCATTTAAAAAAAAAAAAAAAGTGATTTGTTATAAGATATGTAAAGTTAAAACCTGTGTAAAACTCACCTTATAAACAACACATCATATTTTCCTGCAGTTTTGCCCGATCCTCTTTGTTTTATTATTTTTTTCCACCCATCTGGTAGGCTACCAGAGATGTCTGAATCAACACATTCATAATTTCTATTTTTATTTAATCCTGTAGAAACCTGCACTTCCTGCAAAATCTTCGTGGACGGGTAGTTACAATAAACAGTTTGATGTTCTACATGTTCCTCACTGGAAATAAAAAGAGAAAAAAAAAGTATATGAGCATGGTCAGTGATTTGGCCAATATATGTGATAAATATGACACAATAGTAAGATTTGTTTGTTTGTTTTTTCATTTAAATTAAGAGCTGTGGTAAACTGCAACCGCAAGTCAATTTGTTTCGGTGAAAATAAAATATTGAAAAACAACTTAGCTATTTATGTTAAGTAAATTTAGGCTTATATTTCATAAAAGGGTATTTGCAGTGTTATAAATACATTGGTGACAAAAATGAAGAGCTTCTGCTGCATATACCCCAGATTTGCAACTTCTGCATTCATCTCTTATCATTAAAAAAAAACATCTGAAACCACAAACCAACCCTAGTGCTCCCATTATTTTTTAGTATTGTACAGGCCGCAGCACACCAGATGAATATATAATTTATTAATGAAAATTTCTTGTTGAACCAATTTTTTTGCAAGGCATATAAGCTGCTATATTAGCTTGCCATGCAGCTTTTTCAAAATTGAAGTAGGTGGCCAGATGGTGCATATTTTTAAATTTGCATGCTGATAAAATAACCACAACTACACAATACGTGTAACACAAAGAAAAGGTGCGTATGTAATAGCTCAAATAAGCAACGTTCAACTATAAAGCCAAGACGGATATTGCCATTAATCTGATCCTCAGAACTATGGCTTGGTTACCTGGCCAGGATGGAGGCAGCCATGTTGAAGCTCCTCTAAGTCATGTGACTGTAGAGTGTAGTTGTTTTACGCATGCGCTCTATGGTTATGCCTTTCCTCCATCTATGGGCGCTGGGGAGGCGTGGCTCTGTATGCTAATGAGCAGCAGACAGTTCGTAATCTCCTGCCTACCGAACACTCTATTATCGGGTCCCGGTTAGACTGATCACCGGAACCATGCGGGCCGTGCCAACCTGGATAGACCGAGTCCACGACCGGGATAAAGTGGAGCAATGGTAAGTGGGTTATTCAGCCCTTAGCAACCGACCAGGGCCATAGCAACCGGGGCTGGGGGTATAGAGTGCATAGCAACCGACCAGGGCCATAGCAACCGGGGCTGGGGGTATAGAGTGCATAGCAACCGACCAGGGCCATAGCAACCGGGGCTGGGGGTATAGAGTGCATAGCAACCGACCAGGGCCATAGCAACCGGTACTGGGGGTATAGAGTGCATAGCAACCGACCAGGGCCATAGCAACCTGGAGCTGGGGGTATAGAGTGCATAGCAACCGACCAGGGCCATAGCAACCGGTACTGGGGGTATAGAGTGCATAGCAACCGACCAGGGCCATAGCAACCGGTACTGGGGGTATAGAGTGCATAGCAACCTGGAGCTGGGGCTATAGAGTGCCTAGCAACCTGGAGCTGGGGTTAAGGGGTGCATAGCAACAGAGACTGGGGTTCCATGGTAACCAAGTGCAAGGGACCATGGTTGCATGGAAACCAGGTTCCGGGGTATAACTTGCATAGAAGCCATGTGTCAGAGGGACCTGGGTGCATAGTAACTATGTGCCAAAGGAACACTGGGTAAATAGGAACCAGGAGTCAGAAGGGCATGGGACCATGTAACTAGGTGGCAGAGGATTGTTTGGTGTGTAGTAACTAGGTGGCAGAGGAGAAGGAGATGCATAATAACTAGGTGGCAAATAATCAAAAATTGCACAGTAACTAGCTGGTAAAGGAACTTGAAATCCATAGTAGCCATGTACCAAGGGTGGCATGGTGTGAATTGGTACCAAGAGACATATGTTGCACAGTAACTATGTACCTGAAGGCCATGAGATGCAGAGTTACTAGATGCCAGGGGCTGTGCATAGTAACTAGATGCCATGGGGTCATGAAATGCATAGTAACCAGGAGAGGATTGTCATGGGGTGTACCTGGAAATTATGATATGAAGTGTTACAGTGTGCAAAGTAATCAGGTGGGCAGAAAGAGACAACGATTCGGCCTGGTTATAGTTGACCTGTAAGGACATTAGTATACTGAAACCAGCAGCTCCAGTCAAACAACTATTGGAGTGTTGGCTGGCTGAGCATCATGAGACAATATTCAATAACATTTGAAATTCTAAAGTTAAATCATTTTACTTGTGATGTGCCTTTCTTTTTAGAGTTCTAGAAATGGTGATGCATAGAATTTGGTACAATTTCATACTGGACAAATTGACAGCAGTGTTTCCCAAACCAGTCCTCATGGCCCGCCAACAGTCCAGACTTTGTCAATATCTCCATTGGAATAAAAAAGGGAAATACATAAATCCTTGATTGTTTGTAGGCCATCAGGTCTGGTTTGGAAATCACTGCCTTCCAGCTTATTATAAAGCATGGGCACTATGGAAAGAGTTTGATGGTAGTGGCGTTTCTTGAGTATATGGTTGACTCAGTATCCCCCTCCCCGATGCAGCAACTCTTTCTTTTTACTAGAAGCTTTTTTTTATCTATATTTCCCTCTCTTTCCGCTCTGTTCCACCACCTTTTTCTTATTAAGTCACCGCTCACACACAGGAAATGCATACAAGAATTTCTATCAATGAATTGTTGACTATAACAAACTGAAATCTCTTCACAAGAGATACCTGCAGCAAATATGTTTCTTAGGAATTTTAATAAATGTGCACCGTTCCTTTTTCAAGCAGTGTGCCTTAAGCGCATCCCCGGTGGTGCTGTCTGGGCCTAATAGGTAATTTCAATGGCCACAGTACTCAGTTACATCTTGTATTTTCATTGTTTTTATTTATGGTTCTCTCTCCGAATAAATCTCTTTACGGATTTCTGCCCTTGTTTATTTGTTTAAAATGCTGCTTGAACAAATGGGACATGTTATTTCATGTGCAGCTATAAAGAATTAAAAAATAATACATAGAGCTCTAAATCTGTTCAGCAAATTGTCCAAATGGTTGCTCAACGGACAACAATGCCTTTTTTTTCACCAAGTCAGAAAATAATCCCCAAATAATAGGAAAAATAATAAATAAAAAACAAATACTGTTTCTAACAGTTTTATTTTATAAACCAGAAATTGTGTTAATTAGCTTGTATGACATGTGGCATAGATGCTACACCCAATTCACTGGTACTATTTTTTAATCAAAAATGGAAAAGGTTGAATTGACCATCTCCTCATTAATGTTTTGATAAGCTTTTTCAAATGATTGAATATTATGAAAAATATTTTAATTTTGTAATGTTTTGATATTTTGTTGATATATTTTTCACATATATTTTGGAAAAATAATTGTAAAAGTTTATCCAAATATATTAAATTGTTTGAAGGGAGGTGTACGTAGGATGTAGGACACTAAGGAGGAGCTAAGGGCAATGGGAAATGCGCATATGCACTAAGGTACCACCCGGTTTCCTAAGCTGTGTTCACCTTCGTGGAGCTGAGTGCTCTGAGAGCAGTGACTAGAGAGTGCAGAAATAATCACCACGAGGGCAGGAATATCGGATAAGAGGGTACTACTTGAAAGTATATCTGGCCGAGGGTCTCCGTTTACTACATTTGACACGGATAGCCTTGCTGTCAATTCCACAGGGATAGTAGATGATCATAGTTACAATGACCCAAAATCAATCGGCAATGCCTTTAATAAATTCTATGCAAACTTTATAGCCTCTCCTCCAGCCCCCAGGAAACAGTAATATCTAAATATTTGGATAAGATTGAGTTGCCAACACTTACGGATGATCAGCAGAAAGAGTTAAGCTTACCATTCCCCGAATATCAGGTCACTTTGATAATTAATAATCTTAAAGGACCACTATAGTGCCAGGAAAACATACTCGTTTTCCTGGCACTATAGCGCCCTGAGGGTGCCCCCACCCTCAGGGTCCCACTCCCGCCGGGCTGGATGGCGAGGAAAGGGGTTAAACTTACCCTTTTTCCAGCGCCGGGTGGGGAGTTCTCCTCCTCTCCGCCTCTGATCCTAATCTTCGGCTCAATGCGCATGGGCGGCAGGAGCTGCGCGCACATTCAGCCAGTATAATAGGAAAGCATTCATAATGCTTTCCTATGGACGCTGGCGTCTTCTCACTGTGATTTTTCACAGTGAGAAGCACGCAAACGCCTCTAGCGGCTGTCAATGAGACAGCCACTAGAGGCTTTAGAGGCTGGATTAACCCTAATATAAACATAGCGGTTTCTCTGAAACTGCTATGTTTATAAAAAAAAAGGTTAATCCTAGGGGGACCTGGCACCCAGACCACTTCATTAAGCTGAAGTGGTCTGGGTGCCTAGAGTGGTCCTTTAAACTGAATAAAGCTCCAGGTCCTGACTTGTATACTAACTGTTTTTTTTAAGACGTTTAAAACCGAGCTTTCGCAACATTTATTAGACACATTTAATGAGATTAGAGAAACTGGTCTTCCTTTGAAAGAATTAATACAGGCCAATACTTCACCAATATTAAAAACAGATAAGGACCCTACTGATCTAGCCAATTACCGGCCTATATCTCTTATAAGCTCAGATATTAAAATTTACTCAGCTGTCATTGCGACTAGACTAAAATCAATTATCCCGTCTTTAATTCATCACAACCAAATAGGCTTTGTTCAGAATCTAAATCCAAGTAACAATACTCGAAGACTGACTGGCTTGATTGATTATGTAACAAGGAGCAAGATTCCTCTGCTGGCCCTGTCATTAGATGCTGAGAAGGCATTTGACAGGGTCAGTGGGAGTTTTATGAACCAGACTTTGGCCAAATTTGGATTTGTTGGTTCCATCAAAACTGCAATAATGACTCTCTATTCTAGTCCAATGGCGAAAACTGTGGGCCCTGGCATCTCCGCAGATTTGTTCACAATTTCTAACGGGACAAGGCACGGATGCCCCCTTGCTTCGCTTTTATATATTTTAACACTTGAACCACTTGCAGTGAGTATAAGAAACAACTATCAAATTAAAGGAGTCATCATGGATCATTCTGATTTTAAGACCAGCCTCTATGCTGATAATAAAATTAACATTGACAGATCCGGTCACATCACTAGGGGCCTTGATCTTAGAGTTAGAAGATTATAGTAGAGTCTCAAATTACAAATTAAATGTTGGTAAATACTAAGTTATGCCCATTAACTTAGACTCTATGACAATTAAAAGACTATCAACTTATGCCATTCGGCACCTTCCATGACGGAATTTTGTATATAGTTATCCCTCCCCTGATATATCAGTTTATGTTATGCATAAGTACCCCCTCCCTACCCCCCAAACCTCTTAAGCAGTTACTACACCGCCCCAGATCTTTAGCAACACGGGTAAACCCACATAGGTCGACCATGCACCATAACCGCATTGATTCCGCGAACAGATTGCCCCACGAAGACATCTTCACCAAGACGTCTAGCCATCGGATACCTGAACTAGAGAACCAAACCTCTATGGTCTATTCTCACGCTCCATCCTATACAACGCTTATGATGGGGTACCAAACTATCCCGCCATGGCACACGAATAAGGGAGCCGCACTAAACACTACCAGGGCCATCGCAGTCCGCCCCAATGACCACTTAGCCACCGAACATCACCTACCTAAATGACGCTTACTTTTTTATCCCTAAACGTCAAAGGTCTGAACTCTCCCCATAAACGTAGGTTAGCGTTAGAAGAAGCGAAGAAACATAAAGCCCATGTAGCGTTCTACCAAGAGACCCACTTCAAATGGGGTTCGCGCCCCAGGTTCTGCTCCACACTATTCCCACATGATTTTCACTCATGCTATAAGAAAAAAAAGAGAGGGGTATCCATCCTAATAGGGAAAACAGTCGCGTTCTCACTAGTTAAAAAAATTGGGGATAAACATGGCCGATACCTATTGATTCAATGTTATATCAACAATGAACCATATACACTGATTAATATATATGGCCCTCACACGAATCAAACGGAGTTCCTGGACAACATATTTGCCCTAATCAATCTGCACACATTCGGAGAACTCATCATGGGGGGAGACACTAATTTCCTTTTAGACTGTTCTCTTGATTCCACTTCAGCCCATAAACTCGCCAAGGCATCTGCACGCAAACAACACAAATCCACCTCCCAACTATGTAACCAGATCTTACACAATAACTTACTAGACCCCTGGAGAATCCTCCGACCCGTAGAACGAGACTATACTTTCCACTCCCCAGTCCACAACTCCTACACCAGAATCGACAGGTTCCTACTACCGGCCACAACTATGCATAAAGTTCTATCAGCCCAGATTGGCCTAATTACCTGGTCTGATCATGCACCAATAACACTAGCTCTAGCAGAACAGTTCCCCACGAATGGCAAAGGGACATGGAGACTCAATGACTCCCTACTATTAGATCCAAAAGTAGTGGACCAACTCAAAGCTGACTTACTCTCTTACTTTCGCACAAACACGACCCCCGACATTGACATATCGACTACATGGCATCAATTTTTTCGCATATGATCTATGTCTGATACCACTTAACGTGCAAAATAAAAACAATTTAAAACAAAACACCGACTCCTATCGCTGCAAACTAAACTCAGAGACCTAGAGTTTAAAAAAACAACCTTTATGCTTCGACGCTATAAACACAATTTCTTTACTAATGGCAACAAAGCAGGCGCACTGCTCGCAGCACAGCTCAAGGCGCGCTCTGCTAACTCGAGAATTGCCCACATTAACACATCCTCGAACCAAAAACTCACAAACCCACAAGATATAGTGGATGCATTTGCTTCCTACTATAGCAAACTCTATAACTTAAAGGAAGATCCTGAAGTAACTCCACCACCTCCGTCTCTAGTCCAAGACTTCATAGCGCAGGCGAACCTCCCTACACTAACACCTGAAGACATTACCTCTCTCACCGCACCGTTCACCACACAGGAAATAGAGAAAACAGTAGCACAATTGCCTAAACACAAGGCCCCAGGCCCAGATGGTTACACGAACTTGTATTACCAAACATTCGCACACATACTAGCCCCACACATGGCCGCATTATTCAACCAATCCTTTCAGAAGGGATCACTGCCCTCTGAGATGCTGAGAGCACACATCTCTACCCTCCCAAAACCGGGCAAATCCCCTACGCAATGCCACAACTTTCGACCGATATCGTTGCTCAATGGAGACGTGAAGCTTTACGCTAAGCTCTTAGCGAACAGGCTATCCGACATTCTCCCAAAATTGACTCATAATGACCAATCCGGGTTTGTTAAAACGAGACAAGGCTCCGATAACACCCGTAAGATTCTGAACATTCTCGCACATACTCACACTAGTCGCAAAGAAGGCCTTCTCTTAGCGCTGGACGCAGAAAAGGCCTTCGACAGGCTCAATTGGGACTATATGCAACATGTACTCCAAACATTCAGCTTCACACCGCCAATAATATCAGGAATCATGGCTCTATATAACAGTCCGACCGCACAGGTGGCAAATGCGGGCTTTTTGTCCAAACCATTCAATATCACTAATGGTACCAGACAAGGGTGCCCCCTATCACCATTATTGTTTGTTCTATCCCTAGAGCCGTTAGCGCATATCATTAGACACCACCCGGACATCAAAGGTATAGCAATAGGCCCAAGCGAATACAAACTATCCATGTTCGCTGCAGACGTCCTTATCACACTGAGCAAGGTTACCACGTCGCTCCCACCCCTGATGCACCTCTTAAAAACTTATGGCAAGGTGGCATATTACAAACTAAATCAAGCTAAGACACAGGCCATGGCCATTGGACTCCCGCATACCCTGGTCCGGGAACTCACCCGGAACTATGAGTTTGATTGGAGGGACGACCACATTACATACCTAGGAGTCAAAATAGCGCCCACAGTAGAACGTATGTACCATTATAACTATAAACCACTAATCCACCTGTGTAAAACGGAATGCCTTCGATGGAAACCGGTAAAACTGTCATGGTTAGGCAGAATCAATACCATTAAAATGGTCCTCCTGCCAAAGCTACTGTATATATTCCGCCTCCTCCACATACATGCTCCACCCACTCTTTTTAAACAGCTCCAACAAATCTTATCATCATTCATATGGAACTCGCGTAAACCCAGGTTATCCCACCGCTTATTACAGCAACGCACAACAGAGGGCGGTGTAGGCCTCCCGGACGTATATACCTACTATAAGGCAGCTCACTTAGAAGCCGCAGTGAAACTGCATACCCCCAAGGCGGTATATCAGTGGGTAGACATGGAGTTGGCGAAATCCGCCACGACACCCTTGGTGGATACCCTATGGACTCCCAAAACGCTTCGCCCCAAAGGTGGAACCCTGTTCCCAACCACATCACTCACCCTGCATCACTGGGATGCACTAAGACACAGGCAAAACGCCACCTATAAATTCCACCCTCGAGCACCACTGACGGCCATACGAGCAATCTCACCATGGCTCTCCCTGAAATCCTGGGTTAAGTTAGGTATTAACCACCTAGATCAAGTCATGCAACATAACCTCATCAAACCTTTCCCAGACCTACAACGAGACTTTAAGCTAACCAATTCCTCAATATTCCCCTACATGCAGCTCAAGAGTGTCATACCCACCCATGTGGCACATATCACTACGAATGCTAGCCAAGACACCAAAGTAGTAGATACACTATATAACAGATGCTGGCAAACCCCAACCAAACCAAAAACCCTTGCTCTATGTTACCAAGTAATCCTGAAAACAGCACCACACTACACCCCACCCTTCGTGAACCAGTGGCTCACTGAATGTGATGAGCTCATAACTGAGGCAGAAGTGCTAGCGTCTCCCAATGCCCTCAAGGGACTTACTCAAAGCTACTCACACATAGAGGCCCACAGGAAACTGGTATATAGGTGGTACTTAACACCACACAGGCTCCATACCATGTACAACTCTGTATCCCCGCTCTGCTGGAGGTGTGGGGAAAAACAGGGCACAATGTTCCACATCTTGTGGGCATGCCAACGTATACGCCCCCTATGGGAGGAAGCACAGTCCACCCTACGGACCATAGGCATCACAGCACCACCACTAGATGTACATACAGGGTTATTTCTCTCCTATTCGCACTCGACCCCAAAATCGGTAAAATGCATATTGGCAATCACTGCATTAGCAGTACGAAACCTCATAGCAACGCACTGGAAAAGACGGGAATGCCCTTCCAAAACCCAATTGTTCACTATGCTCCACCGCTACCACATATATGAAGGCTTGACAGCCAAAACGGCCCCACAAAGGAAGTCCTTCCAGATGTCCTGGGCACCATGGGCTGATTTTTGGGAAAGGGTGAATGCTACTAATGTGACATAGCACCAAGACGTGGCTAAGTCAAAAAACTGCCAAAAGCACTGATATGGTACATACCATCAATGCCACACACACAAAGTCCCATACCCAGTATGAAAACAACCCCCCTCAGAGGTACTTGAGGCTCCCACGTATAGAATGATACACCCATCTAGGGGTCAGACCTACCGAGGTGTATATCCCACCTCCATAACACACTTGAGCATTAATACTTACCATGACCTGGGGCCATACTGAAGTAACTAACACCTCCCCAACACCCCCTCCCTTTCCCCCCTTTTTTTTCTCTTTCTTCATTCTCCCTCTCCACTGTTCATCCCCAGTTGAAAAGCCCAAACCCAAGCTGTAATGTCCTCTGCCAGGAATGAGAAGTTATGCATAGGCCTGCCTGAGTCTAGCAAGGCTCAGCATGCTCGGAACACAAGATGTTAGATATGAAGAATGTATCCATGAGGCCTTAATGTACTACTGCTGTCCGGCTAGGACTCAATGCAAATGTTCTTCTTCTTTCTCCTAGAGGCATGATAAAATTGGTGAAAAATGTTGTATAACCCAACACCCTCCCTTTCTTCCTTCTGTACCCCATTGACTTTATGAAAATAAAAAATTACCAATTTAAAAAAAAAAGACTATCAACTAAATATCCTTTTACTTGGTCAATTTTTTTTCAAATATAGAAACCTCTTATTTAAGAGATATTTATGAAAATTGGGTAAAATACAGGGGGGAAAAATCATATTCTAAATAAAAAAATAAAAATAAAAGGAATATGGGGGCGGAGCCTAGCAGCCAAGCAACCCAGACGTGTTTGGCACAAGCTCCCACGTCTGGAGACAAAAATCGGGGTGCCTTACTCAAGAACCCGCATGCACAGATCACTGTCTCCACAGCTAATAAACAGGAGAAGAAGCTGCACCCGGCAGTACCTTTTTGGGGAGTCTGGGACACTGGATTGCCTCACTGGGGACTTGAGGCCTACACGCGGCCGGGCCACGAGGAAGCGGCCGATCCTCTGGCTCATAAGCTAACGCTGAAACCCCGGTAAATCACTCCACCTCCCCTGGATCGGCGGGGGTTATCCCGGTCCCCACTGGACTGTACTAATCGACTGACACCGCACCTAACCATACAGCAGAACCTGGGCCTAGCCGCACTCACCAAAATGACGACGGAACACTGGCCTACAGAGACTGCAAGCGAGCACACTGCAACCCTCTGCAGCTCAGTAGACCACTTTACGCAGCAGTTAGACAGGCACTTCCAACGATTCTTGAAGGCCCTGATGAAACACTGCACAGCCTTACCAGCACAAGCTCGGGTAGAAGGGCGGAGAGAAGAGAGCCAGAGGGCACGGTGGACCCCCTCGGGCCAAGCTGCACGAAAAACCCCCAAACCTCCCACTACTGGCCTACCTGGGCCGAAGGCCACCCTGGGCATGACCCAAAGACATTGCCCACAAAGACGGAGAGCCCACCGCCGCAGCCAGAGGCTGTCCGGCAAGACCCCCCGTCACTCCCACAGGGAGAGGGACCCAGCCTCTCGAGGAAACTGGATCCGTGGAACGAAGATGTCGGCCTTCAACCTGGCCTGGGGCTGGAGGGTGGACTTACCTTGCCTCTACCGAACCGCACACGCTGCTCCAAGCCCTACTCCATATGACAACGACCACGAGCGGAAGAAAAACGCACGACTGAGCCGCAACGGTGATACAACCGGTAAATTCCTTACCGCCATCAAGAACTTTCCGCACGTGGGCATTGGCTGAGCTAGGAAGGGTCGTCTGGCGCACACCACTGTACCCCACTACTATGGCACCGAACCCCTGCAAGTTCCAATGGACTGTCTCTGGCAACAGGATTCCCTTAATGGACTGCCCTAATGCCTACCGGCTTTCCCAAGTCCCACACTCACTCTGATATCCATCCGTTTGAACTCACCTTACCCTCTACGCAAACACGACATGCCAAAATTTGTACTCAAAACCAGGGAACCGGGAGTGGTAGACGGCAGTCACTCATGCTTAAACCTCCCGGTGACCCCGAAAGGGCACGCAAGTCGCCGGTCGGATTGGCAACTACCCCCATGATCATCTACGGGTACCAGGGACTTAACCCAGCATACCGGCTCCGGGATAGCAAAGCCTAGTATGTTATTATTAAGTCTGTTATCTATTTGTTTTCCCTCACGTATAGCAAGGTGCAGCCAGTTACAACTGAAGATTAGCCCAGTGGTTTTCACCTTAATTACATATTCAGCAAATGCCTAGTCCTTGCAATTCCAGATAACATTACTCGACTACTCAGACAAGTGCTGTGCTTAAACATGATCACAGCTCAGATTAGCATGTATTAAATCATATTTTCTAGCACTCATTAACTTTGTTACTGCCTGCTCGGACATCACAAACTAACTTACCGCTTAAAACAATGATTAGCCATAGCATGCATGTATGTAGAGCGTCTAGGCAAAGCATAATGTTTAAACTTTATTACTCACTCGATAGGCACATGAGCAAGCGTTCCTTTGTATTTCATTTTATTTTATTTTAGTCCCTTGTAGACTCTTAAGACTCGACTATACTTGGTAACAGCGTTTAAAATATACCTATCTGTTTAGCCTGTACAGTGTTACTGTTGTTATAACTCTGCTTGATATCTCACTTAAGTCTAACCACTTACATTACTAATACGCTAAACTTACTAGAACTACTCTTCTTAATATAAAATGAGGCTAACAGTTACTCAGAGATGATATAAATTGCATTGTATTATACCCGTTATGTATGAAACTTTATTGTCTCCCCTTTCTCATTCTGTACCCCATATAATTTTCTGCCTCAATAAAAAAAAAAGAGATTGACAAAAAAAAAAGGAATATAATATTACTGATATAAATATAGGTAATTGGATTAAATCTGGTACAATTAAAATAAGAGATCTACTAGAGTCAATAAAATAAGGCCCTTTTCACACCTTCAGTTAAGTCTTGACCTTAAATCAAGGTAGATATTCTCATATCTAAGAATAAAAAATAATTTGGCAAACACGAGGCGAATCCACGTGCGGCCCTCACCCATCACGTTCCCATATCCGATAGCTCCCCATGCCCGCAATAGGTAACGATAATTAAGCACCCCGCAACCCATGGTACCTATGTTGCCAAAACTGATGACGCCCCGATGGCCTCACCCGCGCCCCTGACTCACCTCCTGACGCTCAATATCCTAGTTACGCACTTAGCCCAAGTCAGTCCCTGACTTCTACGCACCTAACCACCACAAACGATGATAACCAAGAAGCCGGCTAGTAGTTCAGCAGACATATCCATTGAGAACTGTACCTTGTTACATGTTATAGTTGGTTCTTACTTATTAGTTCAACATGTTCTTCATAAACCGAGGCCTGCGGTAAATGTGGGAAGATATATAGTACATAGGGCCCTACTTGATATATGTGCAACCCGCTTTTCCCCTTTTCTTATTCTGTACCCCATACATTTTAATATCTCAATAAAAAAGTGATTGACAAAAAATAAATAAAAATAATTTGGCTAATCATCACCTCCAAGACGATACTACAATAAATAAAAAATTAAATGATCTATTTAAAAACAATACAAAACGTAAACTGATATCTAGTTGGTATGAAATACTGAGTGAGGAAGAAATAGAGTCTAAACCAAAAGCCTGGAAAAACTGGGAACAAGAATGCGGGTCCCCCATCGAGCTAGAGCAGTGGTATAGATCAATTCAAGAAGTTACAAAATTGTTGCACTGTTTAAATATTATAGAGCTTCACTACAAAATTCTTCATCAATGGCATAGGGTACCAAAAATCCTAAATAAAGTTAACCCTGGTAATACCAAACTATGCTGGAGGTGTAATTGTGTAGAAGGTAGCTCTAAACATATCTGGTGGGATGTAAGCTTTTAAGACCTATATGGAATAGGGCATTTAGAGTTATATAAAACTTAGTGAGAGAAGATTTGGAAGAAAATTTCTTGGTTGCTCTTTTTCATTTTAATATAAAAAATTTTAAACTCAAAAAAGATATCTAATAATTCAACTTATGATAGCCATAAAAATAGAAATCTCAAGATATTGTCTACAGAAAAAAAATCCCATCCTGAACTCAGTTGCTAACTCAGCTTAAATACCAATATGATATGGAAAGGGGTATTAAAAATGGTTACCTTGGTTAGACAACCTTATATAACTCTATCCTAAACAATCTTTTAAAATTTGTTATATATGTTATATGTGTGTGATGTATATTCAACAGTTCATATATTTCTCTTCTGGCAATCAATGTACACGACTAACCTTGAACTGTGTACTTGTCTGTAACGTTCTTCATGTAAAATTTGCAAAAAGAATAATAAATAAATAAATCGTTTGAAATGCTTATCCAACAATAGTAAAACAAGACGTATGTTAGAAATAAAACCCATTACCCTGAAGTTTGAATACATACTAGGTATACTGTAGCAGGGATAGAACTATAGATTTTTTTACTACCCCCTCTTTTGGTCTCTCTATTAGACTCAATTAAATATTTTGGATAAGCTTTCAAATTATTTAATATTTTGCTAAATATTTTTTATAATATTATATTTATATTTTTTGAAATATTTATATATATATATATATATATATATATATATATATATATATATATATATATATATATATATATATATATATATATATATATATATATATTTTAAATTCTTTATTTTATTCGTGCAAACGATTAACAAGCATGTTTGCTTTGCCACAATAGCTGGAGCAAACCGGGAGGTACACATAGAAAAACAACTGTATGGCATTGATAGCTTTGCACAGTTTTTAAATTAGGTAATCAGGATGAACATATATGGCTTAACATTGTGAGGTGCTTGTTTGTAACATATTTATTTAAATATTTTTATGTATGATGTATTTTTTTTTTCTTTTACATTTGTATTTCATTGGAGTTTCCAATTCCAAATATAACATCTGCGTCAAGGTATAAGGTTACAAGAATAGGTATATAACATACAACAATATATTCCAATGTGTATGCATATCAGTGTGCGGTGTAGGATATGCCTGGCATCCTCTAGGACTTTGCCCTATAGTGTGCATATAAGAATATAGGTAACCATTGACTCTGTATTACATGTGTACTAAGGGATACAAATTGGAGCTTATGCGCGCTTAATACTTGAGGACTACAAAATGCGCTGCTACTGTTCGTCACATCTTGTTATGTGTGGTTTGATCAAGAGACAGTCTCGTTGGATGTGGTGTATGATCTCTCTGGTAGTTGTGTATAACGTAAAACTAATGAATGAAGGGTCTTAAGTAATTTAAGGGAGATAAACATTCTACAGTTGGGGGCTAAGATATGGTCAATAAAAGTGTATGACTGTGTTTGCTGTCAACTTGGTATGATGCGTTTCAGGTCAGGGCTCCCGGTGCAGTGAGTCCGGTCGCTTGGGCAGTGGTTAGATGCAGTCTCTGCAAAAAAGTGTTAGAGTCCTCTCTTGAAGTCAGGGTGAGTGCTGTATCTCCTTGTGTCACGATTAGGGAACCATCTGCTCCCCAGTGGTATTTGATTGCGGCGTTTGGCAATTGTGTAGATATCGGGGCTAGTTGCCGTTGTTCAAGTAGTGTGGTAAACGGGAGATCTGCATAGATCGCCACTGTGTGTCCTTTGAAGCGTATGTTGCCAAGCTCCCTGGATCGGTTCATGATGGTGGTGCTAGTTGTGATGTCTGTTGTTACTGCTATGGTGTCTCAGGGTGCTCCTTGAGGGGCGGCCACCATCTTTGCGGACTCTGAAAGCAGATGTTCATATTGTGCGGTCTGTGCCTCGTTTTATGCCAATGGATGCCAGCAGCCTCTGGGTGTAAGGTAGCAATGTTTCCCTTCCAATCTGCTCTGGAATACCTCTCAGGCGTATGTTGCGTCTCCTATGTCTAGTTTCTAGTATTGTGACCAATCTGGTGAGTGTCATAACCTGTCGGGTTAGACTATTCACCATTTCAGCTTGTGCCTCCTGAAGGTCGGCCTTCCATACCTGCCTCACGTCTTTTAGGAGACTCTTGATGTCCCCTTTAGTTGCTGGGGAAGTTTCATCATCTGAATCAGATTCTTGCTCCACATCTGCTGCTGTGGGTGAGGTAGGTTCAGCTGGTGGGGGTTAATGAGGACAGAGTGTCCGCGGAGCTTTTGCGTCTATTATAAGGTAATAACCCTGCCATCAGGACGAAGCTCTCTTTAGACACGTCCGTGTTGCTGCTCAGTCAGCCTATTTTTGATATTTTAATATTTTTAAAAAAACACATTTTAAAAGCTTATCTAAAAATATTAAATTAAAACCTTATCTGTGAATAAAATCAGCATTTAGTGACAGTCCCCTAACAATTAATCAAACTGTTTAAAAAAAAATGTTTGGCACCCCAGACAGATGGTGTGCTTGATGAAATGCTGACATGCCTTTTCAGTGGGCAGGCATGACACTCCCCAGGCTAGCCTGCCCAAAATGGGTGTCACAGTGACACAAGTGACGCTACCTAGAAGGCCCTCCTACCCTTCCTGCTCCTAATTTATTTTGGTAACTTATGTAATGGTTCATACTAACAATTACTCTCATTTTGTTTCTGTCCTAATTTAGTATTTACGATCTGGCTTTTAAACCTGATGGGACACAGCTTATTGTGGCAGCAGGAAACAGAGTTCTGGTATGGAAAACTGCATTTTGTTTTCATTTATGATTTATGTGTGAAGTGTTGAATTTTCACATTTTCAGTCAGTGTTGTACATAGAAATTGTAAACTGACCTGGAAATTGAAAATCTTAGGCCAATATAGAAACATTAGAAGAATTCTCCACAATTCGCATTTTATTGAATGGTCATGCTTGTTACATCTAGATGTGACTGTTCAATACAGATTGTGAGATTTTAGTTTGCATTCTTTGTAGCAGCAAATTGAAATAATTGATTTAGTATGCTGTATTTATTAATAAATAATGATATTTAGTCCCATTAGTTACCTGGAGACTGGTTCTGGAATAAAAGTACATTTTGGATTTAGCCTAGACTCTGAGATAAATCAGTGCGGGACTGATTCAGAGTTTGCCCAATTTGATGACAGAAAATGTTGTGAATTTCAGTTTCTGAATTGCTTATAATGATCAGTCTTTGGTTAAAAAAAACCAAAAAACTTAACTTGTAATTTTGGCAAAAACAACTTATCAAAACAAAAAAATTATCTATTTTCCAACTAAACTATTGAAAATGAATGCTAGCTTACAATTTAAAATAGTTTATCCCTGTGGTAAGTTCACTATACAGTGGGTTGTGGAGAGGTGTCAACAAACTTGCAAATTATGGGGACAAGAAATCTCCAACTTGGGTGAATTGAAGATTTTTACAACTAGGATATTTTGACCTTAAATTTGCAAGATAGCTCTCAGCACACCACGACTCACTGTTTAATCAATGAAACTTAAAAATCAGCGTTTCCCACCTTGTGTGCAGCGCATAAAACAAATTCAGACTAAACTTTACTTTAAAAAAAAAAATGTAAACACTGAGGTAAAAATAGTTTTCTCTACTGATGATCATGTGCATCATAAATATGATTTTTTTTACTTCAAACATATTACAGGCTAACCCAAATTAACACAATGTTCTCACAGAGATATAAATGCAGACAGGGAGGACAATTTTGCCCTGCATTAAGGTATACTAGATGTACTAAAACTATATATACATATATATATATATATTTTTTTTTAATTATTTAAAAAAAAATTCTGTCAGCTGTACAGTCTATAATGGAGGTATGGCTAACACAATATATTTCAGTAGGCCGGTCTATCACTGTGAGAACACTATTGGGAAGGACATATCAGGGCATGATGGGAAATATGTACACAAGAGCAAAGTAATGCAAGCTCAAATATGTCATCAAAAATATCTGTTAAATTGCATGGCTGATGAATTCAAGGTTTTGAACAATCAGCTGGTGCCTCCTGTATTTTGGTGTTTTATATAAAACAAAACAAAAAAAAGGTCATTATGACTCCTGTAGTGTAGCAATATTTTCAGCCTTATACTGAATAATAATTCTAAGGTTTCCAAACTCTGTTTGCAGGTTTACGACACTTCAGATGGAACCTTAATTCAACCATTAAAGGGACATAAGGATATGGTGTACTGTGTGGCTTATGCCAAAGATGGTAATTTTATGTTTTGGCAAAAATATTATTAGTTTATTATTATTATTTTATTATTTATATAGCGCCATCAGATTCCGTAGCGCTGTACAATGGGTATTTTTTTAAATTATTATTTATATTGCACCAAAATATTCCATGGTGCTTTTCAGTTATTCACTACTGCTAACAAGGATTTATAATGCTAGTCACAATACAAAAAAATGGAGTTACTTGTGACAATCAAGTTGTTTCACTTGACATTAACAGCAGTGATGCATAGCATTGACAGACAATATAATTTTGATTGATACAAGAGGTGGAAGTGGCCCTACTTAAATGAATCTGTTAAGGAGATATTACTTAGAATTAATTTTTTTTAGTCACAGGTTATGGCATCCTAATAACTTCATGTCAATTGAGTCATTAGGTAGTCTGAAGGTCCTGGGCACTATTTTACCTTACTATTTTACAATCAAACCTCAAAGTTGTATTCATGTCTGCCTTGCCCTTCTGCCTCCTCCTCTGGCCTGGCATTAATACCAATATTTTCCTCTGGAAGCTGGTTTTAGACTGAGATTGTCAGCTGTTATCCTCTCACTGGACACCCATTGCAAGGAATACTTTACAAAGCATATGAAGGGGGGATGGCGGCAAAAGATAGATCCCCATTTGCTGTAGAACTACAACTCCCTTGAAGCTGTTCGTGCCTTTAGAATGACAAAGCATCATGAAAACTGTTGTTTTAAAACATCTGGGGATCTCCCTTTGGGCACCCCGATCTAAAGCAGTCCTTACAGTGAGGTGCCAATGGTAGGCTAAGAGTATCCTCTGGTGCTTTCTGCCTGTCACCAATACATATGGGAGAAGTTTGTGATTGGTGTTAGGACCGGTGGATAGGCATAGATGGCATACAAAGTGAACCATGCAGACAAATTGACATAAAGTTGTTATGGGGTCAGAGTGGTCCTTTAGTTCTTTCTTTTATTTTTTCTGTTGTAAATCAAACAGTGAAATGCTTTGCTCGACCTGCTCTCTGAAAGAATGCAGTTATTTAGTCATTCATTGACTATGGAAAGTTTATTTCGATGGACAATATCACTGGTCCTGTTATGCTACTAGTGCCAGTGAATAAAAAAAGATCTTGATCCTTCCTTTCCATCAAACTGTGTTTCTCTCATAGGGTTTGATTGTTACTGACACCTTTTCTGTATGATTTCAGGTAAACGTTTTGCCTCTGGATCTGCTGATAAAAGTGTCATCATATGGACGTCCAAATTAGAAGGGATTTTAAAATACACGTGAGTAGACAAAACAAAAGGCAAGAGCATTAGTAAAATGATTCCATGTCTAGAACCATTAAAGATATTGGTAAAATGTGAAAATCCTGGATTGGCAATTTGTTGGTAACAATTCCTGAATTCTTCGTCATTATATATTTTATTTAATTGCAGATTTTTCTTTTAATAAACAATCAGAGAAATAGGATTAATAGTAGTTATATATGTGTAATATTATACATGCAGTACAAAGATATAATTTCAAACATAAATAAAAGATTAGCTTGTTCATTCAAATGCAGCTTTGAGCTGGTTGAGATTTATGGGAAATGTAGTCCATAAACATATGCAGTGAGAACGTTACCATTAGTAGAATATTCATATAAATAGATGACCAGGTAAGGTAAAAAAATCTGAATCCCTGCAAATGACTCTCTAAGTGGCAGTGAATAAATCTGTTTATATGCTAAATGTTGACCAGGGAAGGTAACTATACTCAGTTCAGCAATTTGTCATAATTAAACTTATCATTGTTTCAACAGGCATAATGACTCAATTCAGTGCGTATCCTATAATCCAGTTACCCACCAGCTGGCTTCATGCTCTTCAAGTGACTTTGGTTAGTAGATCTGGATTCTGTACAGTGCCACCGGAGCCTATCAGCATTATACAATGTTTAATTTTTTTAATTTAATTTTTTTATATCAGGTCTTTGGTCTCCAGAACAGAAATCTGTTTCAAAACACAAAGTGAACAGTAAAATCACCTGCTGCAGGTAATTATTGCACTATTTCCATATAACCTCACAAGAACACACGACAAGAACCATGGTTATGGATCTCGCCTTCTCCCCCAAAAAATAAAAAATGCCAGCATGGTATGCCAAATCCCTAATTTAAAGGAATACTATAGCGTGATCCATTTAGATTATCAGGTGCTCCTCGCTGAACCAGTCTCCGTGCTGCCACAGATGTTGTAGGAACACCCCTTGCATTAGTCAAGTCAGCAAGTGTCCGCTTTCGGAGAACATTGTTCATAGGAACCCAGTCATTGTCCTCACTTGTAGAACACCAAAAAATGCATTTCCATATATGGATAAAATGTATTATATTGATTAATCTGTTGCCAATTCACCAGTAGAGTCAAGTCAAGGGAGAGGAAGCTGAGCTGCAATGTTTGACTACAAAATTGTTACCTATGTGGAAAACATTTGGGAATATATTAACTGGACAGTGACATGAAACCTTGTTATAAATTTTAATTACACTCTGCTGAATAGGCTGTTTAAACAAAACAACAGTTTTTAATATCTTACATTGCACATCTAGCAAAATTTTTCTTGAGAAGTTTCCTTTATTAGTTTTGTGTGGCATCTCCATGGAGGTTGTTAGTTCCCCTGTTTTTTGCCGATTCGCGTTTGCTGTTTTCCAGCTTTTGTCGGGGAAAAGCAACAGGATTTGCCGTTTTTAGCAGGAGCTGTTGCAACCTGCATCCGCTATGCTCTGCGGTTATGCCCCCCCCCCCTTTATTAGTTTTTTTTATAGGGTGCTATTCTGATTTCTGGCTTATTTGATATTCTTCTCATTTTGTTTTTAGCTGGACAAATGATGGGCAGTACTTGGCACTTGGCATGTTCAATGGTGTAGTGAGTATAAGGAATAAAAATGGAGAGGAGAAAGTTAAAATTGAACGTCCTGGTGGATCGATGTCACCAGTGTGGTCTATCTGTTGGAACCCATCCAAGTAAGTACATGTGTAACTCTTCATTCTTATGAAATATGCCATAGTGACCAAAATTTATACATAACACAGATTAAGGAAAAGCACACGCATAAAAATACATTTCTAAATTTTATAAGGCTACTTAAAATCACTTATCTCAGCAAACAAATATAAGGATTCAGTTCCGCCATATAGCTATATTGTAGTAGTGGTGAGGTTAACCATATGGTGCAACTGAATCCCCATATTTGTTTGCTGAGATAGGCGATTTTAAGTAGCCTTAAAGAATTTAGAAATCTATTTTTTATGTGTGTGCTGTTCCTTAACCTGTATTATGTATAACCTTTCATTCTTGTCATGCTCCATTTTTTAAAAAAATGTACATTTATGATTTATTAACATCACAATTCAGTTCAGTCTTCACACAGCCAAGGTGTGTATTGTTTCCAATTTTGCACCTTCATTCGATTGACAGGGAGCCAGAATGGAGACACTAAGTTATAGGATAGAGCTAAATACAGCTTTGTTTATTTCTGATTTTAATTTATAATTTTTTTTAAGTATTCATAAGCACATATTTGTTAAAGGGACTATGTACACTTAATATTACAAATCCTGAAATGCGACATTTCCACATTAAACTAAGGGATAGCATTGGTTGTAAAACATGGCCTCGCTGTTTGTGTAATGATTGTTTTTCAGTGTTGTGTTTGAACCTATTAAAATTTACTACTGTGTGTGTCTTTTTCCTGTTTTTATTTTGTTTGTTCTTTGTTGTTTTTTTGCATTTTAAGGGATGAGCACAATGACATACTGGCTGTGGCAGATTGGGGGCAAAAGCTATCCTTCTATCAGCTGAGTGGCAAACAGGTACCATCCCGAATATGGGACTTTATTTTGCTAATTGGGTTTATTGTATGCTAAGCAATACATTAACAAAGTTAGACACTATGTTTGCTGTTGTCGTCTATACCAAGAAAAGGCTATGATGGTTTTCCATCTGTTGCAGAATCACCAAACAAAAATCACGGGTTAGCATAGTTGTATTGAAGTTGTAGTTCAAATCTGTTGCATAGCTGCAGGTTGCCTACGTGTTTTTATTAAAGTTGCTCTGACTTTCACAAATGGGTGCTGTATCTTAGAATGCTTAGCTTTGTTGGAAGAAATGTCTACACTTTTTTTCTTTTTCTTTTTTTTTTTAAACATCAGAATATGGTGTTTGTTATTTCATACTATATGTGTCTCAAAAGTGACTTTATCAGACACCAAATCATCATCATTTGTTTTATTTTCATCTTATTTTCTTTTACATATATGTATAGCTTCCTATCTCCCATTTTAGTTTATCTTTAATTTCTTTTAATTTTTTTTATTTTAAATACCAAATATACATACAGACTAACTAAACAGACATTTGTTTGGTTCACAGTGTACCAAAAAAAAAAAAAAAAAAGATAAATAAATAGATAAATCAAATAAGCAGTCCAAGGCGAGGGGTATCCCGGCAAACTCCTGTTTTGGGTAGGGATTGCTAGACTAAAAGTGAGTATATTGCAGGAGAAAAAAAAAATAAGAATAATTAATTGTCCCGGGTCTAATTTTTTTATCCATCTATCCCAATAACTATAATAGTAGCCCTTCTTTGGGGCAAAGTTCGTAATAGCTCGTTCCATTTTGCACTGAAAAATGCTTTGATGGTGAATATTGGCCCAGCTATCCACCCTAGGAGACTTCCAATTTCTGGCTATTGATGTTTTAACAGCCATTAGGATATGAAAAATAATTGGTCTGAATTCTCTATTAATCAGCCCCATATCCATATGTAATAAGGCCATATTTGGAGTCAGATTAAATTTCTGTTCCAATAAAGTAGACAAATATGGATTGTGGTCTCCCATAAGGGTCTGATTATCGGATAGTCCCACCAAATATGTTTAAAATCTGCGGTTGATTCAGTACATCTCCAACAGTTGGGGGGACTGTGGGATACATTTTTGCAATTTTTTTTAGGAGTTCTATACCATCTGTTTAATATCTTATAGTGAGTTTCATGTATATTCAAACAGTGGCAGGTTTTGTATAATGTGTTGAGGGAGTTATTCCATTCTTTCATAGTTATATCTATTTTCAAATCATAATTCCATTTAATTATTGCCGAGGGAATTGGTTTGATCTGAGCCTTACATATTAATTTTTGGCATTTATTGACTAGATGAGTATAGTCTGATTGTTCATATATATCTGAAAGAAACTTGACTGAAGGTTCAAGAGGATTAAATCTCAAAAATGTTTTTAAAAAGGATATTGCCCGTACATAGTTAAACCATTTGATGGATGGTATACCATATTCAGTTTGAAGTTGTTCAAAAGATTTTAGTGTACTTCCTCTCAGGATACTAGATAGCTTTTCTATACCCTTAAGGATCCATGTTTCCAAATTTATATTTGTCATTAAATTTGATAGAATATCTAGATTTATACCATTAAACCTATTTTTTATTTTTTTTTAATTGAGACCAGGTGGGGAAAATTTGTTGGACTATTAGTGATTTGGAATTTTTAATAATTTGATCTGTTTCTTTATCTATGAACCATAAGAGGGATTTATAATCCCTGTCTCCCGAAGTCAGGGTCTGTTCTCTTTTATACCAATTTTGAATTATAGAATCTTCCTTGTTTACTATTAAAACATGTGCTAATAGGTTGGCTTGTGCAATATCTTGAATAATTGGAATACTTATACCTCCTTCATTTTTTCTCCTAGACATAATGTCTTTTTTTATTCTAGGTTTTTTACCTGACCAAATAAATTTAGTAAATGATGACTGAATTAATTCTAACCAACTGTCAGGGATTTTTAAAGGAATCATTCTCATAATATATGAAAATTTCGGTACAATATATGCTTTTAATGTATTTATTTTCCCTGACCAGGAGATTTCCCGATTTTTATTTTTTTTCCCCATTTTTTAAAATTGACGTTCATTTGTTTAATTACCGGTAAAATATTAATTTCTAACCATTTCTTTGGGTTTTTTGAGATTTTTATACCCAAATATTTAAAAAAAACTTTTTAACTTGTTTAAATCCATATTTATTTTCTATATTATCAATATTATTTTGGGGTGTATTTAAATATAGTGCCGTAGATTTTTCTGTATTTATCTTGTAATTAGAAAAATTACTATAATTTTGAATGATTTGCACAACATGGTCAATAGATTCCTCAGGTTTCTTAATAGTTATCAAAACGTCATCAGAATATAGCTTAATTTTTTGGTTATTATCTCCAAGCCCTTTTATATCCTGATTAGCTCTTATATCAACAGCCAGGGGTTCAATCGATAGAATATATAAAAGCGGTGATAAGGGGCAACCCTGGCGTGTACCATTTGTAATTCTAAACCATTTAGATTTAATACCAGGGCCTATAGTTCTACCTTGGGGATCACTATATAGGGCCATATTGGCACTGAGTATCTCGCCTGTAAATCCAAAGAATAACAGGGATTCTCTAACAAATGCCCAGCTGACCCTGTCGAATGCTTTCTCGGCATCCAATGACAGGGTCAGCATTGGCGTCCGTTCATCTCTGGCCTGTTCCAGTATTCCAGTCATATTTCTTGTATGATTAATAGAGAGTTGTCCCGGAATAAAGCCTACCTGGTCTCTATGTATTATGTAACTAACCACTCGTTTAACTCTGTCTGCCAATATTCCCGCGTATAACTTGATGTCTTCATTTAGTAGGGAAATCGGTCGGTAACTGTCTACTTTGTCTGGATTCTTTCCTATTTTTAATATTGGGACAATGTTGCCTTTAAGTATTTCTTCTGGAATGTTAGTTTTTAAATGAATTCATTACAAGTAGTCTCTAAGTGGGGGGATATTTCATTTTTAAATAGTCTAAAGAAGATCCCTGTGAACCCATCTGGACCTGGTGCTTTATTAGATTTTAAAATTTCTATCCTTGTGTATATTTCATGTAAAGATACCGCAGCATTCAATTCCTTTAGTTGGGATTCTGAGATCTTTGGTATAATCATGTTTTTAAAATAATCCTTTGGGTCTGCGTAGTTGTGGGGAAGATTATATAATTGATGGTAATAATCATTGAAAGCCTTCCCAATTCTCTCTGGAGATAGAAAGGTCTCACCCTTATATATAATGTTTGAGATTTGTTTATGTTGAATTTCTTTTTTAAGTCTGTTGGTTAACAATCTATCTGCCTTATTACCTCTATAATAGAATGTTGCTTTTAATCTTTCAAGTGTTTTGGAGACTTTCTTTATTAGCAAATCATTAATCCTATCTTGTAGATTAGAAATTCTATTGGATAACTGCTCAGTTGGAGATATTTTATTATCTCTTGAGAGATTATATAGTTGAATTAGTGTTCATATTTTAATCTTAATATGTGGAACAGCCTTTTAATTGTATAGTTTGTAGTGTCATGGTGTTCTATGTTGTAGTTCCTTTAAATATCATAATTAAGTGGAAGTGAAGCGCATCATATTGATTTATTCCCCGTTGTAATTCTTAACTTTTTTTTCCTTTCCCTTATCATTCCTTATAATTTTCCCTTTTCTTTCTTCTTTTTTCCCCCTTTCCCTTTTTCCCTTCTTTTTCTCTCTTTTTTTCCTTTTTCTTTTCTTTTCCCCCCAAGTTTAGTGATTATATCATAGTCTTAATATATAAAAACTTTTTTAAATATATGATTTTTAGTGTTGTGTTATTCCACAATATAATTCCTTTTACTATCATAAATATGTGAAAGTGCGTCCTATCATGTTAATCTATTCCCTTATTATATTTCTTAGCTCTTTTTGGTGCCTGTCTTATTCCTTATTTTTTAACTTTTTAAGTAGAAATAGACCAAAAATAAATGAATAAATAAATAAACAAAAGTGTATCAATAAATTCCAATTCTGTGTAATAAATGTGTCAAATCTAGTGTCTCACTAATTCTTCCCCCTTTCACTCATCCCTTTTCTCTTTCCTTTCTTGTCCCTTCCTTCTTTTCCCCCTTCAAAAAAAAAAATAAATTAATTTAAAAAATCTTTTTCTCTTTTTTTTTCTTTTTTCCCCCTTTTTTCTTCTTATTTATATTCACTTTTAGACTTTTTTATTTTATTTATTTTGTTTCCCTTTTTTCTTCATTTTCTCTTAGGCATGTAATATTTTTTTTTATTTTTTTTTGAGGCATCACAGATTAGTATACTGGATCCATAGGGCATGACAAATTTCTTTCCCTTTTTTCTTTCTCCTTTTTATGGGGAAACTCCATTTTTAATTGATATGTTTTTTTAGCAGGACTTTTATTCATGGAGAATGGTGACTTTCTTCAGATCTGGTATGATAAGGGTAAATCTTTATTTATGTAAAGATTTTATCATGCTTGATAAAAGGATTTATCGTGTCATTATTTTTCTGTATTTTGGTATCAGACCTGTCTAATGGGGAGGAAAGAGGAGAGGGAATAGAGGAAATATTTAACATATAAAGACACAGACAGAAAACTCATAATTGACTCCGATTTTTCCCTTGAGCCATGAAGCTAGTTTTTCTGGGGAGTCGCATATCACTGTGCTGTATTCATAGGATATAATTATTTTTGTGGGGAAACCCCATTTGTACTTTATATCCTTACTTCGCAGGACTTTTGTTAATTCAGCATAGCGTCTGCTTTCAGATCTAGTATAGTAAGAAAGATCTGAATAAATCTTTATTTGTGCATATGAAGGGATTAGATGAATGTTTCTTGCTGCTTTTAAAATCTGATCTTTAAGTCTTGATGATGCGCAGCATATAATAACATTGCGTGGTTTTGAAATGTGTATTTCTGGAGGTTTGTAGGTCCTATGGAATCTCTCCAAAGCATGATTGTATTTTGATATATCTATATCAAGAGCTTTTATGAGTTCCAGTATATATGTTTCCAGTTGTTCATGGGTAATCGATTCTGGTATATCTCTGAGTCTTAGATTGTTCCTTCTGGTTCTATCTTCTAGCTCAGCAATCTTTTTATCCATATTGTAGATTCTGTCATCTTGTTTTTTAATTAGAACATCCTGGAGTTGAGAATTTTCTTTCAACTGTGTCATGTGCAGTTCATTTTTTGAAGTTGCATCCTTATTAGGTATTGTTCTTCTTTAATTTCTTTCATCATCAAAGCCTTAGTAATGGTTTGATCCTCTCTTTCTGCATTGAGTGGAATATTTTTTTGAGTTAGATCTTGGGTATTAATAAGACTTTCTTCTAGATCTATCCATTTTAGGTTAGATTTATTGGTTTGTGGGGAAAAAAAGGAGAGTCGCTTCTCCGGTTTATTTTCCTGTTTCTTATCCCTCTTTGTTGTGTTATTTGGATCATTCGTTTTTTTGGTTGCCATTTAAAAGATCTGCCCGTAGGGTAGGGAAAAATTAGAAAAATAAATAAATAAAAAAGAAGGCCCTAGAATTCCTTGATGGAATCGTTATCCAGTCTCAAAATTGTATCAAGTTCACTTTTAGGCTGTAATCTTTCTCCCCTTCCCTTTCCCCTTTTTGAATAGATGCTTAAATTCCTTATTTTTAATCAGGGGGGAATCACCTTTCTTCTTTAATTTAATAGATTTTCGATAATTGGTTAGGGGCACTGCTAGTCTGTATATCCATTTTTCAATATTCCTTCCCCCCACCCCCTTTTTTTCTTTTTCTTTGGTTTTAAGTATTTCTTTCAATTATAATAAGGAAATAGTCAGAAAAAAAAAAGAAAAAATCCCAATCAGGAATTATCTCTTAAGCTGTACAAAATTCCTTTTAAGACTCCTTTCCTCCTCCATTCAATTCTCCCCCCTCCACCTGTCCCTCCTCCTACTCCCCTCAACAGATGATTTTAGTATTGATATTGATTTTTAAACCGTAAAATCATTTACTTAGAGCCAGATAAATATTGTTCTTATTAGTCGAAAATCCTATAGATGTTACCATACATTTTTGATCCAGACTAAGAACAGAAGCTCATAAATATTAATTAATTGATTAAATAAGCAGCCAAGCAAATGAACCAAAATAATTAAATAAAGCCAAAAAAGGAAAAATAAAAAAATCTTATCTAGGTTTTTTCTGTTGTATCCGTGTATAGTCTTCAGTTCATGCCCTGCCTGTTGCAATCCCTCATTCAGTAGAATAGAGGTTAGAATATCTCCGTGAGGTCTCTCTACTACTTTGAATGTAGTCTCGCATAGTCAGTACGGCGTTTTCCCGCTGGAGAGTAATTCAGCTCACGCTGGTTTCCTTGGTTGGATCAAAGCCACCTCCTCCATGCTCCCCTTCGCTTCCTCCGCTCTTAGCGCTGCGAGCGTAACCATGTGTTACGTCATCGCTCCACCCCCGAACCAAAATGTCTACCCTTTCATTTAATGTAGTGAAAATATTTCTAGTTTTATCTTTACTCCAACAGTGTAATGGTAGAGAATATGAAAAAGTACAATGTTCTCAAACATTTGCTATTTTGGCAGGCAACATGTATATAAAATGGGATCCAAATGAAATACTACAAAGTACGCCCAGGTCATATTTGTTTGAGAGATGCAATTTAAATCTCCTGTTATGTATTGTTTCAGTTGTAACATACATATTGCCAGCAATACAAGCAGATTTTTTTTCTTATTTTTGGCAGCAAATTGATGCTTTGCTTAAGTGTGCCTAGGGAGGGAATGGGGTGTACCTTGCTTACATATAGTCTATAAAAATGTTTACACAGTGCCTAGTTATTATTCTTTCACATGTAGCTTGTAAGCTATATATTTTAACTTAGCATTGCTTGTGTTTTCCATAGGTGGGAAAGGATAGAACCTTGGGCTGCGACCCATGCTGTGTCAGCTATTTCTCTAAGGGAGAATATCTCATTTTGAGCGGGTCAGACAAGCAGGTGTCCCTGTACACCAAAGATGGGGTCCGCCTTGGAATGATTGGAGAGCAGAGCTCCTGGGTGTGGACTTGCCGGGTTAAGCCTGATTCAAACTACGTGGTAAGAGAACGTGACTGGATGTGGTGTAAGTTAGATGGTGACCATCCAGAATTAACAATTACCATGGCTGCAATGTTTTCTAGGTGGTTGGATGTCAAGATGGGACACTTGCTTTCTACCAGCTTATATTTAGCACAGTCCATGGTCTCTACAAGGACCGCTACGCCTACAGGGACAACATGACAGATGTCATAGTGCAACACCTCATCACTGAGCAGAAAGGTAGGTGTCTTCCCTGTCCAAGTGCTTAAATAGGGGTCTGGGTCCATTCTGGGGACCACACCCTGTAACGGATCGACGGGCACCCCGACTGGGTACCTCCGTTGATGGATGCTCCTAGCGCTTCCTGAGGGCTCCAAGCACTCCAGCCGACACCATAACCACCGTAGACTCCTCCAGAGAGCAAGGCAGGAACAAGCTCTTACAAGAGCTTAGTAGTGATTTAGCAAGGGAGAATGCAGAGCATAGCAATCCCTTGTAGCAGATCCCCCAATAAGAGATAAGACTCCAAATTGAGTGTGAAGTAGAACTGAAGCTTTTAATCAAACACTCTGTTTTTATGCCCATTTTACAAACATAGTACTGCCCACAGGGTTTTGAAGAACAAACCAATCAATACATTACAACACAGCTAAACGCTCCCATTCATACCAGCAGAAATCCTCCCCTCTGCCTGTGATACAATTACTGAACACAATGGGCTAACGTAATTATCACAGGCAGGAAATTCACAGTTTTACACAATATTCATAACTTTAAAAGTATACATCACATTCACATAAAACTCCAAATACAAACATACTATATAAAAAAATCAGACAATTCCTTCCATTGATTTAAAAGTTAGGTCGAAGCATGGCTTTCCAGCCAAAACCAGTTCCACAGAGTCCTCTATCCTGGAGATAATTGGCTTAACTGGGTGTGGTAAGCCAACTATCTCCAGGTACAGAAAATGTCTCTATTCACAACAACAGCAAAAATACACAAAAATACATCATTCCTATCATACTGAACAGAACCCCCACATTCAACCTATCCCCAGATGGCTTGGATCTGAGAGCTCAATATATCCAAACAGCGCTCAGATCCCACAAACACAGTCAAACCGCCATGGGGTTTAAGTCTAGCATGATGAGAGGGTCCATAGTCATGAGGCAGGAGGCTGGCAATCAGGCTTCTCCATAACCCAGTGGCGAAGTTAGTTTCGCCACACACCCCTTAATAGGAATACCAATAGAACATTTTGTGGTAAAGAACACAACAAAAAAACGCCTTTACCTTCACTCAAAGTCTGATAGGTTTACGACCAGCAAGATCATGGTGGAAGCTTTACTTGTGCATTATCTATGTCAATCTACCCACATTAGGATGGCAATGAGAGAATGTATGCTGTGAGCTAAGCCATCTCTAAGCTAATCACTCCAAACTTATTATTGTTGTTAAAATAACTATAGATACTTATGGATAATCCATAACTAAAAACTGCATTGTTGTGTGTTTTATCGAAAAGCTATAATGTATCATGTATACCTTACTTTTGTGGCAAAGCCCATTAATGATTGTAAATCATTACTACTCTCCAGGGGTCAGGCTATATGTTTTAAGACCCTCAAATATGACCATTATGTGACCGTCACATAGACATTAGACCTCGGGATTCTGTTTATTAAATGGTTAAAAGCAGGTGTTAGTCCAGCAGGCATCTGCAAATCTAGGGATTAAATAAATTGATTGGAGTTTAAGTCAAGGGCCCTTTAATTACTTTAACCACTCTAGTTTTTTTTGTATCTTTCTATCACCACTCTCCAGGTTGGCCAGAATTGCACTTGATATTGTGCGAGAGTGGTTTCTATATTATCAGTGCAGTTGTAGAGGGGTCATTCTGTGGTTGCAAATGGAAGCTAAGGGCTTTTTGTTAGACCACTTCAGTGTCTCTATACTTATTGCAGCATGACCATTATAATGAGATGGTGATTAGAATGCTAATTTAAAGGCCAGGACAGTACAGTTAGCTGGAAGATCCCTCTTCCTGTGGCCTTCTTGCATGCACTGACTGCTAACATATCAACCATATAATGCTGCAGTGCATGCAGATCATGAAGACAACAATGGATTGTCAATAATAAAATATCTAGCCTGACTTAAATGTTTACTTGAAACTCAAGATATATGTCCCTTTTTTTCAGTACGAATTAGATGCAGGGAGTTGGTAAAGAAAATTGCCATCTACAAGAACAGACTGGCCATCCAGATGCCTGAGAAAATCCTCATCTATGAGCTGTACTCTGACGATGTGTCTGATATGCATTATCGTGTCAAGGATAAGATTGTTAAAAAGTTTGAATGCAATCTCCTGGTGGTGTGTTCTCAGCATATCATTGTATGTCAGGTCAGTATACTCCCTCTGCCAAGCAACTGTGTGTACATTAACACCACATATAACATTTGGCTCAACATTACTTATCACATTTAAATCAAGCCAATGCTCCGATGTATCTAGCTATGCACGTCTTCACTGAGAGGGGTTTAGTATTACTGGAAAAACCAGGCCATGGCCACAATTGACGTGTTTTAATTTCAACAGCTCATCATCTCAACTTTATATTTTAACAACTGCTAAATGCAACTCCTAAAGCTGGTAATGGACTTCAGGCTACACCCCTTCCTGGTCACCTTTACTAACAGTTAAACTAGTGGCATCCGTGCTTAGCAGTTGCTAGAACAGCATGGGAGTGTGGCCTTCCATTTATAATTTGTAGCTCGTACTTATGGTTATGGTGTTAATGATAATACGAAAAATATGTGGTAAGAGTTACAACATAACCTTTAATTAGAAAATATATTAAAAAGTATGTCCTATTAGATACTAATCATATTTGTTGCAATACACTATTAAGAACCACCAAATGGTAAAACATCTGATCAACCTAATATAATTCAAAAGGGCAACCTCTAACTCAGTGTGCAAGTACAGAAAGTAGACTAAAACCCAATCTCTTAAGAGATGGTTATGGATAAAGGACCGAACCTGTAAAATAGGTGGATAATAATAATCTAGTATAGAGAAAAAATCTAATATAGTCAGAAAGTTATGATAAAATCACTTAAATATAGTCTGATAGTTATTAGAAAAACACTCAGATAAAGAACCAGCCTGTGATGAAGATGGTTAAAACATTCCAGATTTGTAAAAATGATATATACCCCGTAGTTGTCCCAATGTAATCCACTCTGCTACTTTACCATCCCTATTTATGCCTCAAGGATATAACTCAACAATAACCAAAAATCAGTTCATCACTATTTTGTGTGATAATGACCACTATGGGTCACACAAGTATAAATAGTTTTTTTAAGTTATTATAGGCATTATAATGTTTTGCATGCAGCTATACGTACCTACCACTAGGAGTCACTATCCACTCAGAGTTATACGGATATAAGTCAAACGAATTGAATACTGGAAGCCACCTAAGTAACTCTTAAGTTGAATAGTATTTATTTATTTATAAAATATTTTACCAGGAAGCATACATTGAGATTTCTCTTGTTTTCAAGTATGTCCTGGGCCCACATACACTGCATTGTTAATAGCAAAGCACATAGACAGGAGGGACATATAGTTATACAAGAAAAACAGGAGCAAGCTTCCCTAGTGAGGGGGAGGGCAGATTGGCTGTTCCCTAGTCCTAGTCTAGTTGTAGTGCTTAAGCATCCATTCCTTCATGCATTACAAGCAGGACTTCCATTATTTTGCTCTTTTGCCTTGAGATTTACTGCGCTGTATTTGTTCAGACGTATATTATTATTATTATAATATTTATATAGCGCCAACAAATTCCGTAGCGCTTTACAGTGGGTGGACTAACAAACAAGTAATTGTAACCAGACAAGTTTAAAGCACAGAAACAGAGAGATTGAGGGCCCTGCTCTATGAGCTTACATGCTAAAGAGAGTGGGGTAAAGTGAGAGAAGAGGAAAGGGAAGTATTAGGGAAGTAGATTGGTAGAATAGTATTCAATGAAGACTTAGTGTGGTGCCTATCAATCTGTACAGTAGATAAAACTTAAGAACCATTCTGCAACTCTCTTTTTGGCTGGGCGAAAATCATGACAAATGCAGTTGAGACGTGTGTGGCTGTGATTAGCTTTTATGAGTAAAACTATAGGCAAGGATGGACTTTTACATCTAATAAAAACCTACTGGACAATCTCTCTGAGATATTACTGCCATCTCCTAGTCCTTACATAAGGACTCTAATAAGAGACTCTAAGTTGGATATCTTTGCTGTGTTGGATATCTTTGTTCCTTTTTATGTTTTTACATGTGGGATGTGAGCTCTGTTTGGGAAAGTGTTTCCAGGAAGGGTGATACATTAGTGTAAAACCACAAAGTCAGCTAGATATATTGGTGGTAGTAAAGAGATAGTTACTTAGTAGTTGAATTAGCAATTAAATGTATAATTTATCAATATGTTATCCCTGTGTGTCATGACATATAGAGGACTTCAAGATATTTTGGTACAGGAGAGAGCTTCACTTTAATCACTTTAGACTGTTTATTTGAAGGTGCAATAAATCTCCATTTTTGATTAGACATGTGGTTAGTTTGTTATTGTTACATAGGTTATATTATCCATATAGTATCAATAATGCCTATTATACTCTATGTGCTCTAAGCCTCCCTGTTTATTGTATGCATTGTGATAAATCTTTTTTTGTATTGTCTCAGGAGAAGCACTTGCAGTGTTTGTCCTTCAAAGGTGTGAAGGAGCGTGAGTGGATGATGGAGTCCTTGATCCGGTATATTAAGGTTATTGGAGGTCCATCTGGAAGAGAAGGCCTTTTGGTGGGGTTAAAGAATGGACAGGTAAGCTTACACAAGCCATTCTTGTACAGAATTGTTTACAAGCTACACATTCATTTCACAAACACGTTACTCGTAGAAGAAAAATAATACAAAGAAAAAAGACATTTTATGAAGCTAGTTTTCCAATTCTTACAGTGGTCCTGATTGAATACTGAACAATCTGGTAAACCAGAATAGTTCACCAAAACACATTTGGACACATGGTAACGTGTTCATCTCTCTGCATGCACATACTCTTACGCAGTTTAGAGGCTACAAACTTGTATCTCATCAGAGACACATATGTGCTCCATCCTGACTCCTCTGTTACCAGACACGACCATCACGTTTTATATTGTACATAAGGACAGGTGCCCATGTTTGAAGCACAGATTCCCACCTTTTGCTACAGCCCATATTCATGTTTGAAGATTCCTGAGGTTAATGAGAGTAGTCAGCATATTGTGGACTTGCCCAAGAGCTTACAATCTAAAAACGTATTGCACTGCAATTGATTACAAAGCCTGCCTATAAGGATAATAAATAAAAAATATTACGTTTAAACCATAATTTGAGCTGTACATTTGCTATTTTAATGTGTATACATGTACCTTATTCAAAACATTTTAATAATTTACATTAATTCAAATTCACATTAACAAATCTATAAAAATACATAATATGCAGATAGCTGTAAATATTATTCTTGTAACAAAGTGCAGGAAAAAGACACAAAGGATGCAGATAGGGGTTGAGCTTCTGGAGAACATGTGATAGCAAAAAAGACAAACAAACCATTCCAAAAAATGATAAAACTAACCGTATACTGAAGGAGTTGGCCTGTTTAGCATGATTACTGAAATGACAAGCAGATGGCGCTGTGTGTTCATTACATCTCACTGCCTGGCGATGTACTAACATTTACACTGGTTCATAACTCAAAGCTGTATTCATATAAAATTGCTGGAGCTTAATGTTATTTTTTTTTGCTTTTCTTTATAACCATAGTGTTAGATGGAAATTTCACCCTGGGCAATTTGCCTTTTAAAGGAACAGTGTGAACCCCATGATAAGTGGTTATATTACAAGACTTTTGTGTATTCCCCCATTTTTGAGTGGTATGACATAGACTGGGTGTCTTCAAGCCCCCAAAATCATTCAAAAACCTTCCAACCATGGAGCAATGATGGGCTGCAAATGCTGAGAGCAGTTTAGTCTAGTAGGCAGAGCATATCATTGCTGTCTATCAGAGGCAGCAAAGGGGACAGGCTTTGGGTGTTGAGAGAGACCAAGTTTTTTTTTTTTTTAAACTGCTTAAATAGCCTGTCAAAAAACAAAGGTTAAAACAACAACCCAAGTAACCATGAAAAAAATTGTAGTGGTTATTGTGATTAGTGTGTGAATTTCAAGGGAAGAATGGATCATGAAAAGGGCCAAAAGATCAATGGCATTTGAGTTAAAAATTGCATAATAAATTATAAAACTAAAAAATATAATTTAATATATACGTGGTTATAGCACATTCATGGGCATATGTACAAATTACATGACTTATATGACATTCTGCTGTGCGGTTTCACTGCTTTACTTTGTACATCCTGTGATAACTGTGGGTCATGCACACGGCACACCCCACACACATAACATTTTGGGATTGTACTTCAAGCATTGTATGAGAAATTAATTGGTAAAAGTCTGCCCTATTATAAGATCACTTCATCCACTGTTTCCCTTGTGTCCTCATTGTCATAGTCTTTCTCCCCTGCTTCAGATCTTAAAGATATTTGTTGACAACCTGTTTGCCATCACGCTGCTCAAACAGGCGACATCTGTACGGTGTTTGGATATGAGTGCCAGTCGAAACAAACTTGCTGTGGTGGATGAACACAATACTTGCCTAGTGTATGACATCACAACAAAGGATCTCCTGTTCCAGGTGAGTAATACTCATTCCTCTGTCTTAACAAGGTTCTTACACCGACACAAAATACATGCATGTTTTCTTTTGAAGTATTTGAAATCTTTGATTGCAATAACTGCAGATTAAAGGGACACTATAGTCACCCAGACCACTTCAGCTCAATGAAGTGGTCTGGGTGCCAGGTCCCTCAGGTTTTAACCCTTCACATGTAAACATAGCAGTTTCAGAGAATGTTTACATAGCAGGGTTAATCCAACCTCAAGTGACTGTCTTCCTGAAGGGGTTTTAACCACTTCAGTGCCACAGGAGGGGGACCCTAAGGGTGAGGATCCCCCCATGGATGACATAGGGTCAGGAAAACAGTTTTTTTTTCCTGACACTATAGTGATCCTTTAAGTATATGCAGCTACTGCAAGCCCTCCCGTTCTAGCCTACTGCATACTTTCTCATCTGTTCCATGGAATAATCATAATAACCAACTGCATATTTGCACATCTATCCATTCACAGACTTCTCAATAAGCTGTGCTACAAGCCTTTGAGTGGCAGTTGCTCTACGCAAGAGCCTGTCTTCGAGTTTTGCTTCACAGAGCTGAACTGCCAGGAAGAAACACCCCCAGCTGTTAAACGGGTCACGGAGATGTGCTTTATGTGTTTTTTTTGTTGTTGTTGTTTTTTTGTTTGTTTTTTAAATGTAACCTCCAACTGTACAGCCTCTTACAGTCTCAGTTAAGTATTTTTTCCCTCCAATTTCAGCCCCCTTTACCTCAAATATTTAAATATTTGCGGCGCTGGATCCTCTTGCCAGCCTCAGCCATCTTCTAGTTAATGGCCGTGACATAGCTTCACAGTCTTTACCTGCCCAAAGTATGCGATTTGATCACCAATATTATATTATTATATAGTCATGCAAGGTGATTTTGCGAGGCAAAAGAGGAAGTACTGGGTTTGAAGGTGAGTATTGTGAGAGAACTTGACTCACCAAAGGAGGTGGAGCTTGCCTTAAGCTCCACCCTTTGCCAAGATTGTCAAGCATAGGAAAAATATATAAGACAAAGTAGTCGTTTGTTTTTAAAGAGAAATAGATCAGAAAGGAAGAAAAGAAGAACAGATTCTGGAAGTGAAGAGGGAAGAAAGGATTGTTTGGGATTGCAGAGCCACTTTGCAGTGGACATCTCACTTGTTTTTGGGGGGGTTTATATTTTCAGCAAAAAAATATAGAAAGTGACGAATTTTCATACATTATAAAATATACATGTTTTGAGTTTATGATTTGCTAGAAAATATTCTCCAAGTCAGCTGTTTTTCCAACTTTGCTACTTTAGAAAAATTAGCAAAATTTGTAAAATTAGCAAAATTAGTAATATTGCCAAATCCTTGGAGAATTTAAAGGAAACCTTTAGGCACCATAACGTCTTCATCTCATTAAAATTGTTATGGTGTCTGGAGTACCCTTACGCTATCTTTCCTTTTAACTATTAACTCGTTTACTTAAGATGTGTCCCCAGGTGCTAGTCTCTACCTTCCTATTTCTGGGGTAATGCAGATGCATAAATGTGAACAGTGAGGCGGCAGCTGTGATTGGCTGAGACTTTAGCTGGCAGCCGTAGCGTATACCTGGCTGCCTAATGCGAGTAGTCCATGTAGAATAGGAGAGGGAGAGACTTGCGCCTAGGGACACATACAAGAACACTTAAAGCATATGGAGAGTCCATACTCCAAAACAACTTAATTTAGACAAAGTAGTTATGGTGTTGGAAGTATCCCTTTAAGACAATTTACAGTTTAGTGGGTAATCCTAAAATACATTATTATTATTATTATCAGCATTTATATAGTGCAAACATTCCGCAGTGCTTTACAATATTATAAAGGATGAAATTTAACAATAGATGAGACAATTACAAAATGTTACAGTAGGTTAATGATGACCCTGTTTAAAAGAGCTTAGAATTGAGAAACCTTGTTAAGAACAGTTCAGTTATATGTCTGCTTTGTAGGTATGATGAAAATACCTCCTCATACTGGCATTCATTGCTGTTATGCAGATAAGATTTAATTCAAGTGTAGAATCAGGATTGTGAATGTGTGCATGTCTCTATAAAATACATTTGACATTCATGGTCTGTAACCTTTTTTAGGAGCCCAATGCTAACAGTGTGGCATGGAATACACAATGTGAGGACATGCTCTGCTTCTCTGGAGGGGGATTCCTGAACATTAAAGCCAGTAACTTTCCTGTACACCAGCAGAAATTACAAGGGTTTGTGGTGGGTTACAATGGATCCAAGATATTCTGTCTGCACGTTTACTCCATGTCTTCTGTGGATGTGCCCCAGGTATGGTAATCTTTAGAGAATTAAGGTATTGACTGCTGTGGTGTGCCTTGTTTGAAAGTATGATTTCTGATGCAACTGGCTACCGTTTGTCGTACAGCATAAGCTACGTTGTGCAGTGGCATTTTGGTACATACACAGGTCAAGCCATCTCTGTTCTCTTCATTGTCACAACTGAGATGCAGCTGGGTATTAATTAATAGGGTTTAAAATTTCAACCCTATGCTTCTAATCAGACCTTAAATGTTACTCGCCATTGCAAGCCTGAAGGGTGCATGGCACAGTCACCAGTGATGAATATTCACTTGCCATTGGCTAGTGGGTGAGTGGAAATTCTGAGCCCTAATAATGAATACCAATATTTTTTAATCTCACTATTTTAGAGAGGGAGTTAGTGAGTGGGGTACTGTGTCTTTGGTTTTCCGTACAGTGCTAGGTTCATAATGAAAGAGTTCTTTCACTGATATTTCTGGGTGACATGCAGGACATGAAAGGTTGGCTGCCTGCCATTCACAAACTTCAATGTGGGTGGTGTGTGCATGTCTCTCTCTGTGTGCTTCTGTCTGTATATATGTGCCTACTCAACTGTGTTGAAAAAAATTCCCAAGACAGGAGGGGATAGAATTTTGTAGATGATGCTTCATTTCATATACCAGGCTGAAAACTGATAGGTCTTGTAGTCAAGTGGACATCCAAGTTATAGACCCCCAAATTTACAGATGAAAAAGAAAATATGCAAAGTTGGTGGTGGCACACAATACTCCATCTCCCAGATGGTGGTGACTTAAATAGCCCTCACTCACCATTTAGGTAGGTATTTGTGGTACATTCAGACATGCAAGCAGAGGTTCATACTCTGCTGTTGAGGGACATATGGATGGAGCTTTTGTTGGGCTGTACTACAGCACGACTCAGAATATCTCAGCACCATACTACATGCATTTACATTCCTTGACATAATTCCTGTAGCCAGCATCTGGTGTCTTGTTACCCGGAGAGAGAATATACATTTCAATGCTGGGTATTTTCTGGGATTTCAGTGAACGGTCAGAATTATGATTTGCAGGGCTTCTCTAATTATGTATCGGGACTCAGTCGCCCACTATATATTTTATTTACACCTAGCCATTGGTGAGGGAAAATTAATCCCTAGTGAGCGTGCCATGGACCAGGCTTGCATCAGTAATGTTTATGCTTCTCTAGTAGCATAGGGCATGACATTTTGAGCCATGTATATATTATTATTAATATCATGATTATTCTCTTGAACATGGTTTCTTTACAATGGATACCTGACATACAGAATCTGACAGGGTGCCTCTGAAAGCCAGACTAAATGAGCTGCTAGTTTATATCATGTAGTGGACTCCCACCACATAATTAGCTGCTTTCATATGAATTTTCCTGCAGCCATTTGAATATTTATTTACATTGACTAAAAACATAACCAGTAGGATTATGAGGATTGCAGTTAGAGCCCTATGTTCCCATCCTTGGTGCAATGAGTTGGATATTTGCTGATCTTCATGTTTCCCTGTTCCTCAGTCTGCACCCATGTACCAGTACCTGGAGAGGAAGATGTTCCGAGAGGCCTATCAGATTGCTTGTCTCGGGGTCACTGACCTGGACTGGAGAGATCTAGCAATGGAGTCTTTGGAGGGGCTGGATTTTGAGACTGCAAAAAAGGTGATGACTAGTTTCCTTTTTCACTGGTGCTGTGTCTGACCTCACATGCTCTGTTTGTTTGCTTTTCCAGGTTTAGGGTCTCAGGCATATCCTGCAATTCACAGTGTTATCCTGTCTGGGATATGAATGGAAAATCCGCTGACAGTAATGAGCAAAGTGTCACAGACACCCAAACATTGGCAATGTGTGGACCTGCACAGAGTGCCAAACCAATAACCCACCAGTAACCCATTCACACTCTCTAATAAACTGACACTCACACCAGTAACCCATTCATACTCTCTAATAAACTGACACTCACACCAGTAACCCATTCATACTCTCTAATAAACTGACACTCACACCAGTAACCCATTCATACTCTCTAATAAACTGACACTCACACCAGTAACCCATTCATACTCTCTAATAAACTGACACTCACACCAGTAACCCATTCATACTCTCTAATAAACTGACACTCACACCAGTAACCCATTCATACTCTCTAATAAACTGACACTCACACCAGTAACCCATTCATACTCTCTAATAAACTGACACTCACACCAGTAACCCATTCATACTCTCTAATAAACTGACACTCACACCAGTAACCCATTCATACTCTCTAATAAACTGACACTCACACCAGTAACCCATTCATACTCTCTAATAAACTGACACTCACACCAGTAACCCATTCATACTCTCTAATAAACTGACACTCACACCAGTAACCCATTCATACTCTCTAATAAACTGACACTCACACCAGTAACCCATTCATACTCTCTAATAAACTGACACTCACACCAGTAACCCATTCATACTCTCTAATAAACTGACACTCACACCAGTAACCCATTCATACTCTCTAATAAACTGACACTCACACCAGTAACCCATTCATACTCTCTAATAAACTGACACTCACACCAGTAACCCATTCATACTCTCTAATAAACTGACACTCACACCAGTAACCCATTCATACTCTCTAATAAACTGACACTCACACCAGTAACCCATTCATACTCTCTAATAAACTGACACTCACACCAGTAACCCATTCATACTCTCTAATAAACTGACACTCACACCAGTAACCCATTCATACTCTCTAATAAACTGACACTCACACCAGTAACCCATTCATATCTCTAATAAACTGACACTCACACCAGTAACCCATTCATACTCTCTAATAAACTGACACACACCAGTAACCCATTCATACTCTCTAATAAACTGACACTCACACCAGTAACCCATTCATACTCTCTAAGTAAACTGACACTCACACCAGTAACCCATTCATACTCTCTAATAAACTGACACTCACACCAGTAACCCATTCATACTCTCTAATAAACTGACACTCACACCAGTAACCCATTCATACTCTCTAATAAACCGACACTCACACCAGTAACCCATTCATACTCTCTAATAAACTGACACTCACACCAGTAACCCATTCATACTCTCTAATAAACTGACACTCACACCAGTAACCCATTCATACTCTCTAATAAACTGACACTCACACCAGTAACCCATTCATACTCTCTAATAAACTGACACACACCAGTAACCCATTCATACTCTCTAATAAACTGACACACACCAGTAACCCATTCATACTCTCTAATAAACTGACACTCACACCAGTAACCCATTCATACTCTCTAATAAAATGACACTCACACCAGTAACCCATTCATACTCTCTAATAAACTGACACTCACACCAGTAACCCATTCATACTCTCTAATAAACTGACACTCACACCAGTAACCCATTCATATTCTCTAATAAACTGACACTCACACCAGTAACCCATTCATACTCTCTAATAAACTGACACTCACACCAGTAACCCATTCATACTCTCTAATAAACGGACACTCATACCAGTAACCCATTCATACTCTCTAATAAACGGACACTCACACCAGTAACCCATTCATATTCTCTAATAAACTGACACTCACACCAGTAACCCATTCATATTCTCTAATAAACTGACACTCACACCAGTAACCCATTCATATTCTCTAATAAACTGACACTCACACCAGTAACCCATTCATACTCTCTAATAAACTGACACTCACACCAGTAACCCATTCATACTCTCTAATAAACTGACACTCACACCAGTAACCCATTCATACTCTCTAATAAACTGACACTCACACCAGTAACCCATTCATACTCTCTAATAAACTGACACTCACACCAGTAACCCATTCATACTCTCTAATAAACTGACACTCACACCAGTAACCCATTCATACTCTCTAATAAACTGACACTCACACCAGTAACCCATTCATACTCTCTAATAAACTGACACTCACACCAGTAACCCATTCATACTCTCTAATAAACTGACACTCACACCAGTAACCCATTCATACTCTCTAATAAACTGACACTCACACCAGTAACCCATTCATACTCTCTAATAAACTGACACTCACACCAGTAACCCATTCATACTCTCTAATAAACTGACACTCACACCAGTAACCCATTCATACTCTCTAATAAACTGACACTCACACCAGTAACCCATTCATACTCTCTAATAAACTGACACTCACACCAGTAACCCATTCATACTCTCTAATAAACTGACACTCACACCAGTAACCCATTCATACTCTCTAATAAACTGACACTCACACCAGTAACCCATTCATACTCTCTAATAAACTGACACTCACACCAGTAACCCATTCATACTCTCTAATAAACTGACACTCACACCAGTAACCCATTCATACTCTCTAATAAACTGACACTCACACCAGTAACCCATTCATACTCTCTAATAAACTGACACTCACACCAGTAACCCATTCATACTCTCTAATAAACTGACACTCACACCAGTAACCCATTCATACTCTCTAATAAACTGACACTCACACCAGTAACCCATTCATACTCTCTAATAAACTGACACTCACACCAGTAACCCATTCATACTCTACATTAATCTGACCAATGCATCAGTTATTAATTATTACACTCCATTTATCAAAAACACACGCAAAACTCATCCACTGGATAAACACACCCACAAAGGAACCATTCGCAGTCTGCACTGTTTTGACTATTGCATCAGTAACCCATTCACACACTACACTCCACTAAAATGTAGTGATACACACAAACACACCAACAACCTATTTATTCACTCAGCAGGGATTCACTGGTAAAACAATGATTCCTCTTCCAACATTTATTAGCTTGCTCTAACTACATATCTTACACGGAAAACATATATTACTAGAGTTTACAACAAAACAAAACACCAAGAGCACTATGCAAGGTGTTTAAATTTCCTGTAACAGTGCAATTTTTTTTATAACCCTACTCAAGTGCAATACTATATGAAATTCGCAAATTCAGTTATTATATTCACAATAGCCACACGTTACAGTGTTCAACTTACAATTAATTGTAATACTAAACACAGTTATTTTCCTATCATTGGAAATATTCCACATACACCTGAAAAGTGTGAATACACTTTATAGGTCAGACCCTCTGTGTTAACAGATCTTATACCCCTTTTATAAATCCCTTTAAAATGATACTCACATCTACTAGAGCCCCGTCTGCTTATCTCTGGGTTTAAGTAGCTCTGGTGTGAGAGAGAACATTTCCCACAGACGAAATATCCATACTTCTTGATCTTCCAGCACTAAATGGAGAGAGACCAGAAAAAGCTATACATTTACTAGAAAATCTTCTCCACTAGAAAAAATATTCTCCACAATTTTAGCATAAATAGTGTTTTTCTTATTTATTTATTTTCGATTCACTGTACATTAAACTATTAATGTGCTGGTGTCTGCTGCCAGTGTCCATGTTTTCTTTAGTTAATGGGTTCTTACCTACTATTTTTCAATTGTTTACTTATGTGTACTTTGAGGGGCTGCTTAGATGTGCCCTTCGTCTGTCTCTGTTGTGTTTTCACAACATAGACATATTTATCTTCTTCTTTACTAATTGTCTTCTTTACTGTGTATCTTTATTTTTTGTTGTTGTTGTTTATTAGGCATTTATACGTGTGCGTGATCTGCGCTACCTGGAACTCATCCACAGCATTGAGGTAACAAGCCGCACAATGAAAACAAAATATTTACCAGTCAGGGAACATATTGGTTGTGATCGTTGGTGTGACCTATATTGCACACAATCCTGTCCCCTTCAGGAACAAATCATAGGTAATGTAGTTCACATTCAAGTGCAGTTCCAGGATTCGCCATAACTGATATCTCTCAGAATTAGGCAACATGTACTACATGGAAGTAATACTTCCATTAGCTTTGCCAGTACCCTTGTTTATACTAAACATTTCAAAAGTATGTTTCTTTCACTTAAGGGGTTAATGGCTTTTAAATACCACATTGTTTTTTTTCTGCAGTAAGCCTAGACAGGAGATTTCATAGTGCCCCCTAGAGGCAGCTACTGGGAGAGGCACAATTTATTGTGCAGATTTTTCCCTTTTCCTTCCTCTAACTGTGTTTTCAGGGGGTTACATACTTTGCAATTATCCTTATTTCCTGCAAGGTAAAGTATTTTTGCCATTTCCCCCCATTTGCATGAGCAGTGTAATGTGTTATACCTAACCCTTTCAGTGGAAGACCTAATTAATGCCTCACTCACACATCTGGCACTCCCTAAAACCTTTACCTTCTAAACTTTGTGTTTGAAAATCCCCTTGGATTTAGCCCATATTTGCAGCTTGCTATCAGCCACTGGAATCTACAATTTCATACTTTCCAGTATAAACAGGATTTACGGTGCTTCCAGTTGCAGAAGAAAGAGTTAAAGTTATTGCTAACTGTGTGGGGGTGTTGTATGTCAGAGCTCTTGCAGGATTTATTTTGTAACACCTCTCTTGCCTTTCATAAAGGGGTGGGAATAAATACTGTCTTGTAATTTATTGTGTCTGGCACTTGTCAGCACCTAGATCACTCTACCCCTGACTCTGCAAAGCCTCTTTCACCCCAGATTCTACGTCTGGCACATTTGTTTGGAATTAGACTCAGTCCCCAAAATCTTTACCTAGTTATCCATTTGTTAAAGGGCCCTGTAGACATATGTACTAACCTATATAGAATCCCTTATTCTGAACACGAAGTGCACTGTTTTAAAGTGCACCTGTTGTCCATGTAATCTGTGTGCTGTTTCTGATTAGTGCATTGTGGATGATTTATAAAAGTATTTGTGTAAGAAAGGTGAATCTTTTATCTGTAACATTCCATTGGTTCCACTACTACACAAAGTGTACTACAAAGTCTAGTGACAAAATGATTATAGCACATATGTTCACCTATTTATTTGGGTATTGTGGGACTTGTCTTTGATTTAATAAGCTGTCCTTCTATGCTTCATAATGATTTACACACTGTCCTGGGGGCTTAAGCAGGTGGTATCCATTTCCTCAGGGGGGATCAAGAGAATTGAAGACAGCATTATAGATATCTCCGACATGTCATGTTCATGATATACTGTATTTTATTGTACTGTCTTGCTGCTGAGATCAACATCCACTTTTCTGGCCAATAATTGCAGGAACGAAAAAAACGAGGAGAAACCAATGATGATTTGTTCCTGGCCGATGTGTATGCATATCAGGGCAAGTTCCATGAGTCAGCCAAATTGTACAAGAAGAGTGGGCATGAAAACCGGGCCCTTAATATGTACACTGACCTACGTATGTTTGAGTATGCCAAGGTAAGTCACTAAAGTACTCATTCAAGGGTGGAATACAAAATAGTGATGGCTGGTTCAACCTTCTATAGAATTATGCTTGTTGAGCTTATACTACCTGGAGAGGCCATCAAAAAGATATTTAGATTTAAACTTAGAAAGCTGGATTGTGACAGCATATAAAAATCCAATTGACAAATATAATCCGATTTTTCCTATACATTTTTTTTCTTGCTTTTTATTTCTTTCCTTCTCAGTGTGTCTGTACAAAGTGATATTATATGATGGGAATAATTAATATTATGATATCCAGTGAGCTGCCTCTCCCCTAGTAATATTATCCTGATATTATACTTATCTGGTAAGGTACCTGATATTCGCTACCCATTTGGAAAAATGTCCAAATTTACCATATTAGAAAGGGAATTGAAAGGGAATTTGAAATGTAAGATCAAAGAAGCCAAGCTGAGCAAAGAACCAATTTGGAATCATTTTCTATTAGACTATTCAGGCCTACATTTTAAAATTCACTTTGAATACCCAGCAATGCTCACGTTACTGAATCGCCCTGCATATGTAGGGTGGTTTTCATTTCAAATAGATATTGCGTACTTTTAATTTATTTCCATACAAAGGAGGGTATTTAAGTTCTGTAGATCTCCAGCTGTTGGGAAATATTGCACCCGCATGTTAATCGTTCTGATACTTCTAGCTGTCAATGCCAGAGTTCTATTTCAACAACTAAATGAAAAATGTCTACAACTACATCCTAAAGTCTAGATACCATTACCCAATTTAATTGTACCTTGGAAGGTTGAATGGATTAGTAGCTCAGACCTTGCCAAGAATTGAACCTCTAAATGGTAGAACTGGCTTCCTTAATCACAGAGCTATATCCCTGGAATATCTGTTGCTTCTCCAGGAATTCAAATAATAAAACAATTACTTTCTCATTCTCAGGATTTTCTTGGATCTGGAGACCCAAAAGAGACTAAAAATCTGATCACAAAGCAGGCAGACTGGGCACGCAACATCAGGGAACCCAAGGCAGCGGCTGAGATGTACTTATCAGCTGGAGAACACGTAAAAGCCATTGAGCTGAGTGGTGATCACGGCTGGGTTGACATGTGAGTTTTGCAGTATATTCCCAGAGATTTGTACATCTATTTATATAGCACAGAGGTGATACAGAAAAGAAAAATATGTCTGTGAACTAGTTGTTTTTCTTTTATCCATAAATAAGTCATTAACATAAGTGATGTTCATATTCAAAGCATGGATGTAGAAACCAGGGGGGATCCGCTTTAGCTTTTAAGATTATATGTTTCACTGTTTAAGAAAGGTAAGAAGAACAAAGCATACGTTAATGGAATACAGGATAAAATCATGGTTTGTGTATCAAACACTGTACTGTTACCTATTTACTTTGAAGGACAGCAGAAAACAATTATACAGAACATTGTATACTGATTAACAAGTAAATAGTGAAAAGGTGATAAATGTGCACACGTGAATCTGGCTCTGAATACAGCAGCAGTTGGTGGCTATGAAATTCCACCACACCTTTCTATGGGGATCTACAAACAAATAAGAAATCCCAATAGTGCAGATAGTTCCAGGACAGCAGACCAAATGCAGGTATAAGGATGAACTCACATAGGTGAAGCCATAGAATCCAGCTTGTGATATAGCAGCTCTGTGTTTGGGTAACACTCCCTTGCTGTAGGAGACTGGAGCAGTAGGCAAAGTTTTATTTACAGCATATTTTATTATAAAAGAAATATATACTTATGGCTTTAGAGCCCATAAAAACAATTGTGGCATGCAAGTCCATAAAAGCAATTATTTCATGCAAACCAATAAAAACAATTATGGCATGCAAGTCCATAAAAAGAATTATGGCATGCAAGCTGATAAAAAGAATTAGAAACAATTGGAGCAAAAATGAAAAAGCCTGCCGGGTGCTCTTGAGACACTTTTTGTTGTGGCTTCATCAGTCAATGTTTGTCAAGTTTCACTGCTTCTGGATTTAAACTTCCCTCTGTTGACGTCATTGGCTATTGTCAACGCCCCTTAAGGGGGTATACTTTACCCAGCGTGTCATTTCATTGGTTAGGCTGCTGCCTCGTTTTATCTGTAATAGGGGATGTATCCATGCCAGCTAATCAGTGCATTCTGTTAAGGTATCTGGAACTTGAAAGCCGTCAAGGTTAATTACCTAAAATACTGGCATCGGACACAAGGAATGATCACAGCGAATAGACACATTAGGTGTTAAACCTCTCTAAATACAGTACAAAAAGTGGTAAACATTTTAATGAACAGGAGAATGGCAATAAACATTAATGTAGCACAAGGGAATGTAGAAACCGTGTGATAAACAGTATAAAATAGTGAAAGTGATACTAATACGACTGTCCCCATTACACTTAAAGAGGAAAAAAAGGTGAAAAATATATATGAAACACTGAATACTCTTATAAAACGTACAACATTATGAATAAACATTATAAATTTATTTAAAAAAATATATATTAATTAAATATATACACCTTGAAGACAGTTCACTTGAGAAAGAGGTGTATGAATGCCTCTTCAAAAAAAGTCGGTTAACAAAACTTAGAAGACTGATTGCCAGATGTGGGCTCTGTATCCAAATAAACAAAATACAAAGGTTCCCTGAATTTCCATGCTTGTTTATGTGGAAGAAAGTAAACCAAAAAAAAGTGTTATTCCCAGTTTTGTCTGAAACTGCAGAAAAATAATTCTGCATACAAACTGCACCAATTTTAGACTTGGTGCCTGCATTTTAATTCACTTCTGTTACTTTGTAAAATTCCATATATTTTCCCCCTTTGCCAGAAAGATTTAATATTTAAGTCTTCGCCCATGTGTGTGGATACTTGGTATACACTTGGTAATCACTGCAATATGTTGACTCTACATAAATAATATTCATTTTGTACTCCTTGGAGGCACCTCTTACAGAGTAAACAAACACAGATCATAGCATCTGTCAGCATAAATCTTGCAGTTTAATATTTAATCGGCCTCTGCAGCTTTTCTAAATTGTGTGTTTCATGGTGCATTCGTATAGTTTCTAACATTGGCAGACTGCTGATGGGCTCACGCACAAAATAACATTAAAAAAAGTTGTGTCCTATGTGTAGACCTCATTCTCTTGCTGTAAGCTAGTTATTCAGGAATATTGTCAAGACGGGTTTAGAGTGAGATCCCCAGGGGTGGACTGTCTAAACTCTGTTTATCAAATCAGTGTTGCTTGCTAGAGGGCTGCAGAGTGAGAAAGGACAAGGTGCTGACAGGAACACCTGTTCACTGAGTATTCGGGAAGGACATGATTTTATTATACATTCCTTTCTGCTGTCTTGATTTCCATCATTTGGCAAACACATTGGAAGAGATATGTTCAGTACAAACACAGAAACAAACAATGGGAAACTTCTCTACCAAGTGCAGCCTTAGAAGAAATAGGATGCTGTCCAGATGTGGATGACAATATGGCATTATCTTTAGCCTGTTGGGTATCCTCATACCTGAGCTAAAAGCAGGAAGCAGCCCAAGTAGGCCAGCGTATCCTGTTGTCATTATCTGTTACTACTAGTCTTTTCATTATACAAAATATCTAGTAGGAAGCCATTCCCTCTTTATTAAAGGTGTGACATCTGAGAAGCATATTGTTTATAAAGAAGTGCCATTCTCAGCTGCAAATCTCCTGGACTTGCAGTTTGAATCCGCACCCATCGGTGCTATTCTGGTTTGAATGGCATTGATATTAACAATGAATAAGTGTAAAGTTTGCATTATCACATTTTAACAGAAGGTGGTCTCTGGGTGTCACAGAGAGCCCTGTTTTTTTTTTCTTGTCAAATTACTCTGCTTGACAAAAAAATAAGGTACAGTACCTATAAACCATTGGCAGCATAACCCCAGTACTGAGCTGTAGAGTTAATGTTGCCTAGAGTGCTCTTTCAGGAGCAGGGAATTTCATGGTGGCCAAGAGTCTGAAAGATTTGGCCAACTAACTGCTCCTGCAACTAAATCTAAAAAAATGACAGAGCCAAAAAGTTTTCTCACTATTCATAAGAAGTAGCTTCTTTTTGGACCCTTTTTCTGCCCTCCAGATCAACCTCAACTCTCTGCACTGAATAATTGCATTCAGCTCTGCCTTACCCCTGCCTGGACCTAATAAAACCTTAGGGTTAGAACATTTCTTCTGAGACTGACTCAGCCTCTTCTTCGATAGGAGATTTCCAAGGATCACCTAGACATGTGAAAGGTGTGGTTATGACAATCGCCGCTTTATTCTTCATGTCACACGTAAATACATTAATACTCCACACCACTACTTTCTGTTACTGATCTCTAGCCTGCAATGCATTGTTTAACATTCTTTGTACAGAGATTTATACTCTGCACTACTTGACAATGTTTTCTTAGCCAGAATCTCATGCGGAAAGGTATTTATTGCCTGTGATTAAGAGCTGTGATTAAGAGCTGTTTATATACTAATAACCCCAATTGCAAACACACTCTTCCACTTCCTTGATTCACATCCAAAGCTACAAACACTGCTTCCTGAAAGACATTTATATTACTTTACAAAAACAAGCATGGTAATAAAATGAAGCCCATTATAAAATATAAACTATTTCACCCAATATAATGCTGAGTAGCTAAGCTATAATGAAACTGCCATATTTAAGGCTGACTATTTGCCAGCTTCCATAGCAGTCCAAACAAAAAAACGTTCTGATGTATTTGTTAATTGTGATTGCTTTTCTCATAGTTTGTTCCTTCACTCGTGATCTTTGTGCTCAGTATTCACTAAGTCCCAGTATTTCTTAATTACAAATGTATGTGACTTAATTCTCCTTCCTGTAAAACTCAATAAACAGGTAATGGAAAAGCACATGATATACATGAAAAGTGTGTTTATACACTTTACACCCACAGTCACACACACATTTCTATATTCCAAATGTGTTGTCTGGTGTCATTATTCAGGGCACCGCGTAACAGAGATTGTAGATTGATGATGCATGTATCAATGATGGAATTGATAAGGACAATATACAGTGTATATGTACTTTCAGGGTAATTAAACAAATGGTAAAAGGACTGATTCGCACAGAGGTTTTGTGAGAAATGCTGTGATAGAGCTCAGCACCCACCCATTACATCACCATCACATTAAAAAAAATATTGGTTATAGTTCTAAAATAAAGGAAGTTACCTGAGAGGATACTTTTTTAGTTATTATTTCTTTAAAATGTGCATTGTGGCTACATGAAACTGTATTTGATAAAAAAAATCTTTTAAACTTCACTTAAATTTAAGTAATGCAGGTTTTTATTCACTGAAGCTGAATTTTTATCAATAAATCCACATTTTACTACCAGCAGGAAAGAGGAAGTCATGTATGAAATGTGGTAATGCCACATCAACAAATGAGCTATGCCACGCTACGTGAACCACATGCTCTGAGTATTTATGCTGTGATTTTCAATGCAGGCTGATTGATATTGCAAGAAAACTTGACAAGGCCGAGAGAGAACCTCTATCAAAATGTGCATATTATTTCAAGAAACTGCAGCACCATGGGTACGCAGCCGAGACATACATGAAGATCGGAGACCTCAAGTCACTGGTCCAGCTACACGTTGCAACACAGCACTGGGAGGAGGTGAGAACATATTTATAATTGTGGAAGTGCTCTAGTGTGGAGGACTATGGGTAATAAGTCAATTTACCTAAAATGGCATACATATAGCAGCATAAATAAAACAAAATATTACTCTTCTTTTCTTTTTCTTTTTACAGAAAACATTGTTTGAAATGTATTTAAATTTACCTCGTAATTGTAGTTAGTGCAGAACAAATGTGTTCTAATTGCCATTAAATGTAGAACAAACCTTAAATGAATACTATAGGCACTCATTACTTCCTTTCATTGAAGCAGTCTGGGTGCAGTGTCCCTGTTCCCTTAACCCTGCCATGTAAAACATTGCAGTTTTAGAGAAACTGCAATGTTTACATTTCAGGATTAATACTACCCAACAGCCACTAAAAGCAATTCCTGCAGTTTCACGGAGTTTGACTGATGCTTTGCACAAGGATGTCCAGTGGTTTGTAAATCCCAACAGAAAAGCATTGATTCATTGCTTTTCTTATGCGAAGGCCTAATGCGTGCACGGTGCTTGCTGCGCATGCGCAGTAGTTTGTGCGCATCGTTTCATAGAGGAGGAATGCAACCCAGAACCGCAAGACATTTCCGCTTGAATAGGTTAACTGAAAGGGTTTTTAGCCAGGAACAGGACCAGAGGGGTGGGGGGAAAGGCGCATGGGTTTAGGGACACTATGGTGTTAGGAATACATCTTTGTATAGCTAACACTAAAGTTTTCCATTAAAGCAGCCCTGTCACCCAACCCAGTCAAAAGATAACATAAGACAAAGAAGGGACTACTTTGTCATATGCATTTTTCCTACTCCTGACAAAAGCCGCTAAACCTACCGCTATCAGTTTTGTAATTTCCCCCAGCCGTCACTAGTGACGCATGTGAGGAAAAAGGCACGGGCTATGGAGGGTTTCTTGGGATCCTCCATGGACATCAGTGTTGTACTGAAAGCGAAGCACTGATGTGGGCTCCTGCCAGAGAAAGCACCAGGAACTGAAGAGGATCCACCAGAAGGTAATGGAAACTTATCTTTCCCTGCATCCCTGGATTATGGCCCTACCAGCAGCAAAGTTATCATCGGGGGTCTTTGAAATATATGCAAAGCCCCCAGAAAGTGTCAGAGCTGCTTTAAAACATTAATTGGCCTCTTCCTGTTGGATACAACCTCCATATAAGAGAATTACACTGCTTTCATGTTCTGTAATTGGTAGGCAGGATATAGTTTATGTAAGTTTCCCTCTTGAGGCTGGATTCTGTCACAAGATTTAAAAAAAAGCTAACTTTAGTAACTGTATAGTAATTCTCCCATAGATGTCTATAGTAAAATTGCTACTCAATTACCAGAGTTATACGTACCTATTATAATACAACCTCTGCCATCTTGGGTTTATTTTTTTTATTCTTTGCTAGTATTTATTTGGCCCTTTTTGTTGTCAGCCTCAGACATTTCTCTTGTCACGTCAAGTCCTTAGAGGCTCTTCACAAAACTTCCACCACTTAGACAGTACTACACACTTATCATTTCTTTTATCATATTTTCATCTCTTATAATCTTATTGTATGTATTTGTCAGTCTTCCTGTTATAATAATAATGTGATAATGTTTCTGTTTAGGCCTTTGCACTGGTTGAGAAATACCCAGAATATAAAGATGAGGTGTATGTCCCCTATGCTCAGTGGCTTGCAGAGAACGACCGCTTTGAAGAAGCACAGAAAGGTGAGCAGAGATTCTCGTTATATTTTCTTTTGAGCTGCTGTCAAACTTGAGCTGTCTGCAAGTGTGTATCTGCTTCCAGTAGCAGACTTCATTCAGAGTGTGTTTGTCTCTGTGCTCATATCTCCTGTGCTGTTACCCAGTAATATAGTGCTAACATAGAGATCCTATATATTGCCTGCTGTGTATAACCAATAATTCCACACTCACATAACTCCTGCTGTGTTTAACAAGTAATTCTGCACTCATTGATAGATTTCCTATATTTCTTGCTGTGTATAACTTGTAATTCTGAACCCGTAGAGTGAGGTCACTAATCTCCTGCTGTGTATAACAAGTAATTTGCACTCATTGATGGAGATCCCATAATTATTGCTGTGTATAACTGGAAATAGCCAGAGAGTGAGATTGCTAATCTCCTGTGGAACTCGCTTCCCTCCTCCGTTAGATGCTCACCCAGTCTCCACTCCTCAAAAAATCATTAAAAACCCACTTCTTCATAAAAGCATATCAATTAAACTGTTAATAGCTCCCGACTGATTCATCTCTTGCAACCGTCATTAGTCTAATACTATCCTTACCTTTTGTGTCACTTTACCCTACTCCCTCTAGCATGTAAGCTCATTGAGCAGGGCCCTCAACCCCTCTGTTCCTGTGTGTCCATCTTGTCTGGTTACAACTACATGTCTGTTCATCCACCCACTGTAAAGCGCTGTGGAATTTGTTGGCGCTATGTAAATAATAACATAATAATAATAATAATCGCTAATCTCCTGATGTGTATAACACAGTAATTCTGCACTCACAGAGGCAGATCCTGTATATGTCACTTCACTATCTGTTCTTTCTGTCTTAGCCTTTCACAAAGCTGGACGCCAAGATGAAGCCGTGAGAGTGCTGGAACAGCTTACCCACAATGCAGTGGTGGAAAGCCGATTTAATGATGCCGCCTACTATTATTGGATGCTGTCCATGCAGTGCCTTGACATTGCTCATGGTAAGACATTTTGGAGAAACGATAGCTGTCTGAGCTATTTTATAATTATTGATATACACATGTATAATGTTTGGTATATTAATATATAATCTGATATTAAAATCTAGATTCAGATTACATTTTCAAATGTACTTTCACCTTTAGGCATCTTGTAAATGTATATAGGTATTGCCTCCTTAATAAAATAATAATAATAAAAAACCTCTTTCAGGACTTGTTGGCAGTTACTAGTGTTGCTGATGGGTGTCTTTGCTAAGTATTCGTCCTCAGAATTACACCTATTCTCCTAATACTGAACCTTACAAGGGTTAAGTACCTGATTTGCTAAAAGCAGCCAGTGGTATGGTTGGGCAAAGTATAATGCCTATGATGATACATAGGAAGTTTGTAATGCAATTTGAAAGCCTACTCTGAATGGCATTGGATAATTCCTTCAACCAAAGCTCTCTTGGGACCAAAATGTTGCTAATTTGCTGGGGCAGTGGGTATTAAGGTTTTCTGATAAATTATTCATTTTTATTTTATCTGTTTTCTTGGTACAATGTGTTTGTATATATATTTTTTTAAATGTGTTTTGACTGTACCACAAACGTACGTATGACATTATGACCTGTGACATTTATGGGCATTTTTTTGCTAGTGCAATGCATAGTTAGCATTCAGTTGATAGTAAATGTATTCTTTACATTGTATTCTTGTGCTAATAATTCTGTGATTGTTCTTTCCTACAGAAAATAAAGAGAAGCAAGACACGATGCTGCAGAAATTCCATTATTTTCAGCACCTAGCGGAGTTATATCACGTGTACCACTCAATCCACAGATATACAGTTACGTCTCAATCAGTATACACCCAATGAAATAGCTAGTAGGGTTAAAGGGCTGTAATGGAATACTATATACTGATCAGCCACAACATTAAAACCACTGACAAGTGTAGTGAATAACATTGATTATATTGTTCCAATGGCACCTGTCAAGGGGCGCGATATATTAGGAAGCAAGCAAAAATATCTGAGTGACTTTGACAAGGGACAAATAATAATGGCTAGATGACTGGGTCAGAGCTTCTCCAAGTCCTGTGGGGTGTTTCCGGTATGCAGTGGCTAGTACCTACCAAAAGTAGTGCTAGGAACGACAACTGGTGACCAGCATCAGGGTCATGGGGACCCAAGGCTCATTGTTGCATGTGGGGATCAAATACTAGCCCATCTGGTCAGAAGAGCTACTGTAGCACAAATTGCTGAAAAACTTAATGCTGGGCATGATAGAAAGGCGTCAGAGCACACAGTGCATCATGGTTTGCTGTATATTAGCTGCATAGCTGCAGACCTGTCCACCACCAATAACACCTTTAATGTGGACGTGAGCATCAGAGCTGGACTATGGAGTAATGGAAGATGGTTGCCCGGTCTCAGGGCCAGCCTTAGGGGTGTGAGAGCAGTGCAGCTGCACAGGGCGCCATGGCAACAGGGGGTGCCATGCGGCCCACACTGCTCACACATGGCCGGATTTAAAGTGTGTGCACCTGCTAACCTGGGGGGTAAGGGGGGGGGTTGGAGAGTCTCTTTAAATGCAGAAGTATCTTAGTGTGGCCTTGTAATTCATACAGTTAATTCATGAAGTGCTACTCTTTCTTTCTTTCTTTTTTTTTTCTTTAAATCTGTGCCTTATTATTTAGTAAAGCAATAATAATGTTTTCAATGTTAAACCTCTTATATATTTGAGTCTGTGCAATTTCAGGATGAACCGTTCAGCTCCCACCTTCCAGAAACTCTGTTTAACAGTTCCAGGTTCCTGCTGCACAGTCTCACCAAGGAGACCCCCCTTGGGATATCCAAAGTGTATCCTTTTTCCTCTTCAGAGCATCTACATCAGAGATTGTGTGTGTAAGAGACACTCCAAGAATTGCTGCCCATTTTAATGAATCTGTATAGATAATGTAAAACAAAGTAAATTATGAATTCAATTATAATTTTTTTTTTTGTCCCTCTTTGGATACAAGTCCCCAAGGTCTGATCCTACTACAGATGTCTTTTTTGACCAGAGAATGGCTGGGATCAATCAGCCAACTCTGGTCATGCTTTAGCATTCTGTGTAAGAGCAGTACGTTTCTCATAAGGCCTTACATGCCTCTAGATTATGGATAACCTACAGCAGTGTGTAAATACAGTCACCACACATATCTGTGCATGCACGTCATTGATCTTTGGGATTCAGCAAATCCTCTTAGGTCTGGCTCACCAAGCCCCAGTTACAGAGAGACTGGAAATATGAATGCAGTAATGTATAAGAGAGAGAGAGAGTGTGTCTGGGATGCCTGTGTGATCTTCTTTATGATTAGCTTATTGCTAACCATAGGGACAGCAAAATGCAATGGGGTTATGTTTACATCGTTGGGTAGATCCCTGTTGGATTCCCGTGTTTAAAAATTAAAAAGGAATTCATATTATTATTCTCTCAATGACATTCAAAACAATAAAATATTAATATTGGTCAAATCAATGTATAACATGAGATCTTGTAATATGAGATACTCAAGCCCGAAAACATCTTTACTTAATGAAGCAGTTTTTGTGTATAGATTGTAACCTTACAGTCTCACTGCTCAATTCTCTGCCATTTGGGAGGTATTTACTTTGTTAATGCAGCCCTAGCCACATCTTCCCAGGCTGTGTAGTATCAACACCTGCACGTCTCCTGTAATGTGAATTCTTTTTTTATGTTGTTTCCTTTTTTGCCCCAGGGTTCATTTATTCTGTTCTTTCTATTTGCCTTTCTTTACACTATTGTACTTGGCCCCCACTTCTTTAATCCAATATATACTCCATTCTCTATGTACATATGTACTTTCTCTCCATACTAATTATCATTCAGAATGTGATCAATGAAGGCAAGCCTTCCAGTGTTGTGATTATAAAGAGACCTGGTTGGAATAATGGGATAGATGGTGACAGAACATTCTACTCGGGACTGCGAACCATTAGAACTTGTGACTTTGTTAAATTATTTCACATGGGGTAATTGCATGGGTTATTATATTGAATCCATGTTCAATGCTTCTAATGTCCTTAACACGTTGCACCAGGAATGCTCTGTACACACTGGCAAAGCAGAGCAAAGCCCTGAAAGCATACAAACTTGCTCGTCAGGTGTATGAGAGGCTACAAGGTCTGAGGATTCCCAGCAGATTCCAGGAGTCCATTGAACTGGGCAACATTACGATACGATCCAAACCCTTCCATGATAGTGAGGTGAGTTTCAACCTAACTGTCCATGGGTTCTAGGTTACACATTGTCAAAGTGCCAGATCTAGGGTAAAATGTGAACAAACTCAAAATCAAAGAGGTATGAGATGTCTGAGAAGGGGCAAATACTCAGAGAAACCAGAGTCTTGCCTTTAGGTTTATCCTGGCTCAGGTCTCAGAAATGTTTTTGCACACTTGTGGCCTTACAGAGATAATCTATAGTACTGGCATTTAAATGGACAGGAGCAAATGTGAATGTACACAATGGATGTAGACTGAAATCTGAAACAGGACCGATTTGTTTTGATATTGTACCATCTCCGATGAAGAGGATCATACAATGTGGAAGTACCCTTCAAAAGTAAGGTAATGGCTTAGTCAGAAATGGATCCAGGTCAGCACACCGTACTGACTTATACACAAAAGGCAAAAATCAGAGAAGCTTGGACAACCAACTGTGGTTAATGTAGTTAATACAGTCCAATAAGGAATAATCTGTGTTATAACAGACATGAAACCATGAACATGACACCATGGTCACAAGCTTAGGCAGTGCTATTGGGAGACCACAAGGGTCTTAAACTGCAAAGACATGTTTTTTTTTATCGCAGGAGCTTTTGATCTCATGGACTGTAAAGGTGTTATGTGTTTTGTAAGGATATTGAGAGTCATGTAAAGGCAAGACATAGCAAGTTCCATAAAGTTATGTTGTTGGTTTCAGTCATGTTTACATTTTAGAATTGTGTTTGTGTACAATAGCAAATATTTCCTATTAAAGCTATTGTAAGTCCTGTTAATGTTTTGTGAGTTGCATAAAGACTTTGCATGTTCTGTTAAATCTTTGTATGTCCAATACATTTCCGACAAATGACTACAGCATTAGCGTGTCCAATAGCACAACAGAAATGGTTAAGTCTCTCTCAGGCCTACACATATGTTTCTGGTAAGCATCCTTGAGTACTAGAGGCTCACATGCATTTCTACGGTCATAAAAATTCTGAGATATTGGCAAAGCAGCAAGTGACTTCTATAAAGTTACAATGAAAGCTCTAGCCTGAGATATTGCCAAGTTCCTGACCTATCTAATTTTTCTGGCAATTTCTCTCTGTCCTATTTTGTACGATTGTGTTGGACCTCCAACAGTCGCTAACATCTGCTGAGTCTGAAATATATCACTGGGACATTTCAAGCTTTGCTGGATTATAGATCTGCTGTTCTGTATGATAATCAGAGTCGCTGGATTAATTAGAACCACTGGCACCTGTAATTGGAAAACCTAGAATTGTCATCATATTGTTATATTAATTTAGAAAGCACCAACATAGTCTGCAGTGTTGTACAATGGATATCACAATCTACTGAATTTTATTTTAATATCCAATAAGCAGAAATGTTACGGTAAGAGAAATCGTCAATAACAGTTCATGTTGTAATAGATGAGAACATTACATGAAAGGATAAATATTTGACCATGATCTTGTGAGGTCTGTTAAAGTGTCCTTTAATGAATATCCACAGAGTTACTCACTAAAGTGAAAATTAAAGGTGAATTCAAAGTCAAATTTAAGGCCAGAGTAGCTGATTGGAAAGCATAGCCGATTTAGAGAATTTTTCCAGTTTGTCTATTTTAACCTTCCTGGGATATTATCTTACTTTTATCTCAGGACTGAACTTGTCTGAATGTTAGGGAACAGCCCTCCTGGGATTCTTTCGATTTACAGTTCTTGCATTCCCTGAATTAATAGACAATATGTACTGATCCCTGTAGTAAAGAGTAATGACAAACCTTATTGCCAATTATTACACCTTTTGAAACAGAGAAGGCTGCATGCCAAAAAAACTTTAGTAGTTAACAGTATGTTAGTGTAGAAGATTATACACTGTGAATTAACCTTTTCACTGTATAGAAAAGTACAGAAAACAAATCCTTATATATACACAATAATAAAAGTATATTGGGGGCGGAACCTGACTGTGGAGCTGAACAGACAAACGCGGTGTAAACTCCTGAGCCTGAGCCCGATAATAAACATTAATCACAGGCCACCCGCTTAATTTTGGACTCATAAACCTAACGCATCCTGTTAAGCAGGCATCGGTGAATCGGGAGATACCCCACAAGGGATACCCCAAACGAGCATATCGTCCTCTGGATTACCCGAACTGAGGCTTGCGGCCTACACCATGCAGAGCTCAAGAGAGACAGCCGCTCTCCCAGCCCTCAAACACATGAAGCAATCAAGGTACACAGCTAGCGCACCAACCCCACGCCCCCTGGACTGGTAGGGGTTATCCCTGTCCCCACTCCAAGCACCAGTACAAGCCCCAGACATGCACAAACCCTGATCGCTGCGGACCACTCAAAGATGGCGGCACACAGTCTCAATGCATACATGTGCCTCTGCAGGTCCACCACTACGCAACAGAGCATATACTCACATGCCTGAATAAGATATTTGACAGATTCTGGGCACGAATAGAAGCTTGCAACGCTGCAGCACAGATTCGCAGGAGAGCTGGAATACAGGGGGACGCCTGGGAAACAGTGGCTGGAAAGTGAATGGGACACCCTCGGGCACACCCTCGACAAAGAAGCAGGTTACTCCATACGCTTGCCGATATGGGCCCAAAGGCCACTAAGGGTACAACCCCGGCGCATCTTCCACGCAGGTGGAGGTCCACTCGCCGCAGGCGGTGAAGCAACATCAAGGCCTCCAGCTTTGTCCCAGCAGGGAGGGACTTGGACTCCAGAAGCACCCAAGTTAGTGGTTCCGCGATGCCGGCCTTTACTCAGACGCAGAGCTGGAGGGATGACTCGGCTTGCTCCTGGCTTACTACTACAGTCAGCAACCACCCCTCACCATTGCCACGATTTCCCACTCGAGGAATCGGATGATCAAGATTTGTGGATGACCTACCTGCACCCAGGCAGACTCTTCCCATTTATAAATGGACGCAATCCTGTCACAAACAGCATTTCCAGGTTCTCTAAGCCCTGGGGATACACACAGCTGTAGCTTTTCTGTATTTTCACAAATGCCTTATTTTACCAATTGCCCTTTTCTTATATGTATTCTTATGGGGCAGTGAGCAGAGAGGGTGTGTGGACTACGGTGGTTATTATAACGCTGTATCTTCCTTATCTACACCTAATGTTTTATTACATCTAATTTGCATTCTAGACAATAACTAAATTGTGAGTAGAGAATTCATATGTATAACTCTGTAAAGGCCTACAATCAGTGGTGTATCTTGGTTTTGTGCTGCCCTAGACATGACAAAACTCCGGTTTTCCCTCCCCCCCCCGCTACCTCCTCTTCCTCCACCACCACCCCCTTCCCCGCCTTCTAAATACACACACATTCACTGACAGACACACATACACTAGCTAACAGACACATACATTCATTAACAGACACACATACACTCTCACTAACAGACACACACAATAAAAGACACACACACTAACAGACACATTCACTCACTAACAGACACACACACACTAACAGACACACACTCACTAAGACAAACACACACATTCACTTACAGACGCACACTCACTAACAGACTCACACACACTCACACACACACACACATTAATACAATTTTTTTTTTAAATTCAATCCCCCCAGCCTACTTACCTTTGGGAATGCTGGGGGGGGGATCCAGTGGGGGGTGTCCAGTGGGGCTGCTGGGCAGCCGGCCGGTAAGTGCAGGTGGCGAGGGAGCACTGATCCTCCTGTTCACGTCATATTCCGTCATATTCGTAATTTTCCGGCTCCCGGCATCACTCTGCGGCGTGCGAGGGAGCTGAGCAGAGAGCTCACTAATCAGTGCTCCCTCGCCAGCGCCGCCTGCCCGCCTACCTGGAATGTCAGTTAGCCGCCAGGCTAACAAGACATTTGCCTGGGCATTTGGGGACGGCTTTTTTTGCCACCCCTTGGAAAGTGCCGTCCAAGGCAAATGCCTTGTTTGCCTCGCGGCTAATACGTCCCTGCATACAATGCCCTCAGCTATTGCTGCGCTTAAACTTACCTTTGCCAGGCCTTCACCATGCTTCTCAATGTAATCGCCTAGCCTACTTAGTCCTGCATGTTAACAGTAACCTATATGGCATGTACTAGCCTAGCATGTTTAACCCTTACAAAAGCAAAAAGAGGTACATTTCTTAGGAGTATATATTATTGTATGTCACATGTGTATTTGTGAATTGTCAACTGATGATATAACTCCATATGTCTTATTTCTGTACTGATTACTATATGCCTCAATTAAAAAAGAGATTGACAAAAAAAAAAAAAGTATATTATCATAGAACAATGTTTATCATGAACAATTGCTTCCAAATTAGTTTAAAATCAAAATCCCCCCCTTACAAAGCTTAAAGCTCTCCACTGTTTAGTTTATTTTTGTCAATCAAAATTTTTTATTAAGTTGTAATGATGCGTTACAGACGAAAAAGGAAAATATTGTACAATAATGACCAAGTTTATAAGCACTAGGTTGAAACAGTGATGTGTACAGCTTATTAGCCAATGTGTTTTTTTGTTGTATTGTTTTAACCCCTTAAAGGACCACTCTAGGCACCCAGACCACTTCAGCTTAATGAAGTGGTCTGGGTGCCAGGTCCCTCTAGGATTAACCCTTTTTTTAATCAACATAGCAGTTTCAGAGAAACTGCTATGTTTATAATAGGGTTAATCCAGCCTGAAAATCCTCTAGTGGCTGTCTCATTGACAGCCGCTAGAGGCGTTTGCGTGCTTCTCACTGTGAAAATCACAGTGAGAAGACGCCAGCGTCCATAGGAAAGCTTTTTGAATGCTTTCCTATGAGACTGGCTGAATGCGCGCGCAGCTCCTGCCGTGCATGGGCATTCAGCCGAAGGGGAGGAGAGGAGGCGGAGAGGAGGAGGAGAGCTCCCTGCCCGGCGCTGGAAAAAAGGTAAGTTTTAACCCTTTCATCTCCCCAAAGCCGGGCGGGAGGGGGACCCTGAGGGTGGGGGCACCCACAAGGCACTATAGTGCCAGGAAAACGAGTATGTCATGATTCCCTTTTATTCCAGAAGTTTGGTCCTTAAGGGGTTAAAGGTGTAACAAGATAAGAGGAGCATTAACTATAAACATATTATCACGCCATCAGGAGAAACATTTAGGCACCTTTCTAAGCTGCAGTAAAACTCTCCTCTATTAATCTAGTGGAATTGCTGATGATTTAGACATTATCTTATAATATTTTCTGTATTTTTTCATTAAAAAAATTAAAAATTTAAAAAATACACATATTGTTGCAGGCTTTTATAAAAATTGTCTTTTTGTCATATGAATGGTGTCATCGTATCAGATATCTGCTGCTTGTCTTCCTGATTTCTTTTAAATAAAACAAATTTCAAAAAAGAATGCCAAATAATGATTCATCTAGACTACACAACTTGCCCCTAATAAAAAAATTTTTTAAAAATAGAAATACGTGCCTTAGTCCCCATAGTTGTACGACTGGAGCCTGTAGCAGATAAGAGCAGCTTTGACCCACAATATGAATCTGTAACAAATCCAAAGCTGATTAGTGTAGTGACATCTCACATTCATCAACCTGTCCCGATTAATGATGTCACCAAAGAGGATCAGTGACCATACAGAGCCATAGCAGGTCTTCATTGCTCTGTGCATTTTGTCCTGGATCAGTATGTTAAAATTACTGAAAACATTTTGTTTGATTTATTTTTCTATTTTGTTTTCATATTAAAGTGTTGGGTACACAGCCAAAAATACCTAAATCAATTCTTTGGTGACAAATCAAGCCTTCTAGTTTAACCTATACAATAGGCATTTAAATTGGTTGCATATGTACAGATAAAATAATTGATTTTGTAAATCATTACTTACCGCAGGAGCTGGTCCCCATGTGCTACCGATGCTCCACTAACAATCCGTTCCTGAACAATCTGGGCAACGTCTGCATCAACTGCAGGCAGAACTTTGTGTTTTCAGCCTCCTCGTATGGTAAGTGAAGCAGAGAGGATTCTATAATGGAATTATATCATCCAGGTCAAAATAGACCAGGTTATAAAATAATTGATTGGGAGAAATTGTCAAACTTTTTTGACCTCAAGTATGCAAATTTGTTTTGAGTTCTTCACAATCTGCTGTTTGATAAATTAACCCCCATGATGCTTTTAGTTTGGTTTTAAATGCTAAGAGTGGAGAAATCAGCAGGAACATTCCATTGGTTTCCATGGTGATTTCTTCATTTTATACTGTATTGGAATTGCTCTTCATACGTGACTTTGTATTAAAGGGACACTCCAGGCACCCAGACCACTTCTTCGCATTGGAGTGGTCTGGGTGACAACTCCCACTACCCTTAACCCTGCAACTGTAATTATTGCAGTTTTTATAAACTGCAATATTTACCTTGCAGGGTTAACTCCACCTCTAGTGGCTGTCTTAGAGGGCACTTCCTGCTTCATAGCACAGGTTGTGAGGACCTCCAGCGTCGCTCAATTCCCCATAGGAAAGCACTGAAAAGCATTTTCAATGCTTTCCTTTGGAGAGCTCTAATGTGCATGCGCTGCATTGCCGCGCATGCGCATTAGGTCTCCTCAGCCGGCGGGCGGGATCAGTCTCCCCCGCCGGCTGACGTGATGAAGGGGAGGAGTGGCGGCGACCCGAAACCACCGCCGAGGGACATCGGCGGGGGTCTCAGGCAAGTCACTGAAGGGGTTTTCACCCCTTCAGCAACCGGGGATGGGTGGTGGGAGGGAGAGGGGACCTGCAGTGCCAGGAAAACGGACTGTTTTCCTTGCACTGGAGAGTCCCTTTAACTTTTGTGCAATTTGATGGCACTATGTTAATAAACACTGATAAAACATAACATTAAAGACACTCTACTAATGTTTAGAGGAAGAAATTAATAGTATTCTCTAAGTCAATGATTCCTGTGCTCAAGACAAGTTTTTTTTTTTTTGCTGTGTTAGAACAAGTGGATTAATCAAAATGACCGAGCCAATTAATCTGTGATTACAAGCCATCTGTTCTGCAGACACAGAAGCTGTATCACTGTATGTGTAACAGGCTCTGTGCTTAGGAATGCTGCCTTCAAAATTGTAGAAAAAAAAGATATACCTCGGTTTTCTTCTCTTCACCAAACTCACTCTTCTCCTAAAAACTCTCAGCTTTTCCTGCTGACATAATTACATATTTATCCCCAAATCAATTCAAAGCCCCTCTAGTGGCTTTCTGTGTGGGACTGCTGTAAAGGGATCTTAATCACATTGATGCTGCCACTTCTATTCCGTCACCAACAAATTCTCCTGTTGATGCCACAGACTGAAACTTGCAGCCACAGCCAGAGTCTATATGAGTGCAGTAATGTTTCATCTTAAAAGTAATTACAGGTTATCGGTCTAATCCTCTGCTAATCTCCACACTGCAGGCTCAGCCAGGAGGTAGATGTGTAAATAAAGCTGGGCAAGGAGTTCAAGTGAATCTCCCCTCTCTGTATGGACTCATTGTTAGATCCATGTAAATATAAGGGTTTTGTTTTGTTTCGCATTCTCTTCACATGAAGCTTTCATCTATCCTCAGTATGAATCTCTACCCCTCATACAGAGCTCTCTTAAATAAGCTATAAATCTCTCTTGTCCCCTCTCTACGAATATTAGTCATCACTGTACAAGCTCTCTTGTTTTCCCTGTACATAACTCTCTTCCCCCCTCTTGGTTTCTGCAGTTTGAAACTATATTGTTCCTTCAATACCAAACTCCCTTCTAAACGACTTCAATATCATATTTCAATGTACCAACTTTTGTCTGACGTTGATTATAATTTTAACTGTAGTCATCTTTATTGGCAGCAATGCTACTACCTTAAGCATTTTTTTTCCTATTCCAGTGAGATGTATTACATCTTTTATCTTTCAATGAAAATCCTATTTGCTATAATGATGTCTAATAGCATGTATCTTGAGATATACTTGCCACTTCATCTTCAATTTAGGATCTTCCTATTTCCAGCCTTAGCCCCACGGTTGTAGCAACAGGTTCCTACCTGTGGTTATTTAGCTAGACTATATTATATTAGTAAATTATGAATTAGTGCATCAAGTAAACTATTGTCTTGTTTTATGCTAGTTTAAGTTTGTTTCTGTGAAAAGTAAAATTTATATATTCATGTGAAGAATGTTTTAGGCACAATGCAGTTATACATGTTCTTTGGCTGCTTAGTTGCATCTAGAATAATGGTACTTCCATCACATTCTGAGAAATGACCTTGTATCATGTTTTTACCTGAATACAGAAGTTCTCCCCCTAGTGGAGTTTTACTTGGAGGATGGAATCTCTGAAGAAGAAGCTGTGTCACTTATTGACCTGGAAGCTCCAAGAAGCAATCTGAGGAAAGACAAATGGCAGGAGGTCTCCTCTGCTGGTATCCTTGTCCAATAAAAGACATGTTGTAGCCAACAGGAAGTTGTTCATTTTTCCAACATATTCCACAGAGTCTTACACTTGGAATCAATTAATACTGGAATTTATAACAAGGCACTTTGAAAACTGCTACAGCAGGATGCTACCAGCCTAGATCAGAGATGTCCAAGATATTTATGTGTGGGATCAGAAATCCTTATGTGTCTGGGGAGGTAGGTACCAGCTATTATTTGAGAACACTCCTGTTAACTCACACAGAACAGTATGTGAGCACTGACAGGCAGCCAACACAAGGCTTTTAAGGAACTGACGGTAGCATTGTCTGAATTCTTTACACAAAAAGGATTCCACCATGCTAGCCATTTAAATAATCCATGGCTTGTATCATAAAACTCAATTCTGAACCTTGGCAACAGCCATGAGTGGTTACATGACGCAAATTGTGTGTAAATCCACTTGTTTCCTGTGTACAGTGTATTTGCTGCATAAAGGTGTGAACTATGGGATGCACACACTTCCATGCACTTCTACATTCGATTATGCCTAGCATATGTTGTGCATAAAGATATGTCCAACATATTGTGGATTGCCGTCTGCTAACAATAACTTGTAATGTGTACGCATGCTGAGGATTTTGTTTGTTATATTGTATTTAAAGAGCTCCTTATTTGGGCTTGGTACACATATGCAGATGTCAGACCTTTTTTTTTAGTTGTTAAAAAGTGTTCTGGGCACACCTGGAGGTTTCTTTGATAGGCAGTCTTTATTTGAAGTGCAGAATAAAATACAACAGTGTTTTGGCTCCCTTGGGCCTTTGACGAAATGTTGTTGTTGCCTATCAATGAAACCTCCAGGTGTGTGCAGACCTGTTTTACATTGCTATATTCTGCATGGGACATTGGTCCACCCTGTTTGGAGCACCCTGCTGGAAGTATTCCCAGGATAATTGATGTGTGCAATATTATCCTAAACTTTACAAAGTTCTATTTGTGTCATAGTACCACTTTCTGTTAGGCCCTTCATCAGATATAAACAGACACTCAAACCCTGAGGCTGGATGAAGAAGAGGTGATTGATGATGATCCATTTACTGCAAAATTAAGTTTTGAGGTAAGATTTCAGTCCTCCTCTCTAAAGGTAAACTCTCAGGTGTCCAGTGTTGCAGATTGTATAAGGCATGCTGTAGATATATATATGTACAAAACCAAGAAAAAGTGACCTGTGCGCACTAACCCATATTATTAAAATAATAGTTTTTAGTGCCTCTGCAGTCATCATGCAAGTGTTAGCTCACCTGTTAACGTCAAGTCAAAACTAGGTGAGTCCTATGCTAACAATTCACCTTGCCTATTTCAGCAAAAAGGCTAAACCTGTAATGAGACAAAATCTGGTATATTTGGGCTAATGAATATTATAGCCATGCTGTTAAGAGCCAGAGACATACCTAGGTCACTTGTCACCTGGAATAAAAATATACATTCCCCCCCCCCATACCCATCTAGTCCCTTTGTGTGTATCTCCTGATCCTTCTTATGTGTTTCTCCTAATACCCCTTTCAACCTTGTGTGTCTCTTAAACCCTTTCTTTTGTGTCTCTATTACTTCTTTTTTTTTTTTATCTCTTAACCCACCATTGTCCCCAACATACATACACGTCCCCTGCCTCCACCCCCACTCCCCCCGGCCAAGAGCAGTAGGAGTTTCTGTGTGTTTTTATTTGCTGATATATATCTAGCTAATGTATAGTTGTAATAAAATAATTCACCGCTTGCAATACAACGCATTGACTATCTGTTACAATATATGGCTAGTCATTTATTGACAAAAGGTAAACCAATATTTATTTGCTCCATGTAACAGAAACAGACATGTGTTACTGTGCCCAGTGTTTGAATATTGATGAATGTCCTCTAATTCAGAGTTGTTTGACTTGACTTTTATTAATAAAAAGGAAAGGCTAATGTAATTCCAAATAACGTACAGTTTTATTTTTTAATAGCTGGGTCCATATCCATTCAGTTTGCAGAGAGCAAATAATTTTAAGCAGCTAGTTAGGAAGGGATTGTTTTGTCAGGTGTAATCCATATGTTTTCTAATTATGTGAATTTAATAAATGAGCAAATGTGTGAAAAGCCTCAGTAACAGAATGATCAGAGAATGCCATGTGGGTCCTCAAGGTAGGTAATAGTGGACAAAAGTGTGGTGCCAGCACAGTCCATATCAAAGCACCTCAGGAGGAGCTATGAAATTAAGCTCCAGGACCACCAGGTACCATACTGCCACCCAACGGCTTGGGAACCTGTCAGTGCTTGGTGTTTGTGTAAATAATCCTGGTTATTGTGTTAGTAAGGAGACCAATCTAGTTCCTATTGTTAAGGGCCCTACAAATCTAGCGATCTTCCCTTGCTTGAGGGTGCTATCAGATGAAATATCATAACTTTAATATGTATCTATGCATTTATATTTGCTCCTTGTGTATAACAGTCATATTCTTCTTTCAGCAAGGAGGATCTGAGTTTGTCCCTGTGATTGTGAACCGCACAGTCTTGAGATCAATGAGTAGAAGAGACGTCCTGATAAAACGCTGGCCACGGCCACTTAAGTGGCAATATTTCCGTTCCCTGCTCCCTGATGTGTCCATTACAATGTGCCCCTCCTGCTTTCAGGTACACAATATGTATCTGTCCTGTTTTCAGCGAAACACTATGGGATTTGTTTACTAAATACCAAATTTTGTCCATCTGGCCAAAATTTGATGGAAATAGGCCAATTCCAATTGAATTGGAAATTCTCATCTCAACTGAATCTGCATCATTCAACCAAATGCATTCAGTGTCAACTTTGAAATTTCTGTCAGCAGGCAGATAGTTTGGACATTTAAAATCCAGGCCTGGATTTTAAACATTTTTCAGTCAGTATGAAATCCAGAAACATTTCTGGCACATTCATTGCCAGAATTCTAAAATCTGGATATTGTTAAATAGTGTGAAAAATGTCTGGATTTTGCCATTTGATTGGCCCCATACACAACTAGATGTGTTTACTTCATTCAGACTTCAGTAAACAGGCTTGATTGTGTCCATTACCATCCTTCCATCTTGCATCCACTCTATATGTACATTACCATGGGTCCCTCCTGCTTTAGCTGCACACTCTGTACCCATTACAATGTGTTCCTCTTTCTTTTAGGTACACGCAAGCAGGCCTGTAAGGATGTAATAGAAATATGTTTTCTTGCAGATAAACAGGAAATTTTTTACTAGGTGCCTGCCAGCACCTAATGTGTGCTGCATATTAAGGGATAATCTGTTAAGTGCTGACTAGGCCAACCCTTTCTAGGCCACTGTGCAGGAGAGAGCAATCAGTGTTTTGTATTACTGGAAAGAAAACCAGAGTGTGTTATACGAAAACCTGACAGTATCTGGCCATGGTAGCACAGTACTGGATGGTTGATTGCACGGTGTTACCGGACAGCCTGTCAAGAGACAGTCAAGGTAACAAAATATAGGCCATGTCACGTAAAAGATGTAATTATCGCTTCAGACACTAATTAGATTATCTTGATATCTCCTAGTACAGTGGCCCTGGGCTCCTGATAGCTTCTCTTTTCTGCAGTCCTGTAACATCAGGTAACCTTATAAGAGGAGGAGATTAGCAGATGTATAAGGTGTTTATTTTCAGTCCCAGAGGAAGGAAAACAATTAATTCATATCTTAGATCCCTTGTCTACGCAGGCCACAGCTTTCCCTTATTTTTAGACGTTGAGGTACACTGACGTCTTCTGTGGTGGAACTTACTCCTGTCTCCTTTATTTGTGTCTCACCTCTATCTCTGTATCAGTGTCACTTTATACTATATTCACTTATGAATATCTCTTACTCTAGATGTTTCACACTGAGGACTACGAGTTACTGGTTCTTCAGCACAACTGCTGCCCCTACTGCCGGAGACCCATTGAAGAGTCCAGTCTATAAAACAAGTCTTAGCAAATGCTCTCACAAGCAACCACTACAATGCAATAAAAAAACAACAAAAGACACTCAACTGCAACAACACAACTTAACCTGGCATTGGGCTACAACTCAGATGATGCACAGCCAGCATTATGTGACATGTGGTTCAGCAACTGAAGAGGAGGTTTGCTGTTGCCCATTCTACAAAACACTATCATGCATTTTATTTATTTTATGTTTTCTATCTTTCATGTCTTAATGACATTAGTAATCTTCATTTCGAACATTCCGCTTAGTGCTTTAAATTGAACTCCACCCAAATCTCTGTTTGAAATGTTATTTATGCATCTATACAGTTGTAGTTATCTCTCATCACAACACTTACCTAAAGGTGATTGTGTGGGAAGATGACAGGTTTATTGTAATGATCTGGAAAAGTTATCTTAAGTGTAGATTTGTGGTGTATTTTGTAGCTCTGCCTTGGAAGAGACGATCTGCTTTAGATACAGAAAAAGCAGAGAGTTCATAAAATAGTTTATAACAGATACAGAAAAAAATCTAGAGATCTATCAGAGTCAGATATTTATACACAAATCAGAAGACGAGATTGCCTTTGCTATACGTACGTTTAAAAAAATCCAACTGGTTCATTGGAATATTTACAACAAATATTTTTGTTAAAACATACACATGAATTCAAGGTATTTTTTTACATTTGTAATTACATATGTGTTTATTTTTTTCTATTTATGGATATTAAAGGGATTGCAGTTAATAAAGCTTTTTGAGTTTGCTTTTTGAACACCAAACTTAGTAAAAAAAATTTTATTTATAAAACACTAATAGATTGTACTCTCAGGTGCAGAATTAGTAGTTTGTGATCGATCATGTTTAAATGGTTGATGAGGGCCTTGGTTGAGCTGGTTTAGACATACAGTGCTTGGTGATCAAGATTTTAGTGCCGCCTTGAAATCTCTTGACTTTCAACAAGATTCCTACTGCTGAATGATATCTCCAATGCTATGAAAGGGAACTTTGTAGATCTCTTCTGCGACATTTAAAAAAAAAAAAAAAAAATATACACCATTGGCATGACGAGAAGTAATACTTGCTGGAAGGCTTGGTATGGATGATGGAGAATGGCTATAGTGTACTGCACAGGGATATTTCTGCTGGAGACTATCTTCCCAGCTCATAACCTCAGAAAAGACAATGGAATGATGTCAGGATGTGCTTCAAGGTTTTAAACTCCAATACCTTGCTGTTATAGGTACATCTTTCCTGCTCCAGAAACAAGTCTGAAGGTGTCATAAGAAATATTCAGGTTCTCCTAATCTGCTCATGCTCCAGAAACTGCATAGAGAGAAACAGGTGATCAGGCCTCAATTATGAATATGTGCCCGTAATACACGCACATACAATTATAAGTAGTTTAGGACCAAACAGACATTCAGTTGAAAATATTATGTTGACCTTCTCTAGTTGTTTAAATCTTGCACTATCCTAAATATATTTTATTGTGCATGTATTATGTCTTGAGCTGGGTCCCCAGCTGTTTATTGATACACAATAGTCCAAAAATCTAGGAGAAAGACCAGATTATTAAATTTCAACCCTAAAGGGCTACTGTCACTTCCTAGGGTTTTCGATTTCATGTTTACTTATATCTTACATTTAACAAATACATATTTATAAAAATCAGATGTTGAACATGTATGTGCAGGGTTAAAAGGACACTCTGGGCACTATAAGAACTTCATCGGAAAGAAGCTGTTCTGGTGCAGGGATGTCCTGTGCGCAGGCTTACCCACAGGGATTAAATTAACAGTTTAACCCCAAAGTCTTCAGCTCGTGCCAGTTGGATCTGCCCCATCACTTTCGTTTGAGAGCTCCAGCTCTCAGCCTATCAGTGGCACTATGTTCACAGAGTGAAAAAGATGCATACCTGTTTTGTGAATGGGAAGCTACTGTACTGCACAGTCCAAAGCTCCCTGATTGAATCCTTGGACTCAACCTGAAGTGGAAGTCCTGGGTGCCAGCTCCTTTTTAGGGTTTATTTAACGGTTTAACCCCGATATCTTCATTCAGGTGCCTATAACCTCCTTGCACTATATCTGGCAATTGTGCTCCAAACAAGCCTTCTTTTGGAGGACTATCCGAGCCATTATCTCGCATGTGTCCAACAAAGAAATAAAGCTGCGTTTGGCACTGATTCTATTGCACCGCACAATAGAATTAAAAAAATATGAACATTCGGTTCTGTGCCATTTAGTTACCGCAGCCAAGGCACTAATTCCCCTGCACTGGAGGAGTGAGGCTCCCCTGACGGTGGGATAATGGCGGGTTATAGTGGCGGAGACCAGATCGGTAGAGCTGATGGTGGCTTCCTCTCAGGGTAGATAGGATAGAGTGGCTCTGTTATGGTACTAAAAGGACTTCTTTATTGAGGTCTAGAAAGCAATTACTCCAATAAAGGGAACCTAGCTGACACAAATACAATTCCTAGATGTACCTTGTGGACATACACCCCTGTCTTTGATATAAATAGAGGCTAATTCCCGTAATACACGCACATACACTAATTTGACTAAACAACGGTGGGCTACAACAAACACTGCCTAGAAACTACCCTGTCCCTCCAGATTCCTCCCTAAGCTTATTCTGATCATGTGGGGTGCAATTATGTTATATACAGTTGTGCTCAAAAGTTTGCATAAACTGGTAGAAATTGTGAAATAGTGGCATTGATTTTGAAAATATGACTGTTCATGCAAAAAAATGACTTTTATTGAAGGATAGTAATCATATGAAGCCATTAATTATCACATTTGTTTGGATCCTTTTAAAATCATAATGATAACAGAAATCACTGAAATGGCCCTCATCAAAAGTTTACATACCCTTGAATGCTTGGCCTTGTTACAGACACACATGGTGACACACACAGGTTAAAATGGCAGTTAAAGGTTAATTTCCCACACTTGTGGCTTTTTTAATTGCAATAAGTGTTTGTGTATCAATAGTCAATGAGTTTGTTACCTCTCACGTGGATGCACTGAGCAGACTAGATATGGGGAGCAGAAAAAAACTGTCAAAAGACCAGCATAACAAGGTAATGGAACTTTATAAAGATGTTAAAGGATATATATAGATATCCAAAGCCTTGACAATGCAAGTTAGTACTGTTCAATCATTTATTATTTATACTAGTCTAATACTATCCTTACCTTTTGTGTCACATTACCCCACTCCCTCTAGCATGTAAGCTCATTGAGCAGGGCCCTCAACCCCTCTGTTCCTGTGTGTCCAACTTGTCTGGTTACAACTACATGTCTGTTCGTCCACCCATTGTAAAGCGCTGCGGAATTTGACAATATAAATATCATAATAATATATTAAGAAGTGGAAAATACGGTACCAAGCACATGGTAAGGTAGACTAAGAAAGATTTCAGCCACAACTGCCAGAATAATTGTTTGGGATACAAAGAAAACCTCACAGGTAACCTCAGGAGAAATAGAAGCTGCTCTGGAAAAAGAGGGCGTGGTTGTTTCAAGGAGCACAATACGATGATGCTTTAACAAAAATCAGCTGCTCGGTCTAGTTGCCAGAAAGAAGCCTTTACTGTGCTAATTCCACAAAAAAGCCTAGTTACAATATGCCCAACGACATCTTGACACGTCTCACAACTTCTGGCACTCTGTAATTTGGAGTGACAAGACCAAAATAGAGCTTTATGGTCACAACCATAAGTGCTATGTTTGGAAAGGGGTCAACAAGGCCTATAGTGAAAAGAATGTGAATCATGGTGGTGGCTTACTAATGTTTTGGAGGGGAAGCTCTAAAGCCCTCCCCCTTCCCCCCCAGTTTAAAGCACTTCCAATTTTGCAACAAACTAGGAAAACAAATCCCCTCTTGACCCCAGAATGGCAGTCAGATTTATCCTTGGATCAAGAAGCATTTGCCCTACATTGAAAAATTATATCCTTGAATATTGTGTTTTTGCAAGTATGCATCCAGTTGCTGTTTAATCATCTGTAGGGACTCTGATAAGACCACTTCTTCAGGCAGAGAATTCCATATCCATATTGTTCTTACGGTAAAAAAACCCTTTCCTTTGGCTTAGACTAAATCTCCTTTCTTCCAGTCTAAACGCATGACCTTGTGTCCTATGTAAAGTCCTGTTTGTGAATAGATTACCACACAATGGTTTGTATTGGCCACGCATATATTTGTGTAATGTTATCATATCCCCTCTGATGCAACGTTTTTCTAAACTAAAGAGGTTTACATTTGTTAACCTTTCTTCATAGCTAAAATGTTCCATTCCTTTTATTAATTTTGTGGCCGGCCTTGGCACTCTTTCTTGTGCCATAATATCCTTCTTTAGAACAGGTGCCCAAAATTGCACAGCTTATTCAAGATGTAGTCTTACCAGCGATTTATAAAGAGGCAAAATTATATTCTCATCCTGAGAATGAATGCCCTTTTTCATGCATGACAATACCTTACTGATTGACATTGCCCATTGTTGCATAGTTTGTTGTCTATAACAATTCCCAAATCCTTCCCGTGTGTGGTTATCTCTAATTCTCTTCCATTAAGGGTATAAGTTGCTTGTGCATTCTTGACCCCGAAGTGCATTTTTCTGCTGTTATAACCTACAGCTGAATATGAATCTTATAAGAAATAAAAGAAATGTGCTCACTCATGTTTTCTTTAAAAATGGTACATATGTTACCAATTCTCAAAGGGTATGCAAACTTTTGAGCACAACTGTATATTCTCTCTCACTTTCTCCCTTGCTTCCTTATGTGCGAGTATTGGTGGTGGTGGGATCCCCACAGACACTCATCACTGGATCTTCATATCTTTAGGTATATGTTCATGAATGCTCTTTTGTAATTTCAATGTATGGTAAATATTGATAAACTAACGACTAACTTTTTGTTTTGGAATTTACTTCTCGATGCATCTTGGCTACAAAGCCTGGAAGACTTTCGACAAATATGTCTCTTGTTTTGTAAATACGATGTGCATTGTTTTGACATATTCATGAAAAATAAAAATTATTTTAAAAAAAAACAAAACGGGGGCGGGGCCCGACCGCCATGCTGACCAGTCGCAGGCTGGAGGGGCTCCTGTGGGATTTGGCCTATTTCGATGATAATACCAGGTTTACAGCCTGCCCAGGAGCCAAGACAGTACCTCCCGTGTCCAGGTAGTTGCCGGTGTCACTGCGCTTCCGATCGGGAGTCTTGCAGCCCCAAGGGGTGATGTGAGGCTTCGGGGCCTGCAGCCCATGTGGGTGTAGAACGGGGCGGACGGCCGCCACCCTTTTTCGGAACCTGGCAACTGTGAAGCAGCCCAGTGATGCGTCCCGCGGGTCCTGCTCCCCCCACCCCGTGGAGGGAATTACCGCCTGACACAGGCCCATCGAGCTTGCAGGACACAGTGCATCCACGCCAGGGCGCCAATATGGCGGCGACGCTGCCTACCTTGAAGCAGCTCCGTCTGCAGGACTACAGGCAGCATAAACCATAGCCGGAAAACACAGCAGAGCTGCCACTTCTAAGTCTTGCACACCGCGCCACCACCCAAGCTACCGATGTCCTGACCGCTGCTGCCGTGGAATGGCGAACCCCATTATACCAGAGTCTGCTCTAACCTGCATCAAGAGACCACCACAGCCACCTCTGAGCCGTCCCTCATGCTATCGGTGGCAGACATCTCCTCACCAAGCGAGCATATCGCCCCCTGGCAAGTCACAT